GCTGACTGAAAGGCTGGCTAGAAAGACTGGCAGCTGGGTTTTTAAAAGCAGGCTGACCAAAAGCAGGATGACCAGACTGATAATCTGAGCCCTTTAATGGAAGAGACTGACCAAATGTCGACTTGGACGGAACAAGTGGACTAATATAAGGATAGCCTGAATGAAAACCAGAGCTAGACTGGCTTAACTGGTTATCGAAATAAGACATTTGAGAAGGCATCGAAGATAGAGTTGGACGACGTGCATAAGAAGTTTTGCGTCGTAATATGTCAAAGTGATTTTGACCAAATGACGCAGTTTGGATAGAGCAGCCATTTCCGGGTGACTCGGGCATATTTTTAGGTCTATCAGATTTATTTTCTTTTGCAGGGTCGAAGTCTATTTCTCTTGGTGAACTGGGTTCAGATGAGATAGGGGAGTCTGTAAATAGTTAGCTTTTGGATCAATCTTCATAGAATGATACAGACCTAAAAGAACTGTCCCATCGATGCGGGTCTCCCATTCTTCAAGAAGGCTCTCCATTTTGGATCTTCACACAAATTATTACTGTTAATCCAAGCAGACTACTGAAAATATGATTAAGATATAAGATGTTGGAACCATGGTTTCTCGAAACACCGTGGAGTTTGATCTTTCAATAGCAGGACCGTAGCATTCACTGGCCATTTCGTGGAGTCAATGACAACCAATCAACAAGTAATCCAGTTGCCAAAGAGATAGCAAAAGTATTCTTGTTAGGCTCTATGAGAAACACTTTCTAAATCAATACTAATAAGCTGATATAGGGCTAAATAGTTTTTTAAGCAATGGGTGTTTCTTGAAGTTTGCCCAATACAACGCACAGTGTCAATTTGATTATCGATAGGTAAGTACACTTGAAGAACAAATAGCATGAATCCGTAAAAGCTATAATTCCTCCTCCTCCTCCTCCTCTTCCTGGTCTTCCTCCTCCTCTTCTTCTTCTCTGAACACTGCGCTCTTCTGCTGCTGGTGCATTAGCTCTTGGATAGCTGACTGAAGAATCTGGTTGTGCTGCTGAACCGACATCATTTGTGTCTCTCTTCCCCCATTGAAGAAGGAAGACTGCTCTGCTCTAGACAGCTCTCCCATACCTATGTATGGTTGTCCATAGCCATTAAGCATATTGTTCTTGAAAATCCCGTGTCCGATTCCTCGATTATAATTGTTTATGGGGTTGAATTGGTGTGTTTGACTAGTATGAGGCGGCAGTAGAAGGGAAGGAATTTGCTGAGGCATCAAGACATCCTGTAATCTCATATCACTAATTCCTGAGATTAGTTCGGCTATCAACTTGTCTGCCGTGGATTTGGACCGAAGAATCTGGCCCAAATTGGATCGAGAAACTGCATTGCGCATTTCGCCTTTTGCCGGGTCAATGTGATAAAAGCCCACCACAATGTCCGGTAATCTTGGCTTTATGGAGTTGATGGGCAGTTTGCCAGCAGCAGCAAAGAAGATACCCCAATCGCCACCTTCCGCGACTCTATCTCTCAGATTTCTGATCTCGATCACATCCTGCACCACACTTGGCACGCCTAATCCCTCCGCCTGTTCTACAGCAGATCTCCCACCGTGGTACCCGCTATCAACAAGTCGCCACATCTGATTATCATCTTCTACAACAAAGTTGGCGCAATAGGCACCTCGACGCTGTATAAAGCGTATTCTTTCACCAAGCGATGTATAGCCCGGTTTGAAAGACCCACCCACAACGCGAGCTTTGATTGCAAAAGCTCCGTTGTTGCCTCGTACCACCTGACTCGGATTGCCTGCTTGGTTTGCAGCAAAGCCGGAATTCAGTATAGGACTGCCGTGATCTCCCATACCAGGAACGTTGCTGGAAGGTTGCCAATTTTGTGCTTGTTCCGGGCTTGGGGGTACCAGTCCCACTGGGTAAGCCTTTTCTTTGACCATAACCTGTATCTCTTCTCGCTTAGCGATGTAAGTCTGAAGATCTCCCTTCCGAAAGGCATTGATAACTTCGTCAAATATAGTAATGTACTCCTTGATGTCAAAAGTCATTGAAAATAAGCTTGTACCGCGTTTGTATTTCTTATCCAGCTTGTTTGATTTGGAGTCAAGAATCTTCTCGATACGAGCGCAGAATCTTTTCGAGCTTGGAGGCGTAGATGATAACGAGTTTGTAAAATATTCACCCACCAGCTTCGGCAGGGTATTCCAGAGAGCCTGAAACTCCCCAAAGTGCTGCCAGGATTTAGAGTATAGCTTTTTCCATTCGGAAGGGTACTGATTATTATCAATAAACATGTCTAAGTTGCTTTGCATAACCTTCATTGGATATCTGGAGTTCATGTACGCAATATGTATGGCTTTCCACTTTGCAACAAGACCCGGAACGTCGATAAGGCCGGTATTCGCCTCAAAATTGTTGTTTCTATTTTGTTTCATAATCTCGTTATTGATCTCTTTCAGATCGTTGTATGCTTCTATTCCTGCTCTAGGAAGGCGGTATCCCGGGTCGGGGGAAGGCTTGGAAATCTGAATGTCTGGATTTAGACATGCGGCCTCACATAGAATGAGTAAACTGTTGTAAGCTTTTCTATAAGCTGAGATATGATAGCTCTTTCGGGTTAGATCGCTAGATTCGGGCTTAAGTCCCCCTCCCCCGAAGCGAAATCTGATATCGCCACCTTCGGCCCGTTGTATAGCCTCATTTAGTCCTGAGATTTATTAGCCTAGAGCCTTTCAACTTCTATCATCAAACTCACGCTGAGAAGCCTCGGTAGCTAGTTTCCTATGTTCATCATTGAGGATATGCTTATCTGGGTGAATCTTCTCTCGCAACTGCTTGGCATCAACATCAGCCCCATCAGGCAAGGCTTTCTCAATTGCAAGTGTTATATTTTGTTGATCGGATTCTACGATCGCTTTCATGATATCAATAATATTATCTTTGCTGAGATTGACAGGACTCTCATAATCATCCTTCTTGTCGGCTGTGCCGGAAGTTGTTTCACCTTTGGGCGGTCCATTAATAGGCAAAGGATTTTGAGACTCCATTTTCTTTGAGGATGTTAATCAAACAAACAATAGGATTATTATTATGAGAGAGACTAAAACTGGATTTTCGAATACCTACTCTACATTCAGGCACCTTTATATAGTTTATTTTCCATGGTTTTTATCAATCATGCTATTTGTCCATGGTCTTATGCATGAACCATGGTAAAATATTCCTATATCTTGTGCCCCACCTTTCAAGTCGTATCCTGTGTTACCTGTATCACACTGAGTTTTAGTGGAATACTTCAGATGAATATGCTATACTATCCTATCTTGGTCCTATCTTGCGTGCTCAACGCAGGTGCTTTTCAGTAAGACTCATTGAATATCTGACTAGGACAGTTGACTAATACAGACTAAAGGTTTAAAGAGATTATAGACATTGATCTTGAACAGACAGATAGAAACACACACTATGTTGCAGTCGGCTGTCACAACTCACTTTTATTTCATCCTAATAGAATCAATGCGAACATTGGTGATCAGGTCACATTTAACTTCTGTTCTCTAAATCACACTTTAACTCAGTCAACTTTGGAAAGGCCATGTTCTTCAGTCTCAAAGTTCGACACAGGATTTAATCAATATAATCCTGATGATGTGAAACATCTGGCTCTGACTTTGACTGTCAACACACTCGACCCGCAATGGTTTTTCTGCGATCAGAGCCAGCCCATTTCCCACTGCCATGAGGGAATGGTTTTCGCTCTTAACCCTGGAAATGAGATGGATACTTTCCTAATGAATGCACGATTCTACCAGTATGCTACTGATAAGACTCAAACCAGCATGAATGATATGCAAATAAGCAAGTATGAGCTAATGAGCTATTTCAACCTTGCGACTTCATGTTGTACTAATCTTAATGATAGATCTACTGCTAAAATTATTCCTGCAAGTGCGAGGACCTCGTTTCCCGCAGTTACCAGTGTCTTTCAGGCCATTGCAATCTCTACAACTGTTGTGACCTCAACAAATTATGTGACTATCTGTCCTTCATCGTCGAATATTCACTCTCCCAGTATGAGTAGCAGTAGTGTGGGCTCTATCAAACGTCAAACTGTCTCTTCATCTTCTAGTTTTACAACTGTCCCCATTGTATCTGTTCTCTCGCTCTGTTTGGTTATCATGTTGAATTTTCATTGATTTTCTATGCTTTCAGAAGCGATATACCTACTCCTGACCAGAGCCGGGCTGCGAGCAATGCTATCCCGATGAACACTGGAGTAGATGACTAGCTAGTTACTATGTTCGTAACAGCTTCAGCCTAATTGCAGATAATTAATGTATGAGATCTTTTATTCATATCATAAGTTTAACTCTCTATCACTAGGGTAGTATATTGAAGCATAGATTTAGCGAAAAATGATATAGTATTTATACCATCAAGAACACAAGAAATAATCTCTGCATTTCATATGCTGCTTTCTCCTTGCCTACAGCCCTTGACTGCTTCAGACCACCCCTGCATATTTTGTCTCTTTTCTAGAGGCCAATAATCGCCCACTTTTCTCAGGCTGGAAATCATGCTCATGCAAATCAACTCGTTGAGCGGAATCCAAGACCAAGTCTCGAACTTCGTCACGTGTCTTCGAGTCGGAAGAAACTAAGGCCATGTTATTACTATATTATCAATTGCTTCCAAGGAGACGGGCAAAACAAACTGATTACTAATGCCTTGCCGAGAGATTCAGACAGTTCTTTGTCCATGATGCCTCTAAAGTCGGGTTTACCATAGAATGCTGCCCCTCGACGTCCTAATTTGACTCTCTGACCATCACCATGGCTTTCGTCGGCTCGACGAAGAATATATAGGGTATAGTGAAGTACCTAAGTCATCTGTCAGTGGCAGAATTAGTAATAGAAGCCAAATCATACCAATGTTTTTGAGTCGTCGCTAAGAAGCTGATCCATCCATTGGTAGATCCAATCTTCATGACCTGTATAATTTAGTGGTATTCCAGATAATGGATAGAAATCCTACTCTCTTGCTCAAGCTCCCAAACAATAGAGATGCGTTTAGGGGTTGTGAGTCCTTTTAAATGCTCACTCTCCACTTTCAATTGCCGACTAAGAAGCTCTTTGGCGTATGGTAGCTGTGCTGCAACACCTATTCCTGTTGCTATTAGGATAACACTGTCATATTGTTTAGTATCAATACATTGGCCATAAGGTCCATCTATCCACACGCGAAGGTGCTCATGGCTAGAGGATGCTAAGGCTCGAGTAAAACCTGACTCAATCTTGGCAAGAACGGATAGAGTTATTGCTTCACCATTAGGGCCCTCCTCCCACCAAACGATACTGAAAGGATGCGATTCGGCGAATGATAATGCTCTCACTGCCGGTATGGTCAAATAGACATATTGACCTCCCCGTACCTTCCAAGGCCGTGCCAATGTTAGAGTTAGTTTCACCGCATCCTGATATTTGATAAGTTCCGCAGCGGCTACTGGCCGACCAGCGACCAAGTTGTAGTAAAACTGTCGTAGGAAGTATACAATGTATGTAAGCACGGAGATTCCCAGAGCAAAGTATAGACAGAATGCATCGAAGCCTTTCTTTTCCTCCAGATGCAACCAAATCATGACCGATGCCATGATACTAAGAAAATTATGACCTTTGAGAAATATTTCGTACGCCCACTGGCGGATCAAGGGAAGAAAGAATAAAGTTGCTGAGCTCAGAGTAATTGCAGCCTGCATAGAATTAGTCAACTTCTTGTTGGGAAACTGGACAAAATACTGAACTATAAAACCGTTCCGGTGAGATGCCTCGGCTAGGTCGAAGGAGTATGTACGCACGGCAAAAATAATATGCACTCCGCATTGGATAAGAGCCATCCAACCGAAAGCACGATGAAACCTATTGTAGGCTGACAGCGATAGGTTGAAAAAATGCGCGCCAAAGCTAAGTTGCGGAGTCCAGAGTGCGGGTACTAAATGTAGTAATGCCAGGGAGCCAGCCCGAGACCGAGCTGCACCAGCGCTGTTGACGCCAAGGATGTTGCAGATCAAGGTACCACTCCAATGCAAAATATGTATAAAGGCCGCGCCCCGACTAATAGGAGACCAAAACAAGCTTCTCCGTACAATGTACGGCAGCACAATATACCTAGTAAATAGATAGAAAAGAGCTGGGTTCAATAAGAATTTGAGTATGAATAAGATAAAATGATGCAAGAATAGGAGTCCAATCGCGCCCGATAGGAAATAAGTGTAGATCATCAGTACGTTCATGGTTGGAAGAAATCTGGTATAATGACTCTAAACTATTCGATTTAGCAGCAAGTGCATTCTTATACTTTTGATCAACAACATACCACGATTTTCAAATTGCCGCCGATGCTTGTTTCAAGCGATCATTTAAAAATAGCATCCGCGAAACGCCGCCCTTAAAATAAAACACGAGACCATGGTGTAAGACTTTTCATCACGAGTAATAAATACCTGCAGTCTGTCCATGATTATGGGGCCAGATCATGGAATTATTTATGATCTCTAACTACGATAAGCCACTCTTCACACAAAGCCGAGACCATGCCTTACGAAGTTTGGAGAAAAAAGCGCTTGTCACGAACTCATGATGTGGACCCGGTCAAGAACACCAAAGCTGAGCGAGAGAGATTTCGCCGAGGCTGGGCGGCGATGTGCAAAAAGGCAAATGATCTCTATCTAGATGGGATCGAGAATGGGCGTGATCGCCGTGTTTACATGGTCATTTATGATGTACGAAAAAATCGACAAGGGAAGGGGAAATATACGTCCTTCAACTCTCATCCTCGAGAATCCTGGGTTCCATCTCAAGACGAAGTTGTAAGAGACCTTAAGATCCTGTACAGAGATTATGTACTAATTCAAGTCAGGATGAGCATTATCCAATCACCAAGAAAGTGACACCAGCTGATTTTGGCAACAATCTCGCAGGAAAGCCAGGGGCTGGAAGGTTGCAGAGCCTTTCAAAAGGTCGACAACGCCTGTTCAAGATTTCCAAGCCGCCACTTTGGGCTTATAGTTAGGCCCATTTGTGTTGATTTTTTCTACTTTTTTTTATTGATCAGTGAACATGTATCTGATAATACAGCATGCCTCATATCATATGAACCACAATTCTTTCAAAATGATTGAGCTTGGTACTGAATTTGAAGTCGATGATTGTTATTTCATTCAACTATTGTGATTAGAGAAACCACTGACTGATCCGGCCTTGTTTGCACACAACTCAACTTGCCACTGGCACTGTAAATTATAGTAACCATAACATACGTTGATCTCTTCCGCAGCAATGCGCTTTGGGTATCCCAGGTCTTAACAAGTCCAAGAATGTGGACAGCTCATACGGGCCTATGATGCCACTTTCACCAACTAGCTGGACATTGCAGAACCCGATACAACGAAGAGTTAGACGATTAGTGTCTAAGAAAGTGCCCAATGCAACATGACTGACTGTGATACAGCATAATATTAGCTGGCGCAAGCTTGGTGTTGCGCTAGAAATGGCTTCTAGGGGGAAATAACGATAGTCACCTTCCAGAACTACCTCTTTCATATGGCAAAACAACTGTTGAAGAGGTGTTGCGAGCATCCTGGTATTCAAGCAATTCCAGTCATGTCCCCAGAATAGAGAGAAGTTTGAAAGGCGGAGGGTGATTGGATGCAGTCTCGAATCCTTAGCATTTGACAAAGCCCGTGTAATAACCAGGGCATGGTGCTTAAATGTATTTTCTCTCATTTCTAAAGCCGGAACTTGCCACTGGTGCAACAAGTCGTCAATGCTATCACTGAAACCGAGGCTGAATTCAAATTCTGACGGCAGGATTTTGAACGCATGCGTGAGTGCGTGAAGGTCTGTATGATTCTCAAGAATAAGGCGCTGTTCTCGACAAACACGGCTGATTTTGGTATAAATCCAGAAATAGGAAGAACCATTGCCTGAATCTGGAGACAAATCACAGTCGCGTAATTGTTGGTTGACATAGTCCTCAGGAGTGAATATCTTGGATTTGAAATACTGAAAATCTGTTACATCTTTTTCTTGTCAGTAATCCTTTATGAATATGATCAAGACAAGGTGCATCATACCTGGTCGGATAATATCTGGAACAGAATATCTGAAGCACCGAACGTAGGGAGAAATATTTGATCTATTGAAGCGAGAAAGATTTCTCAATCCCTCTTTTGAGAATTGGAATTCCACACGTTGAAAAAGCAGAGGAATACAAATATGGCGCAACTGCCTGTTCACACATGAAAGGCTTTTTATGCCTGAAAATTCGAGACTTGTAAGAATAAGAAGAATAATTTCAGTAGGAATAGTGTCTAGGTGCATTGCATCAGTATCATTCATTTAGAAGTGTAGAAAGACTCTGATAGCTTAAGTTAAATCAATCTTAGGTTGATGATTGGAAAAGAGAAGATTCTTAAGAGTTCTCAGTATGAAGATCGGAGTCGAAAAACTTGGCTAATGCTTCTGGGTGAAAGCCCTCCAAAGTCCTGTAGCTGATCTTAGTATAGCGGCTACTCACCAAATCCAGTTTAGAACGAGATTTTCCTGCGCTCGGCTGTAGAAAAGTTATCTAGTCGACCTTGGACCTGTTGTAGAAGCAATACAAAATCATAATAACCTGTCTCCCAAAACTCCTAATTCAAAGTTAATCCTATGATACGGTCAGAATGGCATTGAATACTCCAGAGCGAGGGATCATGGCAATCAAAGCCATAATCAACACAGATCAGCACAATATTCAAAATCCCCAGTAGGTTTTTCTTTCATGCCTCATTATCATAGCCTAGACTAACTCTACGAATCAGACATACTTATCTAGAGAATGGTCGCACATACCCTAGACATAATGGAAGCGATTATATGCTTCCATGCGATGAACAAGAACAGGACCGACTCGACATGCTTCACAAAGTGTTCTTAGTAGTCAAGGGATCGGCGAACATCTTAGTCTCTCCACTCCCCAGGACTGGCAGAGTGCTGGACTTGGGATGTGGAACGGGTATTTGGGCACTCGATATGGCTAAGAAATACCCAAATGCCATAATTACAGGAGTCGATATCATGTCTACGCAACCTGCGAATTGTCCTCCGAACTGCTTTTTCTTTTCCCCCTTCGATTATGAAAGCCCAAGAGCTTTAAGAGCTGAGTCATGGGACTTAGTCCACTTGCAACAGGGTTGCGGAAGTGTTTCTTGTTGGCCGACACTCTACAAAATGGTTCTAGATTGTTTACTGCCAGGAGGGTGGTTTGAACAAGTGGAGATTGATTTTCAGCTTCAGCTGACACAGCGCTCGAAAAATGCCACAGCTCTCCAACATTGGTATCACAATATTCGACGCGCTACCGAGCTTTCTGGTCGCCCTATCACCCATGACTCTGCAAAAACGATTAAACAGCTCTACAGCACTGGTTTTACGGAGGTCCGGCACATATGTATGATGCTTCCACTCAACCCATGGCCTAGAGACGAACATTTAAGGGAAGTTGGCAAATGGTACAGTCTCGCGCTATCGGAAAGCATTGTAACATTGAGTCTCGCGCCTTTCAGTCGTGTATTTAGATGGCGGCTGGATCAGATTATGGATATTGTAGGAAAGGCGAAAGCAGAAATCGTGGATGAGGACTTGGAAGGATTCAATTTGTTGCATGTATATATGGCTCGGAAGGCGATATAAGTTTTACAATTCAGCCTGTCTCAATGCTTGCGTGCATCCATTATAACTTATTTACAAGAACGCTATTTTGTGCTGATTCTTGGGGATTACTGCTCTAATAAAGATATACCATGTATAATTTTGAAGATGGCCAGCTTTTCTAAAATCTTGGGATTCGTCACCCTTTACGGCTTCTTTCCCTGCTCTTCCTGGCAATTTGAAGTCATTAATGAATGAAAACGATTGCTGACATGGGCAAAGACATATCCAGTCGACGGGGGTGCCTTTGACTTGGTGCGGAAGTAGCCAAAAATCTTCTGTTTTCTCTCAATAGCTTAACATGTTCAAGTATATATGCTGCCATCCTCAAAGGGCTTAGCACGAGAAACAGAATATGTTGAGATAACTAATGTTCTGCTGATTATTAATGTTCCGAGGTACCTATACTATTCGCGATTCGGCTCTTCCCGACTAGCCTAGTAAGGTTTAGCATGAGCAAGAGAATGATCAAACTTATAAACATTGGTTATACTAGGATACCGCGTCTGGGCATCCGCCAATCAGCTTGCATGAGTTTGCGAACTAACTCCAGCAAAGCTTAGCATGAGAAAAGATATGTAGTACGGAGCAAAATTGATACCATCACATGTATTTACATAGAATCACCAGTACTAGGATAGAGCTTTCATCTGATACATCATTCAATCCAACAAAGCGTAAAAAAAAGAGAATCCAAAGGAATAATCCTATCATGATTCAAACATCCGGAATTCTGATTCGGTTGCTGAAGCCGGTGGCTCTCCTAATTTGTCAAGTGCTTCTGTGACTTCCAGTATCCAAGGACGCAAGCTAGTCAAATAAGACCTGAGTTCAGCCACCATACTAGCAATTTTAGATTAGCCTGGGTATTCATTTTGAGAGCTGCGATCTTTACCTTTTGAGGGAATTGACCCTAAGCCACGATTAGCTATGCTGCAACATTTGATTGGGAGATACCATACTCAGATTCTAGTCGCTTGACATAGTCTTTCACACCCTCCATTTGCAAACCATCCGAGGGGATTTCGTGCTCATCCACCTCAGGAGTGCTGGCCTGAGACTCTGCCAATGATGGTAAGGAAGGGAAAAATGAAAGAGAAGATTGTGTGTATTCATTCATCGAGAGGTATGATGGGTCAACATCGTATCCAAGGAGGGGCATGGATTCGTTTGAGGGCAGGTCATCCAGACTTTGTAAGAACTGTATAATATCTTCATCTGTATAAGGCAATTGCTCGCTCATCTTGAGAAATCTGTGGGTATGTGTGTTATGTGTGATGTGACCTTCAGAAATGTCTGAGCTCTGAATTTAAGTAAATCAAGACCATGGGTCCACGGTCATGATCTAGTAACTGTGGAATACTTGGGAAAGGAAGGCGGCTATATCTGGGCCCGCCCACAAGGAGAAATTGCCACTTGGTTGGACAGAAGTGGTTGAAAATAGATCGCTAACCATCATTGCCCTATTAATAGGGGCCTGCCTTCGTATTATGGGGCATCCTGTGCATAAATCAATCAAGACCACATTTTACGGGAAATGAGGGACAAGGACATCCCCAGGAAGGACGGTGGCACCGATAGCCAGGTTCATATACTTTTCTTAAGCCAACCATGCTCAACACACTAACAATACTTAGAAACGCATGAATGCTAATTCTCGCCCCGACGGAAATGACCAGTTGAACAAAAATACTGCCTCAGATGATGCGAACTCCACAATTGCTTTATTACAGAGGGAAAATGAGGAGCTCAAGCGGATAATAGCAGATTACAGGTTTACTATTACCAGGTGTATCAGAGCCCTGGGAAAGACTATGGATAGGAGGGAACAGTGAAAGCTTAGGGATCTTCCTGGATATCCATGTACTTCCTCTTCTTACCACCCTTCTGTTTACCTGCTTCGCAACCATCACAATGTATTCCGGAGGGTATATCGTGGTTAGTGGCACCAAAATGATTATCCAATCCTTGTTGATCCACAAACCATTGTATAGACTTGGGGAAAGCACTTATTCTATGCTTCTTCTTGCCTTGGCGGAGGGAGATTGTGAATACCTCGTCCAAATTACGGGCATAAAAGTATACAGGACACGAGTAACACTGACAAACTAGGCAAATATCTCGTGGTGATAGACCAAGACCAAGGTTTATGTCGTCTTTGTAAAATATTGATTCAGTAGTGTCCTTCGAATAAATGCGACTGATCAAAGCTTGGGCTGGAGCACGGCAACGAATGTAACCGGTACAGTAGTAGAGCCCCGTTCGAAATTCAGGCGCAGCCTTTAAAGTGAAATAGAACGACGTGGCCAATAGAACTAAGGTAGCTGCCTCTGTGTCATAGGAGAAAGTAGGTTGAATTCGAGCCCAGCTCTCTAGTTCTGCCATGCTTTTGGTATCCGTCATGGAAGGGGCGGAACCTGGAAAAGTAGTGTCAAATCGAAAGTGCTCTTGGCCTAGAGCCAGCAATTCCCTTGATGCGTGTTTTCCATCAAACGAGCTTATGAAGGAGCGATAAATACGTGGCATCCAGCCATCAGCGAAAATATTGCGGAAGTGAGATGCCGCCGAGGAGGAATGCAGTGTTTCGGACCCAGTTCCGAGAGATATCACGATGTCAGGTTGAGAGAAAGTTGGCCATATACGTTTTGATTCTGCGAACGCTAGCTGCGTGGGATTATTGTGTCTCCTCATCCCACCGTCTTGAAAAGTACCCACACCCGGGATGTCAATTGTAGACATGTAACTAGCAGGTCAATTAATACGCCGACTTATCAAGACATCAGAGACTTACGGTGGAGCAGCTGCTGTTGCACGAGCTCTGTAGAAATTTAGTACTTTTAAATTGTAAATTAGACCATTAGACTTACACCTGCCACAAGAACGGCTCATCCCTCACACTTGGGCGGAGGCGACTGTATGCTGTGACTATTAGCCTGGAGAAGCTTCCCGCCAAGAATGAAGAAAAATACCGGATTGCATCTTGTGAGAAACCATGCCGTTGTAATTAGTGAATATAAAAGGACTAGCGTCGTCAATAGAACACGCTGTAATTGCTACCTTAGTAGCAGATATTGTTGATTTTGGTGAATCGAACATCTTTCCTGAGCCGAAATGCTCGCGAAAAAGATCATCTAAGAGATCTGTACTGTATGTTGCATCTGACATAAAAAAATTGAGTAAACGCTTCCGACGGCTCTGAAAGAATCGTTTAAGCATGGTTTTGAAGGCAATTTTGCAGCTTGCGATATCCAGCTTGAGCATGAAAGCGCTAAGGACTATTAAGCCACCAGAGCTGGTACCTGTGGCAAAGTCAATCATGTCCTGCAGTACAAGGTCTTCGCCTAAGGCGTCTTGAAACATCTGGAGGCATTCAAGAGGTATAATGCCTCGCGGACCGCCCCCATCAATGCTCAAGACTCTTGCCGCTGCTGTTGGAGGTTTCAACTTGATCATAAGAGACCGTGCTTTCCGACAATAAAGACAATTTTGAATGGTGAATGCATGATCTATGTGTGGGACTTTTTCTCCATAGATTTCGGTACAGGTATCGCATATAGAGTGGCCACATGACATGACATGCTCTGGAGATCGCCGAATGCACAGGAGACATGTCTCATTAGACATGATAGAGAGCCAGTATCCTTCGAGGCTCTGTAGATGCTGGCGGTGGATTTGTGAGGATGTTCTATCCTCATATTTCATAACATTGAAAAAAGCCTGGAGATGATATTCGATACGGCTGCATTGTAATTGTGCCAAATCATCAGTGCTATAAACGTGGCGCAATGCTGTATAACACGCGTCACGGTACAAACCACGAAAAACTGTTTTGGGACAGAAGTCTGAAGAGCATTAGCAAGTATTTTATATTACACAACTGATATTATGAACAACTGACGATGCATGCCAGGTGGGTAAGCATCCATTAAAATGGCCGAGGCGATATAGGAGGCAAGCCCGTCATAAGGAATTCGGGATTTACCTCCTACTGTGAGGAATGCGGTCAAATGAGCCGTAAAGGCTCCATCCAACGGATTCTGTTCCCTTGCAGCTGTGAGATAATTGTAAGGCCTCACCAATATAGAGGTCGTCTGTCTAAGTTTGCTATCAAAAAGAGCGCTTAAATGATAAGCAGAAAAATTCATGCAATGATGCTCTCGCGCTTGGCGAGCATCTCTGAGACAACGGGAAACATCCCTTGCAAGTGGGATGTGGCGAGCATCGGAAGACAATTCTTCCGATGAGAGTCGGCTAATTTGAATGTCCGAAAAAGCGGGAAGATCACCGAGGTCCAGAAAAAAGTCACTCTCGTCAAGAAGAGTATGTGTGATGCTGCTGGCGTCGCCTTCAAGAACAATCAGGACGCGTGGGCTAACCGCCCGAGGTGAATTAGATCCTAACCCAATCCTGTCCCATAATCGTAGCAGGCTTTGCACAGCCGTGAGACCTCCGATGTCATCGGCAAATATACAGATAAGATCAACAAAAGCAAATAGAACTCGCGAGAGGACGAGGTCGTGAGGGGAAAAGTCTGTGGCTGGCCAGTCTACCGGTATGCGATTATCGGGGTGGCAAATTCTAGGAGTGACGAATGAGGATGGCATTGATCGACTTGTGGGATCACAGTCAGCAAAGAACCGCGGCTGTGCCGCTTGGAGTGAGCGGTTATCTGAGCGCAGGTTGATTGAGCGCTGGTGGCGTTGGCTATTTCGGTAGTTACTCTTGCAAAATTGTCGCAGAGCCTCGTCCTTGCGCCGTCGGCCCATGAAAAATGTGATTTGGGGTACCTGCTCGCTTGGTCGAGGTAGTTCCTGACTCAATCTGCCCAGGCGCGAACCAGACACCAGTTCCGGCCATGGTCTGCCTTGATTATACAGTTCGAGCCACGCTATATGATCGCACCTTGACATTCTGAAAATTCAACAAGGTCACTTGTGCTTTTACCTGGTAAAGATAATCCATATTATGGAATTATGGACTCTCGACGTTCTTTAAAGTACAAAAAACACCATGGTTATGATACCGTGGCATCTTCAAACGTGGCATTCAGGCCATTGTCTGATATGCATTTTTATGCTGAATACTTCTATCACAATCTGATTTAAGTTCTAGTAGGTTTTTCATGCACGGCAGTACTGTAACCAGTTAGGTGTTGTTTATTCATGTCTGAGTAGCCTGTCTGTAGATTACTATGCAGATTTCAATGTTGCGATACGCTTGTCCTGCTCTTCGATGATTTTTCTGTACTTTGCTTCCATCTGATCTTCAAGGTCGAGTATAACATCCGTTATCTGCCGTGAGCGATCTCCCTTCACAAGCATGCTGTCCTCTTCCAGGAGCATGGTATCGACGATAGAATCTATCAGATGAAACTTTCTTTGTGTCCGATCAAGCTCTAATGTCAGATCATGACACTGTCGCTTTTCAATGTCTAGCATCCTTTCAATCTCTTCATGCGCAGCTTTCAATCTGAGCATACTCTCTTGCTGTAATGCAATTGATGCTACCAGTCTTTGTTTGTCTCTCCTCTCCAAATCCAAACAGTGCTTTGTATAAGCGTGGTCTGAGCATTCTTCCTCAAGCCTCTGCTTGTGGAAATTATTAGCCGCAGTGAGATCTTGCAAGGTCCTATGCTGGGTGTTGTGATCGGCTTCCAGCTGCTGGAAGGCAGCGTTGTTGACAGAAGACTGGCGAAGTACATGTCGCAAATAGACGATATGGTTTCGATAGAAGGAGACTCTATCACCTGTAGGTGATCCAGGCGCGAATAGTGGTTCCTTTGCAAGTTTCAGCAATGTGTAATTTTAAATAGCAACCACAGTTGACCTACATTTTCTATGATGGATCTTCGTCCTTGCGGAATATCGTGATTCATAGTGGCTCGTGTGCTTGAATATTTGATTTCTTGTGAAGACTGAAAGCAAGTGCCAGGTTTAGAGAGAAGGCAGCTGGAACTCGGAGATAAAATAGACGGTAAAGGGCGCCCCTAATATCTCACTCTATCGCGTTTTAAGCTAGAAATCGCCTCTATCTAGTCCACCAGTCGGTAGTATCAGTAAAGTAAGAAAGTGATGACTTGACTAAAGGCGCTATGATAAAAATGGTTTAGAACGAGGAGTGGATCGCATCGATAAACATTGAGAGCAGTGCCTAGTGATACAGCTTAAACTATCACCTTATAGAACATTTTTTAATTGGCCACGATTGGCGCAAAATAAACTATTACAATGTTATCCAGAGCCTACCATAGCATACTTGCGAATTTGACTGCGCCGCTGATTTGCGCCGCTTATATACCCTGGTCGTCGAAGAGCCTTGGAGGCGGCACAGCTCCCCAATGACCTCAAGGATAGCAGTATATAAGTACCGCAGAACGATGTTTCTCTGAAAACAATGAGTCAAAATCATGGCGAGAGTGGCTTGGACCCCGGAAGAAACTGCAATCGCTATAGTCTTCGATATGTGGGGCATCGATCATGAATTGATTGCCAGGCTCATCACGGAGCGATGGTCTATACTCATGGGTGTGAGTCCAAATGACTCCGTATCCCAGTATGGGCGGACTACAAAAGCATTAGAAGCCCGACTAGAGCGCATTCGATTACGAAGCCCCGTGCTCTGGGATGGGCAGGAATGGAATCCAGATGCTGTTAGCGAATTCCTCTTCTCCACAGCCGATAATGACCTTGTTTTGAATTTATTGGCACTATCGGCGGCCGATGCTCATAGGATAGCCCAGGTAATTGTCGGTCAGATCCATATTATAAACACTACTTTAATCATTTAGCTGTCCTAGGATCCAAGCGTCACCCTTGGTGCTTTCAGCAGTTTGACTAGCCAAGCTGATTCTAACACCAGAAATTGAATACTCTCCTGACCTTAGTAAGTTTAGCCTCCCTTCGAAGCACATCCTCTGATTTTTGGAAAGACAGTAATCAATAGTGGTGAGGGGTGGGAAGTTGAGGGATAGGCGGCCATTATTTACTTCGCGTCTGAAGGCGTTCCGCTTAACTCTATTGTTGCTATTCGCCACCAAAGAAACTTCCTTTGGATTTAAAATGTGGTGAATCGTAAGCTGAATGAGCTAAGGAGAAACTGAGTTCACGGAAAATAATACAGTTGGAACTCGCAGATAGTCAATCACTACTTGGATGAGATGGAGCAAATATGCAGTACAAATGTTGTCAGTGGGCCTATCGAAGAATGTTATACAGTATGCATAAAAGTCTTTTGCCAAGTATTGTCTTTTTGATCTATCTTCTCGGGTTCCACATGTAAATGCGCTCATCTTAGTTCAACCAACAAGGTTTGCAGAAGCAGCACAGACAATCATCATCCAAAATATAGAGGTTGTCACATACATTTTAGCAGTTGATTTTCTGTGCTTGTAATGCAAAAGGCGGATTAGATGGTGGAATGATGGCATTGTCCAAACATAAGTATTTCTAGATAAATCGCAGCTTGGTTCCTCGCACAATAAATTTCGTCATGAAGCAACCTTTGTGTGTCTTGTCACAACATCTTAAATAAAGAAGATTCTGCTGCTCTTGCTGCTCATCTGCGTCTCCAATCTGGGATAGATAAAATCCTCTTGTTGGCTGTCTGCAGTAAGGACAGCAAGGTCGAATATCTTCTGAAATAAGTCTTGCCTTGGCCTGTGCAAAATCACCATTTGTTGCACGGTAGACATATTGATGAAATGTTTCTTGGAAGCAATCGAAGCACCACGGATGGCCGCAGTCGAGTACGATATCAACTGCGTTCTGGTAGCAAATCTTGCATTCAAGCAGTCCAAGTCGATGATCTCCCTGTGCAGTATGCTTGGATTTGCATGAAGTGCAATGCATGGAAAACTCATCATCGTCATTGTTCTCTCTCTGTTCATCATCTTGAGATTCAAGTGTAGCCACGTTTACTACGTAATGTAAGCACCATGCCCATGGCTAGAGATAGATATTACATACCATCACTTGCCCCAGATAGAGAGAGAGTTGCATAGCCGTCATCGTCATCAATCACAATCGGATTCTCTGTAATCGGTCAGTGTCATATCCGGCCGATTTGAGGCGATAGCCGGACCTTTAGAACTCCCTGGTAGGAAATAAAGATAATCAGGCGCTCTTGACATCTTCAGATATAGCCAGACACAAGCCCAGTACAGCACAATAATCGTAAAACAAGTGTAGATAAATGACGCTTGTGAGGGTGTTCTCTCTACTTTAAGTAGAATCCAGAGCACAAGTACGTCGGTTTCGATAAGGAGTAAGCATGCTGTGCAAAGAAGCATAACCACCAGGTTCGGATGACCACAGGAACGGCTCATCTTGGAACTCAGCGAGATAATAGAGTCATGAGTGGGCTTCGTGTTGTGGTCTACCTATTCAGGCGGCGAGATTGCCATTATGGTAAGACCTACCGTGTGGTCTTGCATGGTTCAGAAATCTAAGCACATTAATCAGTCTTATGACAGGACGTACCGTAGGGCGCTACTCCCGGTACGATCAGATCTACCAAATGGAACTCCATGCTTTCTGAAAAGCATGGCTAAGCGTCAAACCATGTGAATAAATTGGCCATAGGATAAGTCTTACCGTGGGGTCAAGCTAGCCACGAGGTACTACATTATTTTTAGTAAACATAGTAGGACGGCTAACCGCTTGGTTGTATTATACGTAGGGCGCGCTTCACAGTACGGCCAAACCCGCCACAGGGTACCGTAGGTTATCCAGATTAGGTTTAGTTCGAGGTTCGCCTGGTCGTATCATCCACATAATTTAGTGGACCACGCGGTCATACCTCCCCTACAGTACACTCTTTGTTCAAAAGACTAAGAAATGATGTCAACCCTGCGACTGCAGCTTCCCTGCGGCTGAGCTTGGCGCAACTAATCACACAACACACAGACTTTTCAAGAAAAGCTACAATTAGACTGACAGCTTGCAAGTCAAACTTATGCAACTAAGCTTTATATACTATACATGGTATACCTTTCAAAGATTATAACTTTCTTATTGATTTATGTTGTTTCTGAGATACCCTATGGAAACTTGGTATACATGGTACATCAAGAGTGCTAGGGATTTGGTGATGGAGAACATGAGTGGAGAGCATGGTTCAGGTTGAGTAGACCATGGTCTTCGGGTGAATTTAAAAGCCTGTCAAATGGGAAATTTATTAGCATAGTACCTAAGCAATTGACTTCTTTTTCCAAAAATGAACAAGGATGCGACAAAAGACTCAGACAAGAGCCGCTTGTCTACATTTCCGCGGACAAGAACAGGGCAACAGATTCTAACAAAGAGAGTGATAGCCAATCTCGAACCATCTTGGGATAGCAAGCGGCATGCCAAAAAGCTTCAGAAAGACTTACAGGAGCCCTCAGCAAGATTGCAAAAGGAAACAGCAGATCCATGGGAACGTTATGAGAAGTGCTTCAAATTAAACCAGGCTGGTGAGGGGTATCTTGTCTTTGCTAAGAATGCCACCTTTAAAGAGGCTATAATGAAAAAGATAGAGATCCCTGGCAAAGACGTGCTCTCAAACCTTACTACCGCAAGTCATAAGAATCTTGTGCAATTATACGAGGTCTTATATCGAGAAGATACATTGTTCCTCTTCTACGAAGTTATGGACGTGTCCCTAAATCAGGTTTTTGCAACCCCTCTTGGACGAATGAGACTTTACGAAGTGGCAGCGTTCTCTCATGATATACTCTTGGGCCTGAACTATATACACCAAATACATCGAATCAGTCATGGAAACATCAATTCGAATAGTATTTTGTTGGCAACTAATGGTTCAGTCAAGATCGGTAAGTCGAGTGCTCAATTTTTGTGTCATGATCTAAGCTAATAACCAATAGCCAATTTCGGCGAGAGTATACTACACATTCAAGACCTAGAGTCACATCAGGATGATATCCGATCACTCGGAACTATGATAATCGAATGCTTAGAGCCCCAAACTTCTCTTCAAAAGGAGGATTGCTTGAGGTCGAAGACATGGGATCCAAAGTTGATCAACTTTATTGAGGCCACCAAGCAAAGGAGTGCACATTATCTCTTGAAGGTTTAGCAGTTCCTCCCTTTCATATTGGCATTGTCTGATCGTCCTAGGATGACTTCCTTCAACTCTCCCCCGGGTCGCCATGTCTGAAACCGTACATTCGACTGGCGCGGGAGCTAGCTAACAATCAAGTCGAGCTCCAAAGAAATTAATCATATCGGTTTGATATGAAAAAGGTCCGAAGTTGGCATAATTTCGATGATGAGTAATGGTGAATTCTATATTGAATCACAAATGGATAGCATTTTCCAATCGATTCATTAATTCAAAATAGTATATCTCGGCATTTAAACGTCTCTATATCAAAAGTTGTGTCTGCATAGTGGCATGTCTATCATATACTCAATTTACTTTAAAAACGCCTTCATAGTACAGTAGCTAAATATATACTTATAGACTATGATATCCCTCAGAGTATAGCCTACCATTGTAATGTCCATTGCCCGTTCTGGAAGCTTGGTAGAGGATTTTCAGTAATGGTATCTCTTTGCTGCAAGATATCGTTCCTGAACTCTCCATTCGGGCCATGAAACACAAGAGTTGGGGCTGTCTGGCAAATATGTGCCAGGGTGGTTGTGTTAAGAATTGGCCTGTTGTCTTCTGGAGGGGTTGCTAGCCACGAATCCTGAAATTCTGGCAGATTTCCGCACACTGTTGCAAGAGAATTCTCAAGTACACAAATGCACTTTGCAGAATTGATATCGAAGAAGATTGTGTAATGTGGGACTTTTCGAGCTTGTGATATAACCTTCCTCCAGAAATTTCCGGGACCTATGGTAGCTGTGAACACACAGTATTCTCTTGTCTGTTGTATGATAGCATTCTGTGTCGGAAGCGAGGCGTCCAACAAATTATGAGAGATAGATGTAATTGCTGACTCATCGATCGGCGGCGCTGGTAAATCCCAACTGGGAGGTGAAAAGTCAACCATGTTGAGAAAATCCAGGGCCATGTTGTTATCAGCGTTGGATTGTCCATCGTCAGATAATTGACTAGTAAGGAGGGCGGTGTCCGATTGCCCGAGCATCACACTATCTGCTCGATCCTCGTTGCTGTGGGGCTGACTGAAAGAAGTTTGGTTGTTATTGCGCTCTGGTTGCTCTGACATTGTTATATCTACTTGCTGGATATTTTCATTCTGATGGTTTTGCATGTCGTGGTTAGTACCGGTCTGCATATGCTCTGACATCACGGTATCCCCTCCGTTGAGCGTTTCTTCGGCTTCTAGATCGCCTGATCCCGGGAAAAAGGCAATAAACATGTCACGTTTCACTTCAAAGTCTGTCGGATGTTCACGTCTCTCGTCGTTTTGTAAAGTATAAATCTGATTCAGGAAGAGGTATTTCTGATCAGCAAAATAGGAATCAGCATCGGTCATCCCGCATCGTCTCTCGATTGACCACGGTGTACGGGAGTCTGTGCTATGGTATGGACGAGACACTGCTACTGGTTTTCTGCCAATGCCATTCAACACCCTAGCAACCTGCTCAGTACACGATGACAGGATAACTTCATCGTATTCAAAGAGAGTGGGTGGTCTAAGTCGCAATAGCAAAGAATGCACCGCGGTATACTCGGAAGATTTCGCTGAATCGTTCGTGGACGATGCAAAGCCAACTTTGTTAGCGAGGTCTTTGAACCGAGCCCATAATTCGTGGTAGTCTGCTGGCTTCCGGGAATGCTTGTGGACGCCAATTGGCCGATGCTCTGAAAGCCCGTAGAAATTGCGGGTGGCGAATAAGAACATTTGTCGGTATGCAGACCAGAATCTTGTACTTCTATCCTCAACTGGATTATAGGCAAAATCGTTCTCTGTGATCTGGATCGGCAGGGGATCTTCACTAGAAGCAATGTAACATGCCCTCATTGCTTCTTGAATGGTGCCCGCAAAATTTGATGGAAGGAACTTTTTCATAACCTGCATTACGGGCTTAATGTACTTGGTATTTTCAAGGAAGGTTTTGAGCGAGGGAACAATGCCCTTAAAAGCGAGGGCTGCCTGGTGTAATTGAGATCGAGCCTGAGCATCTGTAATATGGGAAAATGCTCTTCCATTGTTAAATATTTCATTTATATACCAACAGTCACCGTCGGACCATTGAGGGCATCTTCCTTCGAGAAGTTGAATTGTCTCTAAATCAAGATCGCTATGGTGTCCGCATGTCAAAACATGCAATGACCGATAGATATGATCCAAATAATTAGAGAGTTCCTGCAGTTGTCAGCACAGGAAGTTTTGGAGTGAGACAATCATCAGACCTCAGGACATTGCATACTCAGGAGATGGGTACCCATCAACCAGGGTTGCCATATGCCAGGAAAATCAAGAAGTTCGTCTAGACTTTTCTGGAATCTTTTATAAGGCGATCCTTTGTCTCGGTAGATCTGACGGAAGTCTCGACATTTGGTTGGTGACCATTTTGCTAGCCACTCCCCGGCAGCAGCATCATTCTGACATTTCTGGTAGTAGCGGACATTGAAGAATATCTCTCCGTCAGATAAGACTCGTGAGCTGTCTCTAAACTCATATAAAATCCTCCTCGCTTGATCATCAAGTTTTGAGTTATCATACAGGGTCACATTCCACCAAATATCATCTGGTGGCAACCATGAACTTGCTGCTGCGATTCGATGTCTCCCTCTTGTACAGTCCAAGAAGCAGTTTGGAGCTAATATGATGGCAGGAATATCCGAGCCAATGGCTGAAAGAGAATTCATTGTAAGAATTTCGCGATACTGGTCTCTTGACACCAATGCGTTGATATAATTTGGCGGAGCTGAGCGCCGACAGCCCTCTTTCTTAAATCGATGCTTAAGACGGTTGATATTGCCCTGGTCAACTGAGTGTGTCTTAAGCTTTCCTTGCAAGCTTGTAAAGCGCAGCTGTCTAAGTTGATGTATCTTCACAGTGCCGAGCTGTGCAGCGGAAGCTAGATTCCAGGGGTTGTCCATGGCGAGTACCTTGACACCATCTACTATATCGGTATTTACCATCATTCATGCATGAAGGAATGTTTATATGGTAGGATGTATCCTAGGATTACTAAGTATACCATGGTTAATCGAACAAGTAGGTTCATAGGGACTTGTACAATTGTTTGCGGCTTTCAAGACAGCCAATGAGGACTCAGAAAATGTTGCTTAACGACTAACAGACTATTCAGGAATCAGTGGCCCAAACACCATGACCGTGGAAGTCAGAGTTTTGGTGCTAGCGCTTCGTCGAAGGCTGACAAGTAACTAGTCGGGAAACACCATGGAGGTTTACCTTATATAGAGCGAAAGTAACTGAGTCTAGTCTGCTCTGCTAAAAACCACTATTCTTTCCACAAAGAAAACAGCAAGAGGATAAATGGAGTCATGGAAATTGTTGAAATTGCCGGGGCGCGATGTGGCCGGCTTCGGTATGTCACAATAGTAGAAATCCGCGGGCTGCGAGCTGCGAGCTTCTGACACGTGATCAGGTCAAAATTTGACCACCGGCGAAGATGTTACTTTAACATCTCATGAAGATGAATCTGCACTGGCTTATAATGTGTTCGCATTGAATGCATTAACTGGAGGTCCCGGCATCCCTATCTATCACTGGCATGGCAAACACACAAACAAATATATCCTAATCATAGATCTTCGTGGGCCAAGTCTTGAGGAGGTCTTCGAAAAACACGGCCGAGAATTCAGGGCACCGACGCTGGTATACTTAGCCGAGCAGTTGGTAGCCCGCTTGCAGTACATTCATGGTCGGTCTATAACAGTTGGCAAACTAACACCTTACTCATGTTCTGTCGGCTCTCAGCAGTGGCGAAGCCCACAATTACTGATTGACCGCTTTTCACCACCCACAGGGGCTCAGACTTTTGCACAGGACCTGAATAGCCTGGGCGAACTTCTGTTGTACTTCTGCAATGGCTTTGTCACATGGGAACAATTCCAAGTCGCTAGGAAAAACAGCCATCCATTCACGCCATGCGGCACACTGTCGGTTTTCGTATGTGAACTTCTATCACAAAACCCGCCAGAATATCCACGCTTGAAGCTCATGATTGAGCATATGTATAACAGTCTGGATGTCCCTGAGAGATTTCTTCCATTTTACAATAACGAGCGATTCATATCTGCCAGAATTGACTCGAGTGGGGTTCTTTTTGCCCATCTTGAGAAGCATCTTGCAAAAATTGGTTGTGAAGTGAAAGGGAATCAATCTTGTTTATGTGAAATGGTTCCGAGTTCCCTTGGTCTTATCTTGGATTTATATTATGAGTTATTCATAAGGCTTCGCCCTCGTCATTGGAAAGGTCTCTACCTTGTTAGGGCTCATCATTTGCCAAATCGATTATGGAGAGATCTACGCTGGTTTATAACAGCAACAACAAAGGAGTCAACTATAAAGCAAAAGTCATTCGCTGATATGATATACAGTTTCTTAACAGTACTATTCGAAACTGTTCCACATTATCGAATTTACTGGACCGAGTATCTTCTAAGCCAAGCGCATCGTCAACGAGAATTGGAGGTTGATTTCAACAGGCGGCAAGCATGGGTTTCTACGATCCGTCACTGGGAGATGGAACTTCACAGGCTCAAAGCTATGCCACTGGAGTGGCTTATTGTCTGATTGATATTTTGTCTATCTGCTACCCGGCCTGTTGACGGGGACTTGATATCTAAGGATACATATGATGATAAAGATTAATAATCATGCAGAAAATTGTACTGTCCTTTCGGCCACTGGTCGTTAATAATCCCTGTATACATCCGAAGGTGCAACAGGCGACATCGCGTTTATGGCCATTCAAAGCATCTTATAGCACTTTCTGCGCTCATATAATTCTGAAGAACCTTCTTACACAGGCTAGGCATAATGGATCTTATGATCTTTTTGAGTGCAAGCTCTACAAGATAAATAGGTATCATTATGGAGGTTACTTGGAATGTATCGTAGGTGAATAAGCGTAATATAAGAAGCAATATAACTAAACAAAATCTTTGATAGAGACTTAGTACCAAATTCTCAAAAAATCAAGTACTGACCATGTTGAATGGTAGTCAATCTTTACAGCGTGATACCATTTGCTATGTTGAATAGCGGACTTCGGTCGGGCCTTGAGCCTTACTAAGGCTTGTCAGCGCGTAAATACGGTTTCCTCCCGTAATTGTAAAGCTTATTACCAACCACAGTCCAGCTCTTTTGTGGATCGTTGGTGACCCATTCGCCATTCAATCTGTAGTTGTAGCCTGTGTTATCCGAGGACGGGAAGAGTTTGACATCGCAGTATTGGATATTAGTCGTAGCAACTGTTGTCTTGGCGGCTGTTGTCTTGGCGGCTGTTGTCTTGGCGGCTGTTGTCTTGGCGGCTGTTGTCTTGGGGACTGGGTCGGTCGCAGTTGGAGTCCTTTTTTCAACACCTTTGCCCTTGTCTCTCCCTTGAGTCGTGCTCGGCATAGATATGTTCCCTGAATTCGCCTCAATCGTATGTGCTGGACCAGGGGTCAATGGGTCATAATACTCCTGGATGGTGTTGTTCTCCCTTGCTAGTCTGATAGCAGCCCACAAAGCAAGATTAACCGTTAGCCCGTCAGCCCGCGCCCGCGCCCATGGAATAACTGCATATTCCATAGCATTGATGTCAGGAATGAAATCAGTGGGTTTGACTGAAGGATCGTTGGTACTAGAGCTCACTTGACCGGTGCTCATACTCATACTAACTTCATCAATGCTCATTTCGCTGACACTACCCACGATATCCGAAGATATTGAGGAGATACGTTGACGTCTGGGAATTATTGAGCTGGTCTCCGAAGTCACCGAAGGACTATTCTGGCGTGCTGGCTTTGCGAGACTGCGTAGCTTTCTTGGAGATGTTCGATCTGCTTCGGGCGCCAAAAATAGACGAATAACAACCAGGGCTTCATTAGAGATTATGAAGACGATCGATGTCTTGTTGATTGCGCCATAGTATTGAACTTGCTCGAATGGGTTCACAAGGGACATCTTATCCTTTGCGTTGAGTGTGCTGTTGGCTGGGCCCATCTGAAGCAGCTTGATTGCATCCTCATGAGACCAAAGGTATTTCGTATCCCCACAAACAAAAGCTTTCGTTCGCTTTCTCTGGCCTGGAGGTTTGCTATCATCACCGGCACCCCAGTCTGGAAATATGTCCGTCGCTTCACATGTTCGAGAGCCGTCCGCAATAAACTGGCTTTTTGGCAGATTGGCCGACACGATAACCATATTCGTCGCAGCAAGCACATCGTTGAAACCGCGCTCCGAATATAATGTACTCAGGTTTGCATCCTGATATTCGGTGACTGGACTTATGAAGTCCCGCTCCTCAGCTAGTTCAGACGCATATCGCTCGACAATATTTTGGTGTGTAAAATCTGACCATGGGTAGATATTTTCCACATAGCTCCAGGCGGCATTGTAGGTTGGGACTGAGCTTGTACCACGACAGTCCAAGATGACATTGGGCTGGGTCAAATGTTTATAAACAGTCTTCGACATTGTAAAGCTTTGAAATTTCAGATGAACGTAGTCTTTCGTATACACATAGAGACGTACTGGGCAAGAAGGCCGTATTTATAGCTTAGTCTTATGTCTTGACGAAAGCGTTGCCAACCTATAGTAGTGCCAGCAACAACCTCATCGAAACTCTAGAGACAAGAAAGTTAAAGCCCGAATCATTTACTCTATGTCAAATCCTCTAATGTCTTATCCAAGCAGAAGACATCAAAATGCTCGCTGTTGGAAGTCTCTAACCGATATAGAGAGCACAGAGAGACTAATTCCGTTTTGCACAGCATAGAAGAAGAGTTGAAATATCCCACGATAAACCGGAAATTTAACATATACCAGATAATATGATGTATACGAGCAATAGCAATTTTCAGGAATAGAGCGCCGGGAGCTTTTCCTTCCTCTGATCGACGCCTACTTGGTCTTTGATGCTGATTTTGAGATGACCAAAGCTTTCTTACAGCATGGTGTCATGGCGACCTCTACATTCGATAAGAGACTACTTGTCACAGCTTATCACATATCGCCAGGTGAGTAAGAATTGTAGGATTGGAAAAGCCCTAAATTAATTTATTATCCCATCAAATTCCTTCTTTGCAATGATTGGACCCCATCCTTCATTTGCAACACGTCTAGCACAGATAAGAAGCCTTTGCTTGTCAACTTCCCAAGACCCAGGAAACAAAATAAGTAAAAAGTTTTGCTCCATGATAATTTCATCCAGATTTTGCTCAAAGCATTCTACCCCACAGAATGCGATCGGGTCTACATGTTTTGTTTCTGGCGTGTAGGAGAACCAGGCAGATTGAAATTCCTGGAGAAGCCGAGACATGGTAATGTGCCATGCTGGAGTAGGACGTATAGCCTCTAAAAATGGAAAAATAGAAGCTAGTGATGGATGCGTCCATGCTGGAATCATCATTAGTAGGTAAGCAATAGTTAAGAACATTTATAGTTCAGAGAACATATGCGATAACTTACTATCTGGTCGATGTCGAGTCTTTAAACAGATTAGTTCTAGTTCTATACCTTCAAGTTTTCGAGTGCAGAATTCTACAACAGTTTCCTGGTTCAAATTCAGTGTTGCAGCAATATGAGCACGTAAGTCTGATTTTTTTGCCCTGCCAAATTGTTAGGTGTTTTTTAGAACGATGATTATTGCTGTACAAACCGATTAAGAATATCACCTAATACTTCAGTTTGTTCAATATGAATGAGCTCCATCAATGGCTTGAACCGTTTGGGAAAAGGCCACGGCGAATTGACAATATAGGAGTGAGAAAAATCGTAGAGAACGGAATCGTAATAATCATGAAGACGGAAATGTTCGTCACAAATATCGCGGTGTAGTATCCCAATCTCATGCAACGCTGTAAGACGCCGAAGCCGATCAATAGCTAAAGAAGTGAACCACTTCTTTTCAAAACAGCTTAGAGATAGCTCAGTAATTTCTGCGACAAAATTGTCGAAAAGATGGAATTTCCGACCGGGGGATACCCCTAATATGCGCCGGGAACTTAGATTTGGCTTAATTCTTTCAAGCACTATTGCTCGAGGACGCAATGCGTAAGTTCTAGGATACTGCTCGCGTGTCAAATTGAGCACCCCAGAGTAGGTCGGAAAATATGAGAGTTTAGAGGGTGGACAATTGTAAAGAATATGTTCGTAAGCTCGGCTTTCATTCAAGAAAGGATCTAGTTCTCTCTTCGACTCGAAATATTCTTTGTCAAAGAACTATTCTCAATTAGTAATACTATCATGGCTAGGGAAGAGGAAATTCTTTCCACGTACCGTCTTTGCCACGAGACTTGCTGATCTATTCACCTGCAACCTCAATACAATGATACTATGCAGCGCTGGCCTATCATCACGCATTGGTCGTCCCAATTTCCAAGGGTGGTTGCATTCGAATTGCTTGAAGTCTTCGGGATTGCGGACATGTTGCTCACTCAAGTCAAGTATATGTGGCTCACAGTCTTCAAAGAACCGCGACCGCACAGAATCCATGGCAAAGTGATAGGGAGTTATCTTGAGGCTGTTTGTTGACAGTTGGTATGAAAAACGACAATGGAAAGGGATGAAATTTGAACTTGCAACCACACTCCTCGTTGTCTTAGGTAATACAGAGTATGGATCAAGAACAGGTGTCAAGTTGTAGATATGAACACACGCAGGCGGATAACTATACTTCTATGTAATGAAACTGGATGCGCTTTCAAGTAAATGTTGTTCTGAGCGTCGGGACTGCGCGAATTTTGCGCATTAGCGGCAAGTATGGCGCAGATTCTAGTGATACAAGCAATAATAAATGAGTAACTTGACCGGTTCGTTTGTCATGTGACTTATGTTCGCGATGCAGACTTGGTAGACAACCACCTGCAGCAAAATCACCTGCAGCTCAAGTTCACATGAGTTTCATTCTGTCAAGGTAGAGGGTTCTTCGTTGCTAACTGCATGTTATTGATAAGAAGTAATAAGGCAAGAAGAAGAAGGGACTATATGCTATCTAGAACTATCTTCTCCTTAAGTTAGAGGACTACACCAAGGATGCGTTCGAGAGGCACGTGACGCTGGCTTCTTAGGCAGCAAACAACCCCGCAGCAGTCTTCTGACTTCTTAAAACCCAACCCCCCATTAATTGTTTCCTCATTTCATTTGTGAACACTTCAGCGCACTGCCAAAATGGCATACAGAGCTCATGATTTTACGGATACCGCAAAGAAGCTTGTTGAAGAGATCAGATACATCATCCAAAAAGACCCTGTGATCGGCGAGAGTAAGCCTGGTAGTGGCTATGAATTTTCTGGCAAGGAGTTGTCTAGCAGGACCACACAGTTGGAGCAAGAGCTAAGCAATGAAAACTATATTGTTAGTACTACTAGTATTATATACAGCGTTAGTCTAAACGTGACCCAGGCTTCTAGGTGCAAAGTCCTTCATCTCGACCATGGCGGAAACATCCACAATAGATCTGGCCATTTGCTCGTTATGCCTTTGAACGGCTCTGCGGCTTTCGAACGGGTTGGCTCTTCACAGTCAGACGAACCATTACGACCATGTCATTACCTCACAGAAACAAGGAGACTTCGGGGGGAAAACATCGATGTTATCATTGTGGCACTGGAGAAAAGAGATTGATTAGAAATCGTCCAAATACCTCGGATCATGAAATTTTCAATACCAAAGCCCACAGTGATGTAAAGATATTTGGTCGTATCCAAAATATCCTGTTTGTCAGTCCTTGGGGGAAGGTTAGAATACATTTTCTTCCAAAACCAACTGGAGGCAACGAATATTTTCGAATAGCTCTCCCGCTCATTGTTTACATTCATGTAGCTGGAATATTTAATCGATCTGCAAGATGTCCATAAGAGCTGTCATCACCATCTTGTAAACCCGACATTATCACCGGATGCTCCCAAATGTTAATGCCTGTACTTGACGAGCTTTCTGGGAAGAGCCCAGAGCTGTAAGCATCGTTATAACCATCTCGCGTACCGGTAAAGAATGTCGGGTCATTCCAAATATCGATCTCTGTACGGGAAGAACTGGCTTGGAGTGCTGGGGTCTGGTAAGTACTATGATCGCTGCCTGACAAACTTGCCGAAATCATGGGATGGTTCCAAATATCAATGTTTGTGCACGATGAAATGGTAGGAGATGCTGGAGGGATGTATACATTGTCATTGCGATCTTGGGTACTCGTGTGAGCCATCGGGTCGTCCCAACTATCAACATTTTCACCGGGTGGATTAATTGAACTTATCAGTGGGTTATCTGGAATCACGTCATCACCGGGTTCAAAACCTTCTGAAAATACTGGGATGTTCCAGATATCGACATCGAGAATCGCGGGGCTGGATGGAACCCTAGAACTTTCATCACTGAGAAGCGTTTCAGAGAAGATTGGACAATTCCAGATGTCGATATCGGGATTTGGATTATATGGAGAAAGTGTCACAGTCGGAATAGAAACACCTTGTGCTATGCTTGCAAGCACAGTATGCTCCATATCTGGACCAAATGGATCCGAGTCTGAAATAGAATGGAGTTCTGGTACCGTTGCATTGGTGTATACATCATCATCAGGCTCATGATCCATTGTCCTTTGGTGTTTACTAGGAATAGGAATTGCGCCGCTTGAGAGCCGGCGCTTGGTGGTTAGAGGCGGATTCGGGGAGGACACAACATCAGCTGAATTCGAGGTTTCTGACAAGGAAGAAGGCGGTAAGGGGTTGACAAGAGTAGGTACAGATACTGGCTTTTCAACCACATTCTCTGGGCCGAGTATCTCCGAAGATGAAGATGGGGAAGTAGATGCAGCTGCTCCATCTGTGTCAGGAGCTTCAAGAGAAGGTTGAGAGCATTGAGAGAATATGGCCCCATCTATAGCACTTGATCCAGAAGATGACGATGAACGAGCAAATCCATATGCGGGCGAGCAACTGAAACAAAGTGATCTGTAAGTTTCAGAGCATTCATCTCGCCAAGACCTTGCGCTTGCTGCTAGGTTCTTCCAAACCTCGCCGGATATAAGATTCTGGGCAATCACTTGTAAGGCGTTAGGCGAACAGCGTGGGATATAGCTCCACGCAAAAAATGTTATCCAGACATAAGAAAGAGGAAGCGAGTCTGAGAGTTCCGTATTCACAGAGAGCTCCTGAAGTTTTGTCTTTAGGATTCTCTCGAGAAATTTGAACTTGATGCCAATCCCGATTAATAGAGCAGCTCCCCTCTTGTCGGTGAAATGGGGACATATCTCAGTGTATTGTTGATAGCTCGATCCTTTCTTGGAATTGAGGAGCATTTCATCCAGTTTTGAGTGTTGGCAAATCTCGTCTGAATATTTCAGAAAGTCTTCTGCCAGTGAAGATACCCCTAGTCCAGCTCTGAATCGTACCTCCATACTGTTGTTCGCGACCGCTTGCTTGCCGTCTCGGACGCGAAAGTCTTCACTCTTCCTGTCACTAATGATAATATCAGAGACTTTCTTCTTGCTGAATGTCTCTATCTCGTGTGTTCTTTTCGACAAGTAGCGCATTACGCTGTATGCTGCTTTTTCATCCCGTTGTCGAATGGCTTGATCTGGCAGTGTCTGCTCCTGGACGCGAGTAATATGGTTCGAACTTCCTAATAAAGATTTGAAGGAGTTGTATAGTCTCTTGATATCATTGTAATGAGCAGAAAAAACCTCTGGGTTCTCTTCTGAAAGCGTTTGAAGGGCTGATATCGCTCGCGAGACATCCTGTATGGTCTCCATTGGTAGTTGTTGTCGTAGTTCAAGTTGGAAAACTTTCTCGCATTAAATGGGACATGTAAGACAATCCCTGCAACGCTGTCTGAAATTCAGACAGCGTTGCAGGGATTACAAACCAGATTCTACCATCCGAGAATTCTTCCTAGGCGCCGGTGGCGCTGGCTGAATTATCGATAGGCCAAGAACTATTCTCACACCATGGCCTGTGATCAAACCGTATTGCCTAGCTTACAACTCACATCAGACCAACCCCTACGGTATGTCCCTTGTGGTATTGAAGCAGTATATAGGTTATTTTTTCGAGTTATAGACATTCACAAAGCCAACGAAAATTATGCTCACATATATTATACGTCGTCTTAAAAGACTCTTTACCAGGCACAAAGATGATCGTCTTTCTCTGATATGTTCCTCTACCATGCATGATATTATGGAAGTTCCGATTTTCACAGCCACGTCAGATAAACCTTACGCGTATGGTCCAGAAGCGCTAAGTCAGCTATTGTACATCGAAAAGTACCAAGGAATTGGCTGGGGGCCCAAGGATGAACCCTACTTGAAATTTATTGGTCACTACGGTCAGCCGCCTGAACGCAAGTTTACTCATTGGTCACGTACGTTCTTTAACACCTGGGCTCTGCCGCGGAGCATGTTGGATCAAATGGTGCCTGAAGATGAACAAGAGTATATGGAATCACGTTATGGCTTCAATTGGTCTCGGGTATCAGTCGAGGCGAGGCTCATTTCGGTGCCTACGTGCAGGGCACATTGGACCATGACTCTTGCTGGAGATGGAAAAAGTATCAATATATCCTTCGAAGAACAGGAATTTCGATATTATGACAATTCTGTTTATCAGAACACTGATACTATGGCTGTCTACGAGACCAAAGACTGCTCAGTGGAGGGACTATCAGCGAACGTGTGGATTCCGGAGCATCTGAAGCAGCACAATACTTGTCGTTGTGTGGATTGGCTGTGAGTCTAATCCTATATCATAAGACGTTGACTTACTGATTGAGTGTTAGTTTTCTCAATCTTTGGAATTTTGACCGCTTGGGCTTTCTTAATCTTGATAATGGAAGTGGCAACGATCTTCTCACCTTCTTACAGGAGAAACGAAATGAGGTTGTCAGCTCTGCTGAAAGCTATTTTCAATCTTAATATAAGCTCTATTATATATAAGTCTGTCTGCTTCTGCTCTTACTCAATGTAATTAGTTTCTGATATTACGTTTCTATCATGGCTGAACCCTCAGGATTACCAAAGAGTCAATTCAATAGCCTTGAACTCTTGAGGTTTCATAAACAACTCCGATCAATTACCATAGAAAAGAAATTGGATAAGACCCAGAATCATCTTCGTTGGTTTTTATTTTTTCACTTAGAGGATTGTACCTTATCTGCCTGTCTGGAATCTTCGACAAACCGCTTGTGTCTCAACTGGAAGCTAGAGAGTTCATACATCTTAGAGAGTCAATCTGTAGCATTTTATGCTACAGGATATTGTCCCCCTTTCGCTGCAGTCAGTGCTGCTATGTTTACACAAAAACATATCGAGGAGCCAGAGTCAGATGATTTTATCTCTTGGATGTGAGTATATATCAAACAGATACATGTACAGTATCAGTTAACATTACCAGCTCCAAAGTAATCAGCTTTTTGCTAGCACGAGGATGGGTTTTTGGTGACTTGGATCAATTGAAGTCGCTATAGGAACGCAAGGCATAGCATCTTCTCAATATGACCAACTTCTCAACATGACCGAGGTTTCTTGGACAGGGATTCTTGAGAGTCAATGGAGGCAGACCGGGCTCTCTTATGTACACAGGTGTACTGATTGTTTAATCCTGGTATTGTCTGGAGTTCTTCTTCCGAAATCCATGCAAGTCTGTAAATCAGAAATTCCTTCATACCATTTACTCCTTCTCTTGAGTGGATTACAGTATGAATGATAGTACCTGTCGAGTGGCGACTAAGATCGGAAGACATAGCTCCATAGGGTTCGACAACCTCAAATGGCTCGGCATAGGTTTTGTCGGTAGCCCGAGTGTTGCCGCTATGAGGTTTTTCATCAACATGCGCATTATTCTGGTACGAAGGAGATAGCCCAGGGCCATAGCGCGGTGAGGTCATAGGAATCGTATCGGTACTGGCCGTGTCATTGAACATAGACTCAGGGGTAGAATGATTGTCCGATACTAAATACCATCGAAAATGTCAATCAAGTCTGCCTTGGTCTATTATAGGTAGATCACCTTTTAGGGGGTCCTCTGTAGGAGAAGCCATTTTGTAGATTGTAACAATTTCAAGTAGAGGAATGAGGTAACAAGAGTCTTGAACTGCGGCTCTATTTATACAATTCTTAAAAAAGTTTAATCTGTGATTTCAAGTACAGATGCTACAATATGGCTTACTGCTGTCTTGTTGTAAGGTCTGCTGAGTTCGGAACGATATAAAAATTCTTTGATTTCCTATCCAGATACCTACCTTTCGCAAGCGCAGATCTTTGGTCGATAAAATCTTTAAGAGTCTAAAGCCTACTCGCAGGCCTCAGCTTCTTCAAATACATATAGTGTCAAAATATTCTAAATGTTAGAATTTCCATCAATCGGACATAAAGACATCTACTGACCTGGAATAAATTCAATCACAATGCACGACTCACCAGAAAATGCTTTGTATACTTTGAGAAGATCTCAATGCGAACTTATTCGAATTCACCATCAAAGCTTGCGTTGTTCCTCCACAATGGCTAGAATAGATCAACACAACAAAGAGCCATTTCCTGTGCCTCTTCCTTCATTCGAGTCTATGATTTCAACAACAATGTTGCTTCGTGCCAAGCTGGATTATCTATCAAAAATCACTCGTTCACTTATCAACCGCGAGCAAACCAGACGTGGTGCAATGATTTCGATTGATGGATATTGCCCTAAGGCTGTGGAGTTTATCACATCCTATCTTGATTATATTTTGGGCAATAACTATATGTCCAATACCTTCAGAGGCCCGGCGACCCCAGTCATCTGTTCTCATTGCACTCAGCAGTTGCAGCGTCTGGAAGATCAGGCTAACGTGTCTTGGAAGCTGACAATAGCCAACGTTGAGAAACATCTTCAGAAGCAACAAAAGCACCGCTGCAAACCTGTGGCTCTTGTTCCGCAGTATCAGCTTACATTAATCGATCTACTCTGCCTAAACTTCCTCAATACTCAACAGAATATTACACCTGAAGACAAGTGGAGGCAGCAGGCAGACGTTTGGAAAGGCTATGCTAGACCAGATATTATCGTTTACATTGATGATCTGAAGAACGAAGACTATTTCGAGTTGGTTCAAGTTGGGACACAAAATTTGATTATTTGTGGCACTGAGCGATCATCGGGCTTTCCAATATGGCCTATCAGGTGTCGTATGGTGAAGGTGCTCAAAACCATACTAAACGAAACCAGATTTTGATTGATGGATACGGTCTTGGGATTCTGTTTATCAAAACTTTGGAAACCTTAGCTTTCAATTCGTATGGCTCAAAGAATGACTTTGAGAGGGCTACATTCATGATCTTTATCCTTGCTTCGGAAGAGATATAATCAAGCTAAATGTTGTATTGTATGCGAGTGTCAGAAGGACTAGAAAGGCGAAAATAATCTCAGTATTTGATCGGGTCCGAAGCATGGCAGAGATAATTCAGATGTCCTCGGCTTACAGAAATCTTGTAGAAAATTAACGCAGTTAATAGGGCAGGCATAGCAAGCACTCAACAGTAGTAAGTACTATAGCGGTGACACTGAGCAATAAGATAAGCCGCATTATCCAATCCAACGTATGTATAAGCGGAGCTTTCGCTCCATCCATCAGACATAATAATCACAGACGAAATCCACATAGCGTTCTTCCTCAAGCATGTTGCCAAGGCGGAAAGGCAGCAAGGTGCTGATTTGTATTTCCACGCAGCAGATAGCTAAAGGGCAAAGAGCACTATACCTAAGCAGGAACGCTATACCACTTCAAGTAATTCGCCGTCACCGCAGACTACGGAGTACTCATATCGTATCTGTGCACCTTCAGGTCAAGCAAGAGCCAGCATCCAATGTAAGGTCGATTGGCCCCATTGCAATTAAACATCTCGGCATCTCTCCCATTTTTATTTCTCGGAACCCACAGAGGGACCAACTACGCGTCATCTAATGATTCCAATCCCCGCCAGAGTTTTGATGCATGCCTTCTCGGATCCATGTTTGAGGACCGTGGGAAGATGATCGCTCCTCGATTCCTTTCAGGTCCTGAACAGATAAGCTGGGGCTCTTTTGCTGCTGACGGCCATGTGGAGAGGTAGTAGTAAGCCTATGCGTCATCCCAAGGCGCGGGTTATCAACGGTAGGTCGACGGTACACAGTCCGCCATGTGGCAGAATCACTCTCTATGGACCCTGATTTTGCATGGCGGCAGATCAAGTCGAATCGGGTTCCATCCTATGTCCGAGTTTTTTCTCGGTATATTGAAGGGTATTTATTCTAGACCGGTCACATTCCAGCTTACAGGCAGCCCTAAATGTCAGCGAGCACGATGTCCCTCAGCTGAAGGTTTCATTTATTGTACAGTACATAACAATCATCATCAATCATGGCCTCTTGACTTGTCCATATCCTTGGAGATGGGTGATGTGGCTTCAGGTATCTCGTATATCTTTGCGACTGTGTGAGATTTTGCTTCGAGACACCCGGAAGAACTTCTGGAACAACGACTCGTAGATCGGCCTACCTTCCACGGTGTCACTGACATATCCGAAGAAGATAAGCGACACAAAGGACAGGAACATGATAACGCCGAAGCTGGCCCAGTACTGCGTGATTGTGTATTCGCCCTTGACATTTTGGAGTTCCGTTGAAAAGTACCCCGTCATCAGGCTGACCGGTAGGAAAAGGATCGTCACTTTCGCCAACAGGATAGTGATCCTGGTCAGCTTCTCCACAGCCTGCGAATCCTTGAGCGCAATCAAGTTGAAATTCTATCACCAAAAGTCAGCTTTCACTAGAGTCATGTCTAGAGATGAATTCGGATCATACCAAGAATGTTAGATTCTCTTTCTCTGTCAAGCAGGACTCAATCTCAGAGAGACAGTACAGCTTGATGCGGTCAACCAGCCTCTCGAACCGAGCCACAGCTGCGGAGCTCAAAGGTACCCCGACCGAATCATCCGGGATGCTTGAAAGACTAAAGCTGTTCTGCATGGATTGCTGTTGAGCATCGTCGGAGTCGTTGTCTCCGAATGTTTGTCCGAGCGCCAGTTGGGGGTAATTGCAGCGTGCTTTATCATGAAGTGATCGCTGTCGTTGAAGAATGCGTATCATGATGAGCTCGTAGCTCTGGTAGAGACGTTTGAGAACTGCCAATCGCCTTCCCAGCCAATGCAATTCGTCAATCAGATCCACGACCGGCTTGGCTAGCATATTTTGCCTCTGCCTCGAGATGTCAACTCTGTAAAACGCTGCGGGGAGGTAACACGTGCACCACAACGACTGAGGGGAGGCATTGGACCACATACCAGCCGATCTAACGCCACGCCATACTTATGCTCACGTTTCGCCACAAGTGCATAAGATGACACCCAGTCATCGAAGATGTAGTAGAAAAGTAGACTCGGGCCGTCTTCTTGTCTGATGCTTGTCTGTTCCGGGCCTGCCTCAGAAGACGGTCGTACCCGGATTGTCACCAGGGACTCACTTTCTGAGGAGGTGGGATGGTGTTTAGAGACCCCGGAGAAGATAAGTTGCAGGTTCCGGCGAACCACGCCAAGGACAGCCTTGATCTCTTTCTCCGACGGGCCTGATAAGCCGGGAAACGGATTCTCTTGCATGTTGATGACAGTCCCTGCACAACTCATTACTAAGAGTCTAGCGATCAGGGAAATGCTTCTTACCATCATCGCATAAAAGTAACCAGGACCACAACCGCCTACCAGCTGGTAAATCTTTCCCATTGTCCATCTCATGACCTGGGATTACATAGATCGAATTGTAACCGACGCAGGTATCTGTGATCCGTGAGAATTCTGGCTTCAACAGCTCAATAGAGTTGGACTTACACCTTGGCCCATAATCCACAGAACAGAAGTGCCATATCTGGTCAATGACGTGAGCAAAAGTGAGACCCCTGAACGATGCCAGTGCGCTAATCTCTTCGGGATTAGTCAAATTTCTGAGTGTATTGCCTTCTTCGAGGTCTTTCATTCGACTTGAGGGCAACCGATCGCGGTGTCTAGAGTAGCTAATCCGTGAAGGCTCAGCAGAGACCGGAGGTTTTGATGGAGGCTCGACTGGGTCTGTGCGCATCATGCCCTGTAGCCGTTCCGATACACCATAGTGACTAGTGATGGACTGGAAGCGTCAGTGGAGACATGGTGATCCATCGAAGACTATGCTAACCTTTATCAAGTCTTTTTGCTGCTCGGGGGCCCATATATTACTGGTGAAACTTGAGCATGTCTCCATTCGTGTTGAATAATGCTTATACTTACATCCACCGAGTACCATAACATTTTGGCTTCTAAGCAACATCCACACTTAGTCTTATTCAAATAGCTTCAAGCTCCCGATGACAACATACTGGCTTGCGCAGCAGCAGCGCTATCTCTTCCTTGTCCAAGTTTACCGCACACCATGCATCTTCATTGCCGAAGTCGAGCACAAAGTTTCTCGCTTGAGGGTCTTGCAGAAGAGTCCGATAGTGCTTCAGGTTGGCGGCATCATCAATGTCGCGAAACTTATCTTGGATACTTGGTTTCTGAGTAAAACTGAAATAATAATCTTGAGGTGTGTGGCCACTGCTGGATGTCGTAGGCTCGGACATTTCTTGTTCAGGCCAGCAGCAACAGGCAGTTGCGAGGTCGTATACTGAACACTCAAGGATGGGTATGATAATCGAGAGGCTGAATGAGACACAGGGACTTATAGGAAGTAGCAGCAGCCTGCAATTGCTCGGATAATTTCTTGCAGCTCCAGCGTCGCGCAGATCAAGGCAACTGCCTGGGTACTTATGAGCTGAGACAACACAGTCGCTTGCCGCCCAGCGCGGGCGCCAGAGCACTGCAGCTGACTCGTCCGCAACACGAGGGGTATGTTGACACAAGCCCCCGCCAAGGATTCCGGGGGGGGGGAGTCTGGAGGTGGGCGCGTATCGATGGTGGTGAGTGTCGAAAGGTATCATATGCTCGAATTTCGTTGTAGTGAAGATCTGCAACCCAGTTATGACTAGGTAAAATGCTTGTAAGAGATTAAGTCGGGTCAAATTCGTGGTGGTACTAGATTAAGTGAGAACTGCTGGTCGACTAGCCAGGATCTCGCAGGTATCGACTGAGACTTCGTTCATATTGGCCTCGAGAGCTGTCAGCATCTTGTCAGAGGGCTGCTCGTTATTTTAGAATGGAGCGGTGATGCTATCAGGCAAGAGTTCGACTCTTATTATATATAACATTTTCCAACACACACAAACGAACCAGTTCACTTGCTGAACTTGAATATGAGAGATAATACTGAGGGGTAACGAGCAGAGATATGAGCTCTTCCCCTGATGCATTCCATCTAGAAAGATAGATTTCATTCGCCTCTTTATAGATGAGGTGATGCTTAACTGTCTACTGGCCCAGATAACCCTCCCACGGCCAGGGACAAAGAGAGGAGGAGCCCGGGCCTTAAGGTACCCCATAGCTACCCCGTTTTGGTTAGTTCTACCGGGCCGTCACGCGATCCGCGGGAATTCTACCAGACTGCAGTCCAGTATCCAGTATAGTATCCACGCACCTCATCAGATCCACCGGTCACAAGCACCGACATACCGACATGTTTTGGGCAGAGGAGTCCTCAGTTGACTCTTGAAGGCAAGGTGATCATATCCAGCCGACTTATTCCGAGAAGGATATGATCTTCATCTCATGTCCGTTTCAAACGTCTATAGCGGATTTATTGGCGACCATCTTGAAAATGGCACATCAAGCAGCTACGGGGAAACCCGTTCGCTTGGCTACGTCATGTACTGAATGTCAGCGTCGAAAGCAGAAGGCAAGCAGCACAAGCCAGCCTTAATACGATATAATACTTTCATAAGCATAATCCTTCTAACTGCTACTTTGTACAGTGTAGTCGTGATTGGCCATGCAACCATTGTCAAGCCAGAAGAGTGGCTCATCTATGCAAATTTCCACTCAAGAAGTCGCTCAAAGTGACCAGATCCATGACCAACAATGCAAGGTCAGCTATAAACAGCACCTTTAGCTTTATACAAGTCCCTAATACCTGCTTCAGTATAGACACATCACAGACGGCTTCCGTAGAGTCGAATCCCGAAGTATCGAGTTCTAGTACGATCACGACGATTACCAACGACAATGCTTTTCGTATGCTCGGATACCTTCCTGATAGCGAGGTAGCGACGCCTCAGGGTGCCGAGAGATATGTAAGACTAATGTAATATGGAATTGTGTCCACCTTCTGCTGACTGTTGATTCGACAGCAATCTGCCGCAATTTCTCCCGGTCCCTGTGGCACTATTCAGCCGGAGATGGAGAAAGCTATCCGTATAGTCCCTCCAAAACCATACACAGGTAAACCAACCAACTAACGATAATCCTGCGCAATCACTCATTCATGTTCAGACATCCTGGTACAGCACTTTCTCAGTGAGATCAATCCGCAATACTATTGTCTCTACCCGCCTACATTCTCGCACGACTATGCTACATGGTGGTCTGGCAAGGCGGCGGGTCAAGCGTTGACTCCCGAGTTTACTTGCCTGCTCTTACACATATGCGCCTGCGCAAGCTTATATCTGGACTTTGATGCTCGACAGAAGCTGGAGACGGAGCTTGGGGAGAGCGCCCAGAATATGGCTGAACAGTATCATCATACTGCCAAGCAGCTTAGCAGCACCATTGCACCCGGTAAAGGCGGGCTGACTCAAGTGCAACAACTGTTCCTCAATGCAGTTTACTACAAAAGTGAAGCACAATTTGTTGAGTCATGGCATGCCCTGGGCGCTGCGATCCACCAAGCACAGGAATTAGGTGAATACAGGTACTCCAAGCTTTGTGATGTACAGGCTGACTTCTGAACCTTGATGAAAGGCATGCACAAGAGTTCAGCCAAGGCGATCGTCTCAGAGTTCGAACGCGAAATGAGAAGGCGAATTTGGTGCATATTGTATACTTGGGATTGGTAAGCTCGTGCTGGTTGGTCGTTATCAATTGAGGTGTTGATAAAGCTAGGCAAATGTCTCTATTATTATCGCGACCATTCATCATAAACAGCAACTACTGCTCTTTTGAAGTGCCCAACCTACGCCTCGAGAGCCCTGATCCCGAGGAGTTCGGGCTTTCGCCAATCGCTCACATGACCTTCCAATGTCAACTCGGACAGATTATCTCCAAGATACCCGGTGTGATGGGTGGCTTATTGTCCCCCGCACAGGCCATTACCATCCAACATGAGACTGAGAAGTGGTTTCATACCCTCCCCGCGCCATACAGATCAGAAAACCCCGACACTCGCTGGGATCAGTCTCACAAACACGTGGCGATGCATCGGCATCAGCTACATGCAATCGGGTATATGGTAATATTTCTGCCTTTGAAGCCATGCCTTACAATGGCTGTCGATCAAGACCAACCCAGCATTGAGAGGAGTCTTCAACCGACTGCTGTCGACTGCGCACTGAAGCTGTTGGAATCATCTCAGCGGATGCTAGCTTTTATGCTACCGGCAAACGCCAAGTTCCACTACGCCCCCTTCATTATCTTTGACACAGCAGCGTTCCTATGCTCTGCAATTATCCATGATCACAACAGCACTCTCCCCGGCCGAGACAAGATGATCGAAGCGATTTCGACAGCTCTCGAAGCGCTGGAACAGATATCCGAGAACACAAAGACCGGTGCCATCTGCTATGCAGTACTTAAGAGGCTTGCGAGTAGTATGAATCTCACTGAAGAGGAGAAGGCGGCCATATTCTCCAGATCGTCGGACGGATCCCTCGAAGGACCCAGTACACCTCCTTCGGCCTCTCTAGAATCTAGTGCATATCTTGATGCCACCTCTGCCTCCACGGATCTGGATTTGCCGTGGAGCTCTATAGAAGCTGGCATCAACTATTCGACACCTTTAGGATTGAGTCCCTCGGCAGCAGGGACCGGCGATTTTGCCGGGATGGACGGTCTTTCCAGCATCGATATGTGCGAATTAGGCCAAATATGGGATTGGGGTAATCTTGACCTGAACCTTCAATGGCCCCCTGCTACCTAGGGTATGGCTTTTGCCTGGTGCACGGTGTCATGTCTTGACTATGCTGTCTTGACCGTAGGAGAGGAGATATAAGGGGCGAGATGTTGGATTAGTTGTTCTAATGATGGTTGCAAGGAGTCAAGAGTCTACCAAAAGCTACTCACTTGTTTTGGTAAGGTCATAGAGCATATCTCCTGTCACAATGTGTTAAAGTCTTGCCCATCGACAAATCCATTATACTCTCTTCTATCTGCAGCCAGAGCGTTGCGTGAACAGTGTCCCATGATTGGCTGAGACCCAGACGCGGGCGCTGCTTAGTCATTGATAGCTTGCTGAATCAGCCCGAAGCAGGAATTAGGGCAGCACTAGCCCCAGTGCGGCTAGCGCGGGAGACGCCCACAAGCGGAGAACGGGAATTTCTCTGCGGCCGACGGGGCGAAGTACTCGAGTTTTTTCCCTTTGCTTGTCGACCAACATTCAGCGCAGAGCCACACCATAGGAATTTGAAAGAGTTCTTTTGGAAGACTGTCCAGCAAGATGTCCAAGATCACAGTCGGTATGTGAATCCCCTGCATCCACGAGTACCCCTCGATCGACAGTGACGAGTGCACAAGCCCCAAAATGTGCATCAAACCCGCTGACCTGCAATTCTTTGGTCCATCACAGCCGGAGTGCGCCAGAATGTTGAGCAGCTGCTCAACTACTCTCAGAATGAGAAGAAGAGAAACTTCCTCGAGACCGTCGAGCTTCAGATCGGTCTGAAGAACTACGACCCCCAGCGTGACAAGCGTTTCTCCGGCACCATCAAGCTGCCCACCATCCCCCGCCCCAACATGAGCATCTGGTATGTGGCAACCGCCGATTGATTTTTCTTGAAGTCTGGTCGAATGGAGAGGGTGTTACGCGACAGATCTGCGCATCACGGCGATGCATAGGGGATACGGGAACCACCAGGGTCAGAGAACAAGCAGGCTAACGGAACATGCAAATCCAGTGTTCTCGGTGACCAGCACGATCTCGACCGTGCCAAGCACTTCGGTGTTGACGCCATGTCCGCTGATGACCTCAAGAAGCTGAACAAGAACAAGAAGCTCATCAAGAAGCTTGCTCGCAAGTACGATGCCTTCGTCGCTTCCGACTCCCTCATCAAGCAGATCCCCCGTCTCTTGGGTCCTGGTCTTTCCAAGGGTATGTTCCTCCCACCACACCCTATTCATGACGGTGACATGCAGACTAACGCCCACCACAGCCGGAAAGTTCCCCACCCCCGTCTCCCACGCTGAGGACCTGGCTGGCAAGATCAACGAGATCAAGGCCACCATCAAGTTCCAGCTGAAGAAGGTTCTCTGCTTGGGTGTTGCCGTCGGCAACGTTGGCATGACCGAGGATGAGCTCGTCGCCAACACCATGTTGGCCATCAACTACCTCGTCTCCCTCCTCAAGAAGGGCTGGCAGAACGTTGGTAGCCTTGTCCTCAAGGCTACCATGTCTCCTCCCAAGCGTCTCTACTAAGGGACTCTTACGCTTTGCTGCGCTGGAGGTCTAGAGGGATCATCGAGTTTGGGATTGTATAGGCCTTAGTTGACTCTACGGGAAATGTGACCCACGACTTTATATCCCTCAATTGCGCTCTTTATGTGCGGAATCACGTAGAATCGTAGTACATGTTATCCCGGTAACTGGATGAGGTGTGTAGCATTCGTCGATGTAATAAGTTGAGGTATAAATAGTCCTGTACATTAAGCTTCGGCTCAGGTGGTGCAGATCATTAACTTATTGCATACCCTCCATCAGATCCGTCCGGTCCAAGATCATCCCCCTCATTCCGATGAACTCGCGCAGACTGTCCCATTCCTCTCCCTCCTCTTCACCTCTCAAGTAAACGTCCTTGAAACCCCAGGCAAGCGCAACCTTGTCGAACGCCGCCCGCTCCTCCTCGCGGAGCCAGCGGTGCCGCAGCGGGACTCCCGGTTGCCAGGTCACCCGCTCCATCTGATCATTCGCGGTGGTGATCGCCAGCAACCCGACCGAGGTGACACCGCCCATGTACGCCAGCCCCGCCGCGAAGGCGATGCCCGTCGCCGTGCTGGCGTCCATCGTGTTCTGCAGGCTCCCGGCCCATGTCGCGAGGATGTAGCAGGCCACCGGCGCGGCACTCAGCCCACCCAGGGGCAGAGCGGCCTTCTTGTAGGCCTTGGCCCGGCGAAAGGCCGCGGTGGAGAATGTGGTGTCGATGATCGCCAGGACGAGGGAGAGGTTCCGCTGCGCGATGGCGACGTCCAGCGCCGAGTTGGCCAGCTCCAGCGGGATGGCGCTGTTGATGCTGTTGGGGTTCGCCTTGCTGAATCGCACGGGTGAACTCTTCTCCTCCGGGATCGGCTTGTTGGCGTACAGGTGGAAGATCTCCGGGAAGTGGTGGGGCTGCTGGAGCAGGACGTGGATCTTGGTGTAGGAGGCGAGGGCTTCCGGGGAGATGAAGACCTTCTCGTCGTTCAGCAGGCCGTGGACCGCCTGGCACAGCTGCTTGGATAGCTGCTTTCGGCTTTGCTTGGGTCGTGGTTGCGGTGTTTCCGCGGCCGTGGCCGGTTCGTCCAGGTCCAAGAGGGACGAGAACTCATCCGGTTCCTGCTTTGGTTGGGCTTTCGTGGGTTGTGCGATTGTCTCGGCGATCTTCTCGCTGCGCTGTAGCAGGTGCTGGACGGCATCATTGGCGGGCACGGCGTCTGCCCTGCAGAGGTGGGTGCATTCTTCGGCAATCTGGGCAATGGCTTCGTCCACTTGCAATCTTGTGGGCTGTTCTGCTTGGCTCGAGTTAAAACGTTTCGAGATTTGGTTCGCATGAGTCCACGAGTATTGTCTTGACTGGAATCGCTCGCGATGCACGCTTGGAAGTGCCGGGCTGGTGTTTGAGGCATAGGTCCGCGAAAGTAGCGGGCGAGGTACGGGAATAGGAGACCCTGTTTGACGACAGAATTGACAGACCAGAGATTGGGTCTTGGATTTATGAGCCCTCAAGGCCATTCTGTTTGTGGTAATCATGTTTGCTATCAACAATACCTCTTCGGACGTTCGAAACGGTAACGGGGGGCTTGAACAGAAAAGAAGGAAATGCGACGGATATGCGATGAGGCGGCGAGCGGTACTGCCGCATTTACTACGCGGGCGGTGGTACTCTCGCCGTACTACCTGCTGTACAGCCCCCCCTCCAACTCCGTCACTTCCCTTACACCTTCGCCTTATTCCCATCGTCCCCTCAAACAGGCATCCACTTTCTTTCCTTTGTCTCTACTATATTTCTAGTCGCGGCAGTTCTCAGATGGTATTTCTTACATCCGCCGTCTGGTCCCTTTGAGATCACTACCCGCATCAACCGCAATCTTCCTATTGTCAGCGTCATCCCCTCCTCGACATACAGACAGTCAACATGCCTCCCCCTCCGCCTCCTCCTCCGCCGCCGCCGCCCGGAGGGATGGGAGGCCCTCCTCCCCCACCTCCCCCAGGAAACTTACCAAGTAGACCCTCGGGCGCAGAAGCGAAGGGCCGGGTATGTGCTTGCAGCTCTTGTTTTCAGACCCCATCCATTGGCTAATATCTATCACAGGGCGCTCTCCTTTCTGATATCCACAAGGGTGCAAGATTGAAGAAGGCCGTCACCAATGATAGATCAGCTCCTCAACTTGCCGGTGGAGGAGTGAAGTCTTCAGGACCTTCGGTGCCCGGTGCACCACCCATTCCAGGCATGGCGAAGCCTCCGGCTGGACTTGCACCTCCAGTCCCCACGGCACAGGCCGCCAACCGGCTACGGAGCAACAGCGATACAGGGTCAGGGGCGGATGCAGCGGCAGCAGCTCCAGCAGCTCCTCAGCTAGCTGGACTTTTTGCAGGGGGAATGCCCAAGCTACGCAGTCGAGGGGGTGTTGATACCGGTGCTACTCGAGAATCCCCATACATGTCTGACTCGGAAAACTCCAGGGGAGCTCCCCCGCCGCCCGTTGCGTCGGCTCCCAGACCACCAGGAGCTCGTCCTCCTCCACCTCCACCTGCAACAGATTCCCCACCGGCTCCTCCAGTCAACCCATTGGTCGCGAACCTTCGAAAACCGCCCCCTAGGCCCGCATCTCGTCCATCGTCGACCGCGTCAACTGCATCGATCAAGTCCGCCCCTGACGCGCCTCCCCGCGCACCTCCACCGTTGCCTGGTACCGCTAAGCATGCACCTCCTCCGATCACATCACGAAAACCATCGACGACCGCTCCACCCCCGCCTCCGCCTCCGCCTTCTTCAGCTAGTCCAGCTGCGCCGCCTCCCCCACCCCCGCCAGCAGCGTCAGCCCCGCGCCCACCTCCAGCGCCGGCACGGTCAACCCCTCCTCCACCTCCTCCACCCGCAAATGGTACTTCAGCTGCTTCCGCAGCTGTACAAGCAGCCAGAAATGCGCTCGCTCACATGCAGCATACTCCTTCCATCCCACCTCCACCTCCGCCCGCTGCCTCGGCTCCTTCCGCACCTCCACCGCCGCCACCGCCGCCTCCTTCATCTGCTCCTCCAACGATGCCTCCTGCAGCAGCACCTCCACGACCAAGCTCATATGAGTCGTTGGCCAGTCCACCCCCGGATCGTTCCACTCTCGATCCGAGCGCTTATACCCTCAGCAACGGCGGGCCGTCAGCGGGATCTAGCCCTCGGAGTCCAGGCATGCACGGCGGAATTCGGATTGATGATCATAGGTTCAAATTCCAGAGCGAAGGACTGCTGCCCAAACCTCGACCCTTCGTCGGTGGTGCGCGGCGGTATCGGGCTGGACGAGGGAGCAGTGTGCCATTGGACCTTAGCGCATTGAGCGGCTGAGGGGAGATTCAGTGGTCAGTAGTTAGATAACATGTATGAATTGAACAATTCTTCAAGCGCATTAGCTACCCTCGCATTGTTTGGTCTCACTTGCAAAAAGATGTCAAGCAAAAAAGCGGCCAGGCTTGGTAGTTTTGTGTTCATGCATCCGTCACTGCAATCAACAGGCAATAGCGTTGCCGTGCTTTCAATGGCATTTAGGTTGTCGGATAGAGTCTAGAACAAATAACAAATATACTCTAGATGCAGCAATGCGCCGACCCAGCTCGCGAGTGCCGATCACGGTATGACGAGTCAGAATTCGTAGATCTTCGGAATCTGATAAGCAAAGCACGGGACGGTCTCACGTGACACGATGCCATAGCGAACGGAGCAACAGGTCGGGATCAACAGTCGCTGCCATCTCTCTTTAAACAGATGAGCCCTGGTTAATCGCCTGACTTTGGACTGACACTGCAATCGACCGTCACCAACACAGCATTCCAGGTTGTTCGGACCCCTACTTCGGCTCTCATTCACTCTAAGGAATATACTGAGGTCATTGCTCGGAACTCAGACGCCCTATCCGCGCGACACGACTACTCTACCTGTTTTTCCGTCGCTATCTGTATCTTGGTGGAGCTCTGAGATACGCCGGCCATATCTTCTCTCGAGGACCCCAAACTTCACGATCTTGCGCTTCATTGAGATCAGAGAAAACTGTCTGGGAGCTCGAGCAATTGCCCTTCTCTTCCCGTTGTGATCCCGCCAGCTCTCGGGCCAGCCACATCTTCGCCATGTCTTTACAATCATACATCAACAGTAAGTATCTAGCTCTGTCCGTGCGACGGAGAACATCTCTGGGTCGCATGAGATTCCCTTTGCCCATGAGTATCCCGCCGTTGCCCTGGGCATGTGAGATAGCCATCCGAACTGACCAGACTGCTTGCGAACACAGAAAAAATCCTGGTCTTGACCGTCGATGGCCGGACACTGCTGGGCACCCTTCTGTCGACGGATCAGCTGACCAACCTGGTCCTCCTGGATACGATTGAGCGCATCATCCGGACGCCCGATGACCCGGAACCCAGCTCGCAAATCGAGCACGGCCTCTATCTGATTCGCGGCGACAATGTGGTATTATGCGGGGAGGTCGACGAGGCTATTGACCGTGACATCGACTGGACCAAGGTCAAGGGCGAGGTGGTTAAGGGCACGAAGAATGCATGAGAGAGGAAGGGAAGGGGGGAAGACACCTTGCCCGCTGGACAAAGCTCTTTCTTTTTAAAAACCAAATCGCATTCGACACCAAAAAAAGGAAAATTTTCTAAAAAAAAAAAAGGCCCCCGAATGGACAATCTACTGGTTGGATTGGTTTTTTTTTTTTTTCTGTTTTCGCGGCAAGCAAGGAATGGAGACGCGTTTCGTTTGATTGTGGTGTGAAATTGACGTGGACGAGTTCGGCGTGACGTGGTCACAAACGAAGACTCTCCCCCCCCTTCTTCCTCCCTCCCCTCTTTCGCCCTCTCTTCTTCCTCTTTTCCCCGCTTGTCTATCCAGTTTCTCTCTCGTTCTGCGTGGGTGTTGGCGCTCGGGAGGACAAGGTGCTAGCCGGTGGTGCCTGAGGTTGCTGCGCTTGTGGCTTTCGTTTCCCGGCACCTGATACATCTTGCGCGATGGGTGGGCATTGGGTGGGTCATGCTATGCAATGCATTCAAATCGGCCCGCGTGGGAACTCTCTATGATCCGTCTCGGGATCTTCTATAATGGGATGGGAGTGTGACTACGGACTAGACGTGCAGGTGCATTGGACGCTCGGGATCTTCAATCCGAAGGAGGGGGCTTGGAATGCAACATTTGTGGTCGGCCGACTTCTGTGGGATCCTTTGGGGGCTCGGGATTTTCTGAAGCAGAAGGGAGCAGCATCCAAAACTCGGAACGATTCGCATGGGATACCGGGAAGGGGGAGGGGAGGCTGTTTGAGAACTGGACCGTGTCTCCCTTGTCAGCCATGGTCAGGGACTAATGGGATCGATGTTCATCTGATCCTGGATCCTAGATGATATGAGGTCGGGGCCTCTTTTTCCACTCGGAAAGCTTTCCTTTCCAGCCGAGGACATGGGCCACGAGCGGGTGAAAGTGGATTTGACACATAGAGGGCCAATTAACATAAGACCATTCGTTTAATTACCTGTAATGACTTGATGAATCCGACAATGTGATTGTTCAAGTAAGAAGCGACTGCGTCTTGATTACTATGGGGTGGTTATTGTTGGGAGAGGAGATCAAGAGGCCCCCGTGTCTAAGTAAATAAAGGCTGTGCAAAGACACTATGGATATTTATTTGACTGCCTGAAATGAATCCCTCACTTGTCGGGAGTCTGTCTTAAAAGGGGGAGGTTAGGTTTTTTTTTTATTTTATTTTTTTTTATTCTTTTGAATTTCGATTTTTCCAGCGATGGATCCCCCTGGCGAAAAGATGGAGGGAGAGAGAAGTTAAAGAAGTGAAGAGTTCCATTCAATGCAAGAAATCTTTTAACCTTATTTCTCCCCTTTTGCCTTTTGTCTTTTGTCTTTTGTATAGTTCCAGGTACAGTGCAGGGTACAGTTACACGCCTTCCCATTCCCATTCTTACTATTGTATTATTATACACCCATCCACTTTCTTTCCTTCTCTTCATCTATTGCACCTTGTTCCAATCCAAAGTAATCAACGTGAATCCTTTCAACACACACACTCTCTCCCTCTCTCGCTCTGCCGCTGGCCCCGCCCTTGCCAAGTGCGGCCCAACACCGGATCGTTTCGTTTCCAATTTCCCCTGACGGGAACTGTTCCATCCGCCGCCGCCGCTTCTTCCTCTCCAACCAACTTCCCCTTCTCACTTTCTTACCTTCGACTCAACTCCTCCTCTCCTCCTCCTCCTCCTCCTCCCCCCCCTCCTTCCTTCCTCCCCTCCTCTCACTGCCTTGACTTTATCTCTCCTCCTACTTTTTGGAGATATCCTCTTTGTGTCGCCACTCTCACCTCATCTTCCCCGGATCATCCTCCAACTCGAATACCCAACCACCTCCCCGGTCTCCTTTACCGATTAGATCCCCGTATCCACCGCAATTCTCTTCCTCGGTCGCTGGGCGACCGCCACCTCTGCCTACCCCGGTCCACCGCCGCGATATCTCGCCCTTCTTTCTTTCTCCTCGATTGGATCAGGCGCCCTTCATGTTGTTGCGACCGTGCCAGCACTCCTCGGGTTCGACTTGTCTTTACCCGCCATCCAATTGGTCTACTTGAGTACCAGGTTGCAGCATAATTTACCGCCCACAGCCTCGTTTCGTGACCGACAGCACCGACTCTCCGTCACTCCGACACCTCATCCTCTCCTCGACACCTCCCTCTCCTCTCATCTAGATCGCCCTCACCTCTATTCAGTCTTCATTGAACGCTATTTAGTGCTCAGCCCAGAATGTGGTTGTATCGGGGCGCTCAGTCGGCCGTTTTCTACTATGCCACCTGCACACCCTGCGCCGAGTCGTCCTACCGTCGAAATCGAATGAAAGAAGCCGCCCGGTCGAAACGCGAACAAGAGAAAGTCGATACCATTGTTACCGACCAACCCAAACCCTTCAGACAACCTACCCCCTTCAGTACGAATCCAGCATGGGCCGAGGAGATCGCTCTAGGCCCCGGTCCGCCTGCGCGCAGAGGAGGTCGAACCCATCGTCGAAAGGAATCATGGAATACAGATGCGGTATCGACGGAGTCACTCCATGATTCGGGTAGTACAACATCTAGAAAAGACAAACTCAAGAACCCATTGGGCGAACGGTGGAGTCGCATGCGGTATCAACGGGAAGACGAGCCGTTATGGGGTCAAGATGTGGAAGTGAAGGGCTCTTCCGTGGGGTTGTCTGGTGGAGGGCGCCCGGATGAGGGCTCCAACAGCAAATATTATATCGCTCGAGTGCCCCCGGTCAATGATCTGCATCCCCCGATCGTTAGTGGGCCCAAGAGCCGGGCGGAGACGCGGTGGATGTTGCAGCCCCCACCCAGTGCCAGGGTCATGGCCGGCAAGGAGCGCATCGGTGACTCCACGTCCAAGAAGAACAACAAGTCGCCCGATGTGAAAACAGATCAAAAGCAACCGGTTGCGACCGCACCAGCACAGCCCCCGATCAAAACACAACCGATCGAGAGAAGCGCTTCCCGAGCTAGAACGTCAGTGATGGCACCCGATGGATGGTACGATCCGAGAGCCGACGGGTTGGAGGAAGATGGCGACGACGAGTCACCTCAGCATGGACGTGACGAGGCTCGCTGGGTCATTACGCCTTCGCTACACTCTCGCTTCGAATCGTGCTCATCGCTCTCGTCCGATGCGGACTCGGAGGCCGAGTCCCCGCGGGTGTCTTTGCAATCGCCGCAAACGCCAACCTCGCGGCCCGGTTCCAAGGCGACTCAAGATAGCGGTAAACACTTCCCAACGATCGCCAAGACCATGTCCACTTTGCACCCGCAGCACCACGAGAGCAACAACAAAGTTGAGATGCTGCATCTGGAAATCAACGACTCGCCGGACGATATCGCCTTAGGTCAGCTCGAGCGCCTGCGGCCGTGGCGTTGGAGTATGGACATTTGATTTCTCCTCCGTCTCCAATGCAAGCCGATTTGGGCGATAGTCCAGTCATCATCCAACCCATCACCTTGTCCTTTGTCATGGAAGCCTGTTTTGCGATGTTCGATTTTTTTTTCTCTTCTTTTGGGTAGCAGAATACCCCCTTTCGCTGTTGAGTTTTGTCCTTTGTGTCAGTCATGATTCCTGGCGTTGGCAGCAGCGAAAAAGCGTTTCCACCTTTTCTCGATTTTCTTTCTTAATTCCCCTTGCATGTGCTTTCTGTTTGTCTGTTCCCCTGTGATGCATCATCAGCGAAACCGCAACCGAGTCCCCCCCCGCCGCGCTGTACCCCGCGTTGAACAAAGTTCCAGATTGTGTTTAGTGTCTGGATGGCTGGGCCAGTAGACATTAAGCAACACATACACATACACATACAGTCCATGGGCACGAAAGTACATAGATGAATCACCCATGTTCATCAACATTGCCAATTGCGACCAACTTGAGCCACAATCATTTTTGTTGAAGATCATCTTTGCACAGAGTACTCATGCCTTTTTTTTCTCACTGTCTTTTTTCCCACTGTTCCCAACCGCATTCCTTATTTTTGCTCTTTTTTTTTCTTATTGCCCAGTTTGACCATTGACCATTGACCATTGACCATTCCTTGTCTCTCCTTTCTGTGATTCGTCCGTCCACTTTCATTTTGTTTGTGTTTTCTTGTATCACATTGTCTTATGACTTTCCCCGCGACCCACCCCTTCTTGTACACTAATTTATCCTAATACATACCTCCTCCGAATTCTCTTTCTTGTAGGATGCCGTTCTATATCTAGAAGAGCTTTGAAGCGATAGGGTTGTATCCCAATCCTCCACGGCGGAAATCTCATCTAAATCCCTCCTGAGAGAAGCGGGAAAGTATCATGCGCATCCCATCGATTCGGCAATTTCCCTTCCCATCCGAATGAGGGTTCTTCGGCCTGACCTGACCTGTACTGTACTGTCCTGTGCCAATCAACGATGTCCCCGGTCGTAATCATCCGTCGATGTTGTCTCAGTCCAGGGTAGATCTTTCCTTTCGGGTCGTCGTGGTGTGTGCAGTGGTGGCTTATCGCTTTGCTTATCTTGCTTGGAAGCTGTTGGGAAGGGGGAGGGGGGGGAGGAGGCACTATACTATATCTTCGGGAATAATGATCATCATCTACGAACACACCGGCATATATAAACATATAATGCCCCTCGGCTTTCTCCCACGGGTATAGTGCCAGCGCCAGCGCCAGCACCAGGGCCAGCAGCAGCAGCAGCAGCAGCAGCAGCAGGAATCAAAACAAGCCTTCCTACCATATGGGATAGTAGCCAGCCAGCCACAGTACACTGCAGTGCAGTGTATGAGGATCCAATCCAGCGGCGGATTGTGATTGTGATTGACCCCACCCACAAAGGGACTTTGAGTCGGCTGTTTTGTGGTCCCTTCCCCTCGTTGCGGCGTAGCAGGATTGAATGCACGCGATGTGTATGCATATACATTTACTATGCACTGTACTGTAACTGTACTGTGATCGGACTCGACTCGACTCGACTCGACTGGATGACTTCCAAGTTCCGCGTCTAGTATATATCCACTATGCAGTATAGTGCATGCATGGCCGATGGCTGGCTCGCTACGCCCAGTCGGGCATGGCGCGGGTTTTATATACTTGGTATACTCTAACGAGCGGCCACATCCTTTGTGCTCGAGGTGCTACTTTACTCAGCCAAAACAGGGTCTGAACCACGGTCTAATCTCCGCGAACTAGCGACGATGCAGACTGCAACGTCGGGAAAACAAATAGATACTCAAAGTGGTGAACATTTTCATCATGCACAGATAGCCAAATCGAGCCAATGGACATTGGATTCGAGTTCTTCCTTTTTTTTTTTTTTTTTTTTTTTTTATCGAATCTGAGGGTTGGTTTATCTTTGAGGTTGCGAGATCATGGTAGTGGTATTCGAGAGGGAATGAAGTTGGGGAAGCATAGCTAAAGAGGACAGGGACTGGGTGTTTCTTTTCCAAGAACAATCAAAGACGAAGGTATTGGAAGAGAGAAGGGAAAGCAATTCGTATAAGCTAAGAGTTGTCTCCAAGGCCGGGGAGAGCCCTCGCATCATACAAGCACGCACGTGAGCCGTATTCAAACGGCAGCGGAGTCGTCGACGTCGTTGGTCTTCGTCGTTCCGTCATTTAGTAGACCTTCTTCTTCTCGTCCATGCTCAGCTGACCAGGGCCCATGTTGACCAGAAGCAGGAGTCCACCGCTATGGAGTAAATGGACATGTTAGCTTGTGTGGTGGATGAAAGTCAAAAAAAAGCAGGGGAGAAAATCGTACACAATAGACAGGATCTGAAAGAAGTCGTACTTGGCGAAGTCCTTGTGAGGGTGGTGGGGGTGAAGCTAGTCATCATGTCAGTTGCTGAAGAAAATGCAGCATTGGAGGAAAACATACAGTCCAGAAGTTGTTCACCAGCACGTTGAAGACGCTCAACAACACAACCAGAATGATAGCGCTCCACTTGGCCTTGAATCCAACAATGACCATCACACAAGCGACGAAGCCGAACAGGCTGACCAGCACGCGCCACATGCTCCACTGGCCGGAGAAGACGAACCCAATGAAGAGGAAGATGAGCAGGACGCGACCGGCGAATTGGACGTACATCTTGCGGTCCTTCTCATCCAGCTGGGGCAGACCGGCAGGGACGAACTTCTTGCGCACCCACGAGTCGGAAAGCACCATGAGCAAACCACCGATCACACTCAGGTTGCGAAGGAAAAAGTTGAGGTCGAAAATCAATCCGTATCCGAGACCCTGGGTGACCACGACGGCCAACAAACCCGCGACCGCGAACTCAGTGTGCTTGCGAGCGATGACCAAAACCGAGCAAACCGACATGGCGATCATGTTGACGAGGAGAAAAGTATGCGTGATTCCCCATGGTACTAGTGCGGAGAGAGACGGGTTAGTGACGTTCTTGCGTTTCACAGTCTCCATCCGGGGTGCTACCGCGTAGCCGGCAGGAGAGGGACGAAGTCGAGGTGTGAGCTTACTTTTCCGGTAATCACGCAGGTACAGCAGCTGGTCGTTCCATTGCGTGATCATACGCAGGCTGTCTTCGAGGAAGGTAACCACAATCAAAAACCGACCAATGGCCGGGAGATATCTGGAGAGCAAGAAGCCACGGTGTCAGTGAGATACGTCTTCTCTGGATGCGCGGATCGGTCGGAGGCTCCTTTCGCTGCCACAGGTGCGAGCACTTCAGGCATTGGAGCAGTAGGAATCAACTTGGAGGATCACATACGGCTTAACAGGATCGGCCATTGTGTCGAGCCAATCCTCGATCTTGCTGGTCTGCTCCCGGATAGCATCCAAAGGACTCGGGTCGCTCGTTGCCTCTGCTCGGCCAGGACCGCCAAAGGGGTTCTGGTGGCCGAGGTTGTAACCGGCAGTGCCACGAATTTGCGCCATGGCGACAAAAATAGGATAGATGGAAGTGGCGAGGGGAAGAGTAGAGGAAGGGAAGGAGGAAGGAAGATGAGGTAGTGAAGTTGGACCCCTCGGAAGGTTGTAATGGGGGGTGGAAAAACAAACAAGGGAACCGGGGGGAAGGGATTCGGGAGTAGCTCCAGGCGCACTAGGCGGGAAGAATAGAGGTAGATCAAGTGTAGTGGAAAGGAAGGAAGAGGAAGAGTAAGAAGAGAAGAAAGAAGGGAAGAAGGAGAAGAAGAAGATGAGGAAGAGGAGAATAAGAAGCGGAAGAAGGTGATGGATGGATCGAATAGCAATCAATAATAATAATTGGGGGTGGAACGAATGAATAGTGGCTGCAGCAGAGCACAGTCGGCAGTAAAGTTGGGACTCTTTCTTCTTTCTTGCTAGCTATTGAGACATTGAACAGAATCAACACCAACAAGCACAGGGTCAGTACAGTACTCGTACTCCGTAATGGAAATAAGGCCACGATGACCGGAACTCCTCACTAGTCCCAATGGGGACTAGCGGAGCCGTCGGAGTTGCGGGCGTGACGCCATTAAGGTCCTTATGTAAGCCAATGATCTCCAGTTGACCCCTTCTCTCTGCTCGAAGGTATCTTCCTCACTGGCCTACACCTGCCGGGCCCGCATTCTAGAAACCATGTATACCTAGATATTCATTCCCTGCTGGAATCTCTGGCGGAAGAAAGGAAAACATTTCGATCACACCCCTTTTTCCCTTTCCCATTACCATTACCATTACCATTATACACCACTACTAACCTTGAGATTGAGACACCCCCCTCCATTAAAGGGGGAGGAGGAGGAGGAGGAGGAGGAGGCCCTTTCTTCAACTGAACCACTGAACCACTGGATAACCCCACACACATACCAAAAACAGGGACCGCCAATCTTTTAGTTCTGCGGCGGGAGATCCGTCGTCTGAGATTCGAAACACGAAACACGACCCAGAACAAAAATAGGTCGAACCAACTTTCTCCACGATTACTGTGGCCCCTCCGTGGAAGAAGGATCCTGAAGCTCAAAAAGAAGAACCAGAAAGAAAAAAGTGGACAATTCAAGGTTAAAGCTGTAGAATGTTTGGGAAGCTTAAGATCTCGCTGAGACGCAGCAACCAGCCGATCGCCAGGGTCCGAGTCCTAAAGCAGCGAAACCAAAAACCCTTCCCTTCCTATAAATACCCTGAAATAAATGAAGTAATCAATCTTCTACTAAAGACCAGGTTTCCTGGATGTTTTATGATGAGCCTTGATTTTTTTTTTTTTTTTTTTTTTTTGGTTTGATAGCAACTGGCTCTCCTCATCCAAGATCCGCTATGACATACAGAACACCAAAAGTCGAGCCAATGCGCCCGTCCAGACTGGCCAGACGATGGTCTCAAGAAGACAATACAACAGATCGTATCATTGCGATCAATTATCAATGGAAAATACAAGGTACAAGGTATTCTAAGAAAATAGGTAGACAAAAAGGATAAGAAAAAGGGCACATCAAGAGGGTAAAACCGAGCATAACAGGTGAAGATATGAAGGAAAAAAGGTACATGGCTTTTGAAGAAGAACGGAGGGATTTTCGAAATATTCGGCCAATCGAGTGTCTCCGTCGTCGCAGCCATGTTGGGGTGGCTGGAACAGAGCAATGTGCCAGATACATGCGAAAAGTTTTCGATGAAGAATAATATGTCCCAAACGCCAAAGCCATGAGTATAAATACAGCCCACGGATTAGTTGGATCCGGCTTGTGTCCGAAGGGCATCTTGCACATAGCCGGGATTTCATCTTCTGCGCCGGAAAAGGACCTGCTTAGGCAGCCCAGTCGGAGTCGAGAGGGTGTCCCTTCTGGTTGGAGCGGAGAATGTCGGGGAGATAGGTGGGAGTCACCTTCACCTTGGGTTCAACGGGGGCAGGAGAATGAGCAGCAGGGGTAGGCTGGCTCTCAGAAGCACTGACTTCGCTCTCGTCCGTCTTTCCGCTCTTCTTCTTGATCTTCTTGCTGGAGACGGTGGTCCACTGGTCCTGCCCGTTCTCCGCACCCAGAAGGCGCATCTGCTCCTCCTCGGAGGGAAGACCCTGATCCCATTCCTTGGCAGGCTTGGAGGCGGGGGCAACTGGCTCGAACGTATCCAAGAGCTCGACCTTGGGGGCCACGGCGGGTTGAGAAGTACCGTTGGTGGCGCTGGGAGCAGCCTTGGTCTGCCATGCGTTGGTCTGGGGTGCAGTAGGAGTCGACTTGGCCGCCTCGCGACGCTCAGCTTCGCGGGCCGTGTGGAGCTGCTTCTCGAGCAACTTGCGTCGCTGCGCCTCGGCCTCCTGAACTTCCTGCTTACGAGCCTCGTTCTTCAGTCGCTGTTGGCGCTGCTTCTTGGTTTCAACCTGCTTGAAAGACTGGGTCTTCTTCTTCTGAGCCTCGGCCGGTGCGGCGCCGGTGACGCGGAGAACGGAAGCACCAGGGGCCGGAGCCTCGAGCATGTCGGAGATGTAACCAGCGGAAGGAACAGTGGCGTTCACAACAGGGGAACCAGCGGGGGACAGGTCGTCGTCGGCATCAGCACCGGTGGTAGACGAAGTGCGGGTGGAAACACGCGAAGCCGAGCGCTCGTCGTTTTCGAGCTGAGGAAGAGCGCCCTTGCTCTTCTTCTTCTTGGCAGACTTGCTGGTAGAAGCACTGGTTTGAGCCGGAATACCGTTCTTCACCGCATTGAAGCGCTTGGCCAACTCCTTTCGGTCAATTTCCTCATCCTGCTCCTCAACTTGCGAGCCCGTAGTTTGAGCTGCAGGCTGCTCCTCAACAGGTTTGCTGGGGGCGGGGGAGGCTTCCGAGGACTTCTTCGTCTTCCGCTTCTGTTTCTTCACCACCGGAGCACTCTCGACTTTCTCTGTGATAGCCTTGATCGGGGCCTTGACCTTAGGGGAGGGGCCGTTGTAGTACCATCCAAGGCCACCTGCCACCACGAGCAGGAGAGCCCAGCTGATATAAGGATTCATCATCGTTAAAGCTATGATCAAGGCGATTGTCAGTTTTGGTGGGAGTGCAGGAGCGAGGTTGGGATGTCAGGACGTACAGTTAGTAAATTTTGTTCTTGAAGTACGTAGCAAGAGTCGTGAAATTGAGAAAAGACCTGTCTCAATGCAATGTGTGAATGACTGAGCTGGCGGTCGTCAAATTTTCCGTTCGCGTGTCCGGAATCGTTGAGAGAAGCAGGTGGAAAGAGCTCTGGTGATGGGTACCAGACGCTAGAGATTCAATTCGAGCAATCGCGTTGTTTCGGTGTACTCTTTGTTACCAGACTGCGACAAAAGCGCAAGGTGAAGAGTTGTTGGTTGGCAAAGGAGAAAGTTGCCGCAGTTGCGCTGAAAGGCCAGATTTCCCCGGAGAGCTCGAATGGCGACTCTAGCACTACCTGAGACTTATGATATCAGGTGGCGATTGGAGATATTCGAAGTTCGAATTGGAGACCTCAGCCGCGGATCGATGGTCTTCACACAGGGCGTTGGAGCCTAGGGTAGTTGAACGCTTCGGTCGGCGCTTCGGAGTTGAAAGAGAAAGGTGAGGTCGGTCGCGAGGACGGAGCAAGGTGAGGTAGAAAGGTAACGGGATGGTATCACCGAAAGACCATTGAAGCACCCGTCAGCCGAAGACTGAAGGGCGGGCGACAATGGCTGGCTGGAAATATAACAAAGGTATGGCAGGGAACGAGAAATCGAGGAATTGGGGGAGAGAGAAGAGGAGTGTTGGAAGGAGGAGGCGATGGTGGGAGCAAAAGAGGACACGGATTGGAGAGATGAAGGGGTGTTGTCGACTCGGCAAGTGGTGAGGAATAAATTACCAAAGCACCGAGATGGATGAACTACGCAGGTACTCCGTAATGGTCTCTCGTATCGGTATCAAACAGCGGTCCTTGCACGCGCTGGATGAGAGACTCCACTGCTAAGAGTCGATTGTCAAGTAGTGCAGGATCTTGGAGGAGTTTCTTGCCTGATCATCATCTGGACCGTGATGATTCAGGAGGTTTTTTTTTTTTTTTAGATTTTTTTGGGGATAGATCTCTTATAAACCTGACCCAGTTGCAGTCATCACACGGGCAGACATGCCTGTGGCGCATTGATGAAAGGATTACCCCATGTTTCTACTTTCTTTGAGCCAGCCAGTCAGTCAGTCTGTAACTGCTGGTAAGTTAACAGAGAGAAGAGTAATCTCTTTACGGAGTTCTAACTAGCCACCTCCTGGGGTTGAACAAATTAGCCTTGGAAGACCAGCGCGAATCAGACCTCTTCTTTCCCTGTCGCCGGACCAGTGTCCGTGACGTTGATAGACCGAATGGTCTCACAGCATCCCCTGGTGTGGAGGACGGTGTTCGACACTGGCGCGGGGAAAGATCTTCCCCATGCGTGACATTGGTTTGGCCCCTCTGGGCTGCAATGTTGCGTTGCGCTTCTATCAACGGCGTGTCATAGTCAGAAGTAACCTTGAAGCCAGGCCCCCTGCGATTCACAAGATAAGTTGATTTTCTAATTGGCAATGTCTCCTAGGGACTCGGGAGGGAAAGGATAACAAGAACTAGACTAAACAAAGTATTGAGGTAGAACTACCGAGCTGCTGAAAGGAGACCCCGGTATGTTACCAGCTGGTAGAGGCAAAAATACAGGGGTAATACCACTCACTGCAGGCCATTCCGCCTTCCGAACAGGCCACGTCTCAGCTTAGAATCGTCCAGACCCCCGGGAAGAACCTCCGTCGGCCTGGACGACCCGAGACAGCTACCCTATTCGGTCAAAATTACCACGATGGGTTGAGAGCAGCAGTCCAGTCCAGTCCTGCTTTCCCTTCTTCACCTCAATGCTACACAATAGATGATTGGACATGTCAAATCACGTTGAGGATCTGTCTGATTAATCTATGTTTATATCTGGGTGGTGAAGGATGGCACCGAGACAGTTTGCTCGGTATTTGTTCAAAACCACGCAGCCAATATCATATCATCAATTGTAACTTATCGTGCGCTTCAAATATTCAGCCAAGTGTCCTACATTGGACCTTCAACGGGTGGGTCATGCTACCGCTCATTCTAAATGAGTATCAGGCTCATGATGCTGCTGATTTAGTCTATATTTATTGTACTCTCGCAGACCCCCGGCCCTTGAACGAGTGACTAAGCCCTTCTTTATCGACAACCGCGGTAGTGGAGCACAGGTGATAAGACTCGGGACCAGCCAAGAACCATCCCACTTCCCCTCCATCCTTTGCATCATCGCAATTTTCCTCTCTCAACATCATCATCTTGACAAGGTTGACAGAACTGAAACCGTTTGCAGAAGCTGTAGGCAGTGCATTCGAAGTAGACTATCCACAAAATGGCGCCCAGAAAGATCATTATCGACACAGATCCTGTATGATATAATTGATTTGTCCCAAACCACAGCTGCTGTCTCGCCATCCTTCGACGTCTGACTAGCTTGATCAATTACATAGGGAATCGATGATATCCTTGCCCTTCTCCTAGCACTATCTGCTAAGCCAGAGGAAGTCGAAGTACTCCTGGTCTCGCTCACTTTTGGCAATATTGAAGTGAGAAGGTAAAACACCATCCCCGAAACCAGCTGTTGCGCCTACTGACTTTCCAAGCTGCCTGAAGAATGTTGTGTCCATGTTTCACATCCTTGAGCGGGAGATGAAATGGCGTCGAGAGAAAGGTCTGCCCGAAGGTTACGGCGCCCTGCGCGCCTGTCCTCCTGTCGTTGCTGTGGGAGCGGAGGATCCCTTGGAGGACCAGAAGATGCTGGCAGATTACTTCCGTACGTGTCTGAGCTTAGAGTCGGAATTGGACAGAACACTGACCACTCGACTAGACGGAACGGATGGTCTCGGTGGAATTCACACTAGCGTGAGCAGGGCGCATGTCTCCTTCCTCACCCGCCAATTCACTAACGCAGTGCTTGCAGCATCCGCATCTATCTCCTCAGGAAACCTGGGAGCATTTGTTCGACCCATCCAACGATGCCAACGACATTGAGCCAGTCCCGACTGGCGATTCCGCCAACCGGCTGTTTGTTCCTTCAAAGCGTCCCGCACACGAAGAGATCCTCCGCGTTCTGCGCGAGAATGACCCCGACACCGTCACTATTGTAGCTGTTGGGCCCCTCACTAACCTGGCCATCGCCTCTGCAAATGACCCAGAGACTTTCCTTAGGGCCAAGGAAGTTGTGATTATGGGAGGAGCTGTGAATCAGCCTGGAAATGTATGCTCCTATGCCGCCTCAAGGATCCGGAAATGTGCCTGCTGTATGCTAACATAAACCGATCAGGTCACCCCTGCGGCTGAATTCAACGCCTATGCCGATGCAGTTGCTGCTGCCCGTGTCTACGCCCTCACGTCTCCTTCTCCCCGGAGCACGATGCCCCCAGGCACGAGTCTGCCAATCTACCCCGCTACTCTCAGCAAACAGCTCACCCTCCGCACCTTTCCCCTCGACATCACTCTCCGCCACGGTATGACCCGCGGTCAATTCCGGAAGGCCATCACCCCGCTGCTGGAATCCGGCTCTCCACTGGCAGAGTGGGTGTCAGCTTTCATGGCCCACACCTTCCAGACCCTGGAGAGGCTTCACCCGGGCCACGAGGGCGACAAGGCCGACCTCAGTCTCCACGATCCGGTGTGCGTGTGGTATGCGTTGACCGCGGATGACGAGGGGTGGAAGCCGTCTGCAACCTCGCCGGAGGATATTCGGATCGAGACCACCGGCCAGTGGACGAGGGGTCTCTGCGTGGTGGACCGCCGCAATCGCCACCGGATCGACGGCGAGGAGGAGAGCTCCAATGACCATGGCCTGTGGTTGAGCGCGAGGGCAGGAAACCGTGTCTTGAGGATGGATCACTCCCCGGTGGAGAACACCTTTGGGGGTATCCTTCTCGAAAGGATCTTCAACTGAGACGAATAGACCGCGGCGATGCGTTCATCAACCTACACACCCAAGACATCCGAGACGCCAGTATATAGCACCCTATATAGCGTTAGAGTTCTCTACAATAGAAGTTAAAACACACGAGCAAACTGGTATGCATGTGCCCATGGCACGAGGAGGACGAACCCAAAGTGTATAAATAGACGTCCGGCTAAAAGCACTGAGTACGATGGCCGAGAGCGTCCGCCTTTTTCTGCTTTCCCCTCATTTCTAGCCCCGACCCGATCAAGAATAGCTCCGGACTCCGTCAAGCAGGAATCCGCCGGCAGGGATCATAAGCCCCCGAAGTGAAGCTTCGTAACGAGACCTTCGCGTCGCTAAAGCCCCGCATCGTGAAAGGGCGCCTTGCTAAGAGGGATGCTCATAACCGTCCAGCAGACATGTCAGCTTTCCTAGTGCAGAGCAGTATGTTCTATTGAAACGTATTCATGCGAGTCCCCTCCTCTCCAAGACCAACAAACAAGAAATACAGCACTGTTGAGACATCGAGGGATCGGCTCCAAGACTCAGTAGAAACACTGGCTCGAGCCTGGAGCAGACATACTGGAAAGTACAGTACCTAGTCACGGTAAATAGATACTGTACTGGACTAATCCGGGAGTACTGGCACATGTCCACGGCCCACCCACCACCTACCTCCACATCCACGGTTCTTTCCCGCTCAGCTTGTGAAACCACTGATGGAGAATAGGAGGTGCACGTGCTTGGATGCCAGGTCTGGACGGGACTGAGACCCTGGCTGGGGTCGGAACATTTTCCAGCGGGCTTACTCCTGCCCGCGCTTCCCCTTTACCCCCCCTCGGGGTCCAACGTCAACGGGCGCTCGGGTGAGCGGTTGATCCCATGCAGGAAGTACGGATAAATCCGGAGAAGATGAGGAGAGGGGAGAAGGTGTGACGGGCTTCTGGTGGTGCTGAAGTTCGACCTTGCTATGTGTGTGTGTGTGTATGTGTGTGTGTGTGTGGAGTACTGCTATGGATGGACGTTGCCTTTGCCACTGGTGACATACACCATTGATTTACGTTCCATCTTCCCTTGAACTGGTATTCTGTCTCGAGAAAAAACGTGTCTTACTCATCTCTATTCGTCTCTTGTATCATGATCCTCTATTTCCTTTTGCTTTGAGATTTTCCAGCGGGGGAGAAGGTCTTGGGAGAAGTATCTCGTGCCCTAGTAGGGGGTAGTGAGGTCGGCATGTTGGTGGAATCGTTCAACGACACCAATTAGCTTTGCCTCTGCATCAGCGTGGGCTATCAAGTCAGATAAGATGCTTTCTTCCCCAATTTCCCCTCATCTTCTGCTGCACTGGACGAGCTGAGTGGAACCTAGACATAGGTTGCGGCACAAGACTGCATACCGTCCACGGTACTTCCTCGATCATCATTATCGGCATCATCACCACTAGTAGATAAAGTAGATTGCTTGGAGAGGGATTAACCACCTCCGATATTGGAACAGTGGAACGTCCTCCGTTTAGGGTTTGGCGTACTGGAACAGCGCCTGGAGGAAGTGTGGAAGTAAGGAGTCAAGTGGGCTACCAGCCGATAAGAAGAGGGAACGGGAGCACGAGCGCCGGCAGCCTTCAGAGACTCGGCCATTTGGGCCGGGCGGTCTTTCGGTCTCGTGCCCTTCCCGCCGCCGCTGTCCGGCCAATGATGGGCGTCTCGTCCGCCGCGTGGGCTTCCCTAAGCACGCGACACTCGACGGTCTCTTAGGCAAAGGTTACAGATTGGAATTCATCTGTCGATCATCCTGTTTCCTCAACTGCATTATAGGTACTTCGCATGTACTTCGGGACTTACTGCGACTATCATACTTGTCCGGGTTACTGTAGAATAAGTAATTATTAAGTACCTACCTAGTACCTACCTTAGGACCAGAACGTTATCGTGATCCTCCTCATACCCTTCTTACTACTTCCTACCTTCCCCCCTCCATCTCCTCCCAGGAACACTCTCGGCTCCCTACCCTCCTTAAGATATCAACATTCTCCCCTTCTCCCCTCATCATCTTCTTTTCTTTCTATTTTCTCTGGCTTCGGTCTATGGTTATTTAATATAAGACTTTCCTTCTTGACCTCTGCGGTGCTAATTAAGCCTCCTCTCTCCACTCCTCCTGAGACTATCGTTCTCGCATCGCTTCTCAACTACTACCTTCCGACTTCCACCTCTTCTCCCCTACCGGCAAGCAAGACTGTACAACCTCGCTGCGAGGGTCGCTCAACATACCCTTCACCATTGGCCCCGTCTCACTCGCATCCCACTAGTTCAGCTCATTCCCATTCAGCCAACGCACCCATTGGCGAGCAGTGTCAGGTCGACAGCCAACCTTGCTCAACCCCTCGATTCATATCATGTCACGGTCTCGTCTGCCACCGACACCCGCCATGTCCGGGGAGCTCACCATCAAGGAGCAGTCCTCGGTAGATGCGGCAGACACCTTCGCTCTGCCGCCTGCTGCCATGAGCCCTGTTCGCATGGTCGCCGCCAGCCGAAGGTCCTCCAAGTCGGATCCTGCCCTCTGCTTTCCTGCGTCCCCTGCCTCGCCTAAGATAGCCATCGGCAGCATGGCCAACTCGCCGCGTCAGACAGGAATCAAAAGACCCCTGGAAGAATTTAACCTGCCACCACCGCCGACCCGCACCCGAAAGATCATCCAGATGAAGCCCAAGACCCAGAACCAGCCCAAACCCGCCGCGCCGCCCAGCAACAAGGCCTCCACGAAAGACAGCGCCAGCAAGGCCTCTGCCAACAATGCACCGAATTCTAAGAAGAAACAGCCCAGCGCCACAAGCGCCGCCGGTCGGAAGATTGCGCGGAAGACAGCACACAGCTTGATCGAGCGCCGGCGGAGATCGAAGATGAATGAGGAGTTCGCTACCCTCAAAGACATGATCCCCGCCTGCCAGGGACAGGATATGCATAAGCTCGCTATCTTGCAGGTGTGTTTCTGTTTCCCCGTCATCGGAGATTTTATCCCTGTTCATGGATCGCTAATGATTCCTATGTACCTAGGCAAGCATCGATTACGTCAACTACCTGGAGCAATGTATATTAGATCTGAAGACCGCGGGTGGTCCTGCAACAAGAGTCCCTCCGTCCATGGCGCCGGCTCCACCCTCTCCAGCATCCCCGGAGGCTCTGGGGGAGGAGTCAGGGCCTTCATCCTCGGCTTCTGTGTCTCCAGAACTTCTCCCGACTGAATCCCCGGCCTCTAACACGACCTCCCCGATCTTTTCTGCACAGATCCCGACGCCTGCTCTCGGATCAGTTCCTGACTTTCGACATTCGTTCGCAACATTCTCTGCCTCAGAGCCAGTCCAGCCCACCGCCCCAGAGACGTCCCGCTCGGCACGTGGCTCGTGGGCGGCATCAGCCAGTACCTCTCCGGGCCTGCCACCGCAGTACGACATGGCGTCTCCGGCCGATGTCGACCATGAAGCGTCGGCCGCCTTGCTCATGCTGAACCGTGACTGTCGGGGATCCGTTGGCTCGGTCCACGACGCGCAGGCGCCTCCTGCCCCTATCGCGCAGAGGGAAGACCACAGCCAAGGGCAAGGTCCGCAAAAGAAACTGGGCATGAGTGTAAAAGATCTACTCATATCTTGAGCTCTGTATTTCCAACATTTTGTTCATGGCGTAAAAAGTTCGGTACGTGGTTGGTCGTGTGGATAAGCGTTGTTCAAACAAAGTAGAAAGAGGACCTGGATTGGCGTTCTTTGGGCGGGATGGCATGTTGTGGGTTTGTTCTATATATGCAGGCTGGACCAGTATGAGTAATGATGATGTTCTGAATGATTACTTGATATGGCAGGCTGACTGTCTAGATAAGGTGCAATCCTCATCCGCCAGCGATGATCTAGGTATACCTATAAGCCAGCTGTGAATCGCTTCAACGCACCACCCAAGAGAGAAAAGCAGCGATCAAACAAGATCGCAGAAACGATTAGATGAAGTCGAGATCAAGCACAAACTTCAAGATTATCCACTGCAGTAGCAAAGTGGTCCCGTCCCCGTCCGTAAGTTCCCTTCCGCTAGCCCCACAAGGCCAATCAAGCATTGCACCCCGTCCCCACCCTTCTTCAGCAACAATAAGAAAGCCGAAGCAGAGATCCGACCCGCGATGCTCGCCAAAACCAAGACAACACCTGATGATCCCTGGCCCTGGTCACTGGCCCCTAACCCCTTAGCGAAGAGTGCGACAACAGCGCAACCCCTGCAGATTACCTAGCATAGAGTCACTTGACCAACTGCGGGCCCGCCCAGCCTACTAACCCAGTCAGCCCTCTCCCCCCACGGGGGGCCATCAATTCCCGGAGTGGATTTCACCGCACTGCAACACCTATTGTGCATTACACAAAACCGATTCCTGCCACCAAACGAGAGACTAAGAAAGAAAGGGGTCTCGACCTTGAGTCACGGGTTGGCCTTTTCTGCAAAAAGCTGCATGCGATCTGGCTAGCTAGTTACAAAAGGATTGGTTATGGTCTAGGGCTAGTAGGACTAGGTCGCTAGGAATAAGGGTTTCTGGTCCTGTAGTGTACTGTACCCCGCAAGTCAAATTTTGTTGCATGTTGTTGCGTGTGCATGCCGTGTGTGGCGTAGCGTAGCGTGGCGTGGCGTGGGCGGGTTTGTTCTGGGTTTGTTCTGGATGGCTTCTAGCCTGAAGGCCTTTTTGTTTTTGTTTTTTTTTTTTTGGAAAGTTGACTTGTGTGTATGTGTGTGACCTCGATGGGTGCATAGAAGGTTAGGTTAGGTTAGAGGTGTCGAGACCGAGGGGAGGGGAGGAGAGGGACGAGGGGCTGGAAATAATCCGATGCTTTGCTTTGCTTTGCTTTGCTTTGCTTCAATCTTTACTTACACTTTGTTGTTAGTCCAACCCGAATGTCAGATAATCGCCCTACCATTCATTTTATGTTCAATTCACAGACGAAAAGTAAGCCTACCCTAATATGATCCGATCCGGTCTGGCCCCGGGCACAAATAGTCGTCAAACCCAGCCCGGCCCATTTTTGGCTTAAGAGACATAGTGTACCATGCATTCCACACATTCTGCAGGGCAGGGGTCTCACGGGTTCCCTGCACAGATCTTGGCTCAGCCTGGAACATACCCTTGGCACATCGCTTTTCAAGTGTGTGTAGTGCTTGGCTTGAGGGGCCATCATCTTGTTCGAGCAGAAGAGTATGCGTCGAGGTTTGTTCCACGGCGTTGACCGTTATTTTGAATGAGAACGAAAATCCTTGGCGTGAACTGTTCGGCTGGTTCTGCTGCGCCCTTGAGTGTCGCCGAGATTTCTTGGCCCTGGGATGATCGATGCTGGAATACGGGGGAAAGGACGAAGGACCCTAGGGTTGGTTGGTTGGTTGAGAACCTGGTTCATGGCATAGGTGTGTGTGTGTGCATTGTCAATGCGGATATCGCCCACTTTTTCTTTTGCCTAGATAAGCATTTGGGGATTGGCCTGTGCGTGAGACAATTGCTTTTTGTCCCCGCAGGGAAGATAGGTAGGTCAATGGCGATGGCGATGGCGATGCTCGGCGATCAGGAAACACAGGCTCATTTACTCGGTAGTTACAGTTTTGCTTATGAAATCAGTAAATGGGTATTAGTTTGCAAAAGGGTTGTTGTAAGATCGACTTGGTTGTATAGACGTAGCAGGGCAAAAAAAGAGTTTTCTGGTTGACATACGTACTTTGGGCCTGACCGCGGAGATCCTCTGGCGCTTCTCTCTCTCTCCCCCCCCACTTCCACCGTCCAAGTTATGGTTTGTGCTTCGGCGAAGCGAGGATCTACAATCGTGGAAATCCATCTTTCGTAAGATGACGTGGGTGGGCGAACCATGAGCCGGCCAGGCGATTGATTCCTTAGTAATTCCCGTTCGGCAGTCGGTTGTTGAGACTAGGTGGGTTGTTCTAGATACCACAAAACTGCAAAGAAGGAAAGACGAACGGAGCAGAATTGGTCAACCTAGACAAGTCTTTGACGCTGACCAGTCTCATTCTCTTTTTGCAGATCGCCATGGTAATACTACATTGTATGCAGCAGGAGGCAGGGTCAGACTATCATTCTTCCAGGAAAAGCAGTAGTTCCCCCTTTAAGTCAGTCTTAGCATCCACTAGTGTGGCCCATGGCCCATAGCAAAGTCCCCGCAGTGCCGACATTCCGTGATGTGCAAGACTAAACGGACTGGTGACTGACTCCCCGCCCGAGTCCCGTGGTCCGTCCCAAGCATCGTATATATTCATCCGTTTACCCCCCCCCCTCCCCTGTTGATCGCTCTCATTCTTCGGTTACCTGATCCATGGCCTCGGAAGTCATCCCCTCGCCAATCCCGCGTCATTCCAGCATCCCAAACTCATCATGTCGAGCAAGTTCCCTTCCCAACAGCGCAAGAAGAATGCCCGGTCCATTGCCTCGGAGGACCCCTGGAAGGTCGACACGCCCTTCGGCCCGCCGCGCATCTCCCACTTCCCCAGCAGCAAGATCAGTCGCATTCGCAGCACATTACAAAAGTTCTCCCCCGCCGCCCGGGCCGAGAAGGAACTCCTCAAGCAGAAGAACCGATACAAGATCCCCCTGACCGAGCGCAACGTCGACGCTTTCGTGACGGAGCAACTGGTCACCGATGCCTGCCACCCGGGCCAACATTCGCCAGAATTGCAGATCTCGGCTTGGCTGGAGCAACTGTCATACTGAGAGGATGGGAATGCTTGACGCCGTCGTACGGTAAGGGGGCTCACATTGTTACAATCGGCTTTGCCGGGGCTCTCTTTGTGCCCCAGCCCCCACACTATCTCGACTTTTCTCCACGTCCTTGGGTCGATCGATACAGACACAAACCCCATCAACGACCGCCCCAACCCAACGCCAAGAATGCAATATGAAGTCTTGCACCCACGTCAGCCTCTTGGCAAGTAACGGAGATATGACATCTCCTTTTCGATCCTAATTGCGAAACGACAAGACGGGACAAACCAAGAGGATGGTAGTCTATCTATGCATGGCATTGGTGCCGAGAAAGGACCCTTGCCCGGGGGTCAACGTCATTCCTCTGGGCGCCGAGCCGCGCCCGGCCCCCGCCAAGTATGCAGGTGTCAACATCCATGCATTTCCGTGTGTGGGGTGCGGACCAGCAATCCCTAGCCTCTTCGCTTCGGATCTCTTTCCAATCATTCATTCTTGGGTGGGATTTTTTTTTTTTGGAATTGAGCATTGTTGCGGTTGGTCCCACGTTGTTCATGGTGGCTGCTGGTATAGCCTTTTACTTTCACTCCCCTACTTTTGGTTCAATACTATCTTTAATACTACATCTTTTCTTTTGTTTGGGTCTGGTTGTTGGTTTTCATGGGTCTTTCTCCAGTTTTGGACTGCGTGACTCCCCTGCATGGACTGATTATTGGTTATCTTAAGCGACAAGCGTTTTGCCCATTGAAAGATAGCATTCATTGGCGAGGTGCACGGAATTTGGCTAATAATTGTTGCCTACTTTTGATGTTTCTGTTTAGTTTTGGCCAGGCTTGCTGTGTTCTGTTGGCACCTGGACTGCATTACACTTGGGCTTTATGCTTGATAATCAATCTACACCAAATCTCTGGAAATGAACCTTCTACCTATTCTAGAATTATGGCACTCTTGTCTACTTTGCTGACCTAGAATAGGGAGCTAGCCGACCGACTCCTCTACCCAGGTCGAGCTTCATCAAGAGGTCAAATCCTACAACTGCTTAGTGGGCTGAGACTAAGAACAATTTGTGAATATTGGCTAAGGTGAATGGTCTAGTACACATGGACAAGAGTGAATCTCCTCCATGGACCTGATGCAGAAACAACTATGAATCTTCTTTCCATTATTGAAGCCTGGTCACATTAGTGAAAGGTCCGTACTTGGGGACTTGTGAATGGATGGCTATTGTTCACGATGAATGGCTCTTTTCTTCCAGCCTTCGCCTACTTGATCCTCTTCCTCTTCCTCTACTCTTCCACCTCCCAACTCTTCCTTTCTTCCTCCACTCCACTCAACCCACTCTTCTCCCTTTCTCCCACATCAACGCACCTCACCATATCCGGCCCTTGACAGAGTAAAACATTCTTATTGGAGCCTAATTCTTATCAACTATACAACAACCAAAGAAGCACCATCCACCAGTCCAGCCCACAACCCCAAGCCACCCCAACTTCAAGAACCATATACCACTAGAGGAAGATGACTGCCCAACTTGAAAACGAAGTCTCATGCTTACTAGGCCTTCAGGGTCACATCCGCCGTAAGCTGTGAATGCAGAGTCCCACTACACTTACTGAACGTGAGTCAACCTTGACCTACTCCCAGAACAAGACTAACCCATCGCACACCGACCAGTCAATGCCGGGATTCAGTGGCTTTCTTTGTAGAAGGTTATGTATCCATCTTTGTACCTTGCAAGAAGGCAAACACAAAGAGCACTGATCGGGGCAGAAGTTGCTGGCTGGGGTTGCCATTTCTAGGGACACCACACAACGAGATACCTCGTCTTCGTTCCTATGCACAATTGCTAGCTCGTGGGATGCTATACGCAACTGTGTCTTCGGCTACATTAAGGCCGGGCTGGCGTTAAATCAGCTTGTTCATCGCTCCCGTTGCCGGGCTGTCAGAGCCTACAGCTGAAGAAAAAGCGCCAGAAAAGTATTTGCGGAGTATACTGTACAGTGCACCCCAACCTAGATGTAGGGAAGGGGGATGAATTGGGGTCTAAACAGGACCACAAGTATCAGGTAAGTTTGGGGACAGACATCGCTTATCTATGGGACTTGGTGGCTGATAGCTTCTAGCACTACACTCGCTGCAGGCGCGCTGTGTGCCATCTGTTTTGTACAGCATGGTGTACTTCTTGCCCTGCTAGGAAGACGATCAGACCTCAGGTATTTGGTCTTGACTACTTTCTATGCCCTCCATTTCTGTTCATGAACGGTTCTGTGAGTTTAGCAACCCTGGGTGTGGCCTGCCGCTGCCCTGCTGCTATTCCTTTCTGCGGCCCGGATACCAAACGTCTGGTTGCTGTTCACTACATTCAGCGTCTGGAGGACTTCTCTCTCTCAAGGTGTCGCAACAAGGCATCATGAGGTCTCTCACTCCTGACATTCAAGGAAATCCTTGGCAATTGAGTCATGGACAGCAAAAGTCATTTTCGACTACTAACAACAAGAGACAAAGGAGATCTCTAACAGACCCGTTCATATGTGCGGGTTATCTGTCGCGCTCTCCGTGTCTAGCATCGGGCTGAGGAGCACTCGTCATGTAAGTTGCATGCCTTCCACTTCGAAACCCTTCTATCTGGTCCCTCAGATCGCTGACAGTATTAGTTCGCTTCTTCAAATCTCAGATCTTGGGTTGAAGCACGCCATGAAAGTATCTCATGGCCGAGACGCGGCGTGCTTTGGATTTGATTGTTGTGGCGAGCAACGGCGTGTAAGCAGCATTCGTTGGAAGTCCTTTTTCCGAGGTACAGAAAGCTAAATGGTCTACAGAGAAATGCCTGCGCTCGCCACAGGGCGGGGTCTAGGTAGGGCTTCGAGGCTGCACCTGATAATCTCACCAGGCCCCAACCGCCAGTGACTCGGGTGACTCGAGTGACTCTCCGTCCACCCTTATACACGTTATCATCACTACCATATGGCTGCACATCAGGCGTTAGCAGCGCTGGGGCTAGTTTTCTACAAAATCCGCAAAGAAGTTGGAGAAAGGCCGCCTCTCCACATTCGTCGTAGACTGTGGAGCTTACATCTCAGATTACCTGTCGCAGCTTCGATGCTGTCTCTGCTGCTGCTTCTACCTGGTCTTCTGGAACCAGGCTATTTTGGTCAAGATCGAACCGGTTTTGAATAATCGTACCCCGCAAACAGACCAAGCTTTCAGAACTCGCACTGCGAGACTTCTAATCCGGTTTGGCAACGCCTTGGGAAAAGAAGAGTACACCAACGTCTTAGAAGCTTATATTTTTCGAGTATCTATGGATGAAAATTAAACCTATCTCAGAACAGACCATATTCAGATACCGACTCAAAGATTGGATTGGTACCGTTGCAGCTGATTTCTTTGGGGCACAGTAAGTTGTCCACTCCCACCTTGACGCAGCCGATTGCTAACTTCATTAATTAAAGTATTGTACTCGGAGTACGGTGACCAGGTTTGGCTTATATTCGGAAAACCGACTGCGACTACCCTGCGTACAGTACCTATCGTACGGCACGCATAATCGAGATGCATTTCTAGAGATGACCACGTATGGCCCATACCGCTTGGATGTGGAAAAAGATATTGAGCTACGTAGCGGAGGTAGCTATGCTGTGAGTTATTCCAACTACTCAAAGCTATGATGGTCACGACTAATTTTGAACATAGCATCCATCTCTGATTTTCCATCAGAGCTAAGCCACATGTCTAAGATCTATGCCGGCGATCTTATTCCCGAATTCGTGACAATCAAAAGTCACGACGCTAATCACCCCGCTCCCAATAAGGATTTACTGGCATTACATGCAGCAGTTGGAAATACCCTGCATGCCTCTAGACATGGCGAATCGATTGAAAAGACCCTCAAGCATATCGAAGACGGTGCTGACAACGTTATGGCTCCAGATGGGAGCACTGTGTGGTCCCTTCAAGGCCATAATAGCTTTCCAAACCTCGAAGTATTTGAGAGCTCAAGATTGATGCTGATATTTTCTGGCAGATGATGAGGTATTGCAATGCCGAACGCAACCCCCATGCGTACTTGTACCCCCGAATTCCAAGATATGTGGGAGGAAGCGCGCGGCTCACTGTTTTCCCAGCAGACTTGCCATCTGCGTATGAGGCCGAACTATCAAGCCTTGACCACAAATCCAGACTCACTTCCAACTTCTGCAGAATTCTGACGCATACGCACGTTGCAACATTTTCGGAAAGAGCCGAGTCCTGGGTGTCTTTAGTCAGACCTAAAGCAAAGCTCGCGCATGCGGCATGCCTAAGAGAACAGAGTCGATGGCAGGTGCCGTCCATGGTCGACATTCGCCCTTTGCTTCTGATCTCAACATGTGCAGTCAATATCGAAGGGAAATCAGAACCCGCTGATGACATAGACCACACTCTCCTGGATTGAGATGTGGGACTTGTATATGACTTAGAATCAGAGACTCTACTGCTCTGCAAACATCGCAAAGAAGCAAAACCTCTGAAATAAGCACGAATGCCATTAACAGCTGTACCGCAATTGCAGGACTCATTCTGGTCGGAAACAAGAATTACCTTCCGCAGAGACGCCTGCAATGCGGGTACAGATAGGACTGGATGATCAACGACTTCAATAAGCCCACAAAACAGAAATCCTTCCAGAGACATCTGAACGCGGAGCAGAATCAGCCTTCAATCTGCTTATTGCGTGTGGCCTCGACGTGCTAGAATGGATGTGCCATCTCGCTGCCTTTTTATTTGTTTTGCAGTTGGCAACCAGGTGCATCTACACTCGTCCTAGACCGAGCTCGCTCTGGGATAATCAGATCCTGTTCGCTGGGGTTAGCCAATTGGTCACATGCCTGGACATCTGCGCTCAAAGTTAGGAGATATAACCGGGTAAGACTGACATTCTGTATATGAAATTGAGCACATGTCGCAGCGAGTTTGCTTGAATGTGCAAACCGAAGTGACATCATCATGAAGCAGTTGCTGTTGGGGATCCGCCGATTGCACTAGTCAGATCATCTCAGACCCGACCATTTTCATTTTGAGGCGTTAGGCTGCCCTGACAATGGAGGAGCCAGCCGTAAAACATGAGATGTTCTATGGGATGTTGTCCGATCAATTCTACAGCGATATGACTGCCATGGGAGTCCTAGGTCAGGAATGACCAGGACGGTGGTGATGAAGGCTGTTTCTGGTAAGGTTAGGGCCAAAGCCCCTGCCTTGAAGCAATCTCTCCCCGCATCCCCCGATCCATCCTAAAGGTCAGCAATGTCCCGGGCATCGAGATGAAAGACGTTTTCCTTCCAGTGGGCGACGATGAGACTGTGTTTGAATCAGCGCGGTGAACATGATGAGCCACGAACCGAATCGCTTTTTCAGAATCAGCTGGGAGCTGCGACTGGCGTCTACTGTAAAGGCCGGTTCCACCCCGTTTCTGTTCCACGCCTCCCTTCCGAACCCCACGCTGCCCTCTAGAATTCCCGCACCCGCACTTCGCGACATGGTGAGGGTTGCCGCCAACAGACGAATCTTCTAGTCTCTTTACGAGCTATCAACATCCACAGCTATGGCTCTCTCATCGAAATGAGTTCTTTTCTTCCATGAAGCTTCCTGAGCACATGGTATACGATAGAATTCGCAGACCGCAACTCAAGGTGGACAGACAAGAAAACAATTGATCAACCCCCTGCCATACCTATAAGGCGAAAAGGGACGCATTTGTCGGAGCCTGATAGATCGGAGTATGAGGCTTGGGTGCTTCGAACCTTTACATTTGTTTCCATATCTGGAAAGTATAACCTGTGGACCCTGATTCACCTCCTGGTCTCATTCTCCAGGCTACTTCGAGACGTCATGGGAGCTTTCGCTTGAATGGGCAAATCACGAATTGCCTCTGAGAAACTAAGCCACTATTTTTGTTATGCCTTTATCTACGCTATGCTGTCTGTAAAGGACTGATCTCCTTCTACTGCATCCTCGATTTGTCGTGTTTGTTTGCCACTTCGAGACATGCTATGGCTTAGGATTTCTTGCTTGTACCTGCTAAAGTCCAGAAAAACCAAGCCCCACGTCATCTCCGCGGGCCATTGCTTTTCTCAAACTGTTACAACAAGCTGGACCAGCGTGAGTAAGGCTGGCACTACCCAAGCTCATGTTAATACAGTCGTCAGCAGCCGCTTCAGCAACTGCTGGGTTGACAGAATCACACAGAACTGGCCAATGCAAGGACCACGGAAGGAAACAAAAGGTGGTGCAAGTCACTATAGTGGGGAAATTGCCGAGAACCTGGCTATTTAGGTCTTGTTGCGGATTGATATAGCTCTAGAGCCTACACAGAAGATACTGTCAACAGGTGCTCGTTGTTCAGAGTACTGTGGAGAAGTCTAGTAGCTAGAAACTTCTCTGGTCGCTAGGCTGACTCGCTCGAATCATCCCATCCAGAAGCTCACCGCGCAGAGACGGTTCAGACCTACCATTGCCGAATATCTTAATGGGCGCAGATACAATTTGTTGTTCAGGCCAACGTGTGATCGACAAGTCAAGATTGAGTGTGGCTGGATAGGGCTGTGTCAGTAAGACATCCGACCAGGTCACTCCTTGCCATGCCTCCAGGTATCTATGGTGACAATTCAGTTCGACCGTCTTCAAATTTTCTTCTCCCCTACAAGACCGCGACGGGTATGTTGGGGGACGCCAAGGATTTCGCTGCGGTCCTGCGTTGGGCTGCCGCCTTTTGGGACGCCGACCTCGAGGAGGTCTGGGACCCCTACCTTCGCAAGCCATTCGGCAACTTTGTGTGCGCGTTGGCCGCCAGGTTCGCCGACGCTGAAAAGGCGCATCGCATGGAGCATCATGTGGCAGCGACGACGAAATTGAACACTGGGCTGCCGTGTGAGAGACTACCCCATAACCATCATTGTCTCGATCTGATACGACTCGGTAAGAGAATTTCACACTGACCGAAAGCGAATCTGGGCCATTTGTGCAGCTACGAGGAGCAAGATGTATCGATCCTATTTCTCAAAGATGATTCATATTGCCCAATGACACAAGATCGCCTCTTTCTGCAACGCATTGCGCGGCGGGTTCACGGCCGTCGTACTGCCACGGCCCTACTCAGATGGTGGTGCTTATGCATATGCAAGTGTGATACGTGCAGTGCAGGAATATGCCGGGAAGAAAGTCATATAATGTCTCACGTCTAGCCTTGGATAGAGCTGATTTTACCACTGACCATGTTTTGCACAATAGCTAGTTCTCGTGGGTACGGTGGGATCTTGCCGAGTCATAGCAGCGCAGAGCGAGTAATCTAACACCAATGCGCTACTTCCTTCGGGCCACGCTGCGGCAACCTTGACCTGCGACCCGCTATAGTCTCGATGGCGAAAAGAGTCAATGATGCCAAGGGCGCAGAAGCTGAGGCTGTGATAGCTTCAACAATTCAATTCTGACGAGAAGGGTCGGGCGTTGGCCGATTAAGGTAGTATTGTGCCTGTCTATCAAACCAGACGACGCGAGATGCAGAGAGAGCATAAAAGTACGCTGCAGCGCACATGAAACGTTATTACAATCAATGTCACAAATCAGTGGAACTCATGAGAACTCGTTCGATTATCTGAGACTGCACAAGGGTATAGCCTGCCGACCTCGCGCATGCGGATTGTCAAGGACAAATTCAATCACCAGTACGGATGATCCGGAAAACCGCCCACTTCCCTTTTCTACTCTACTAGAGATGCAATGGCTTCTACATCGCGTGCTGGCTATAAGTGGAGCTGTGGGGTCCGCGACATCGGATGGGGTGTGACTCCGATTCTGAACCCGATGTTGAAGGGTCTCCCTGTTTTGGATGTCGATCTGGAAAGCTTTGAACTTGTGCAGAGTATTCCGAGAATAGGGGAGAATTAATCGACTATTGAGGTTCCATTGCGAGCAAAGCGCGACAAAATGAACCAAAATGAACCAACTTCCGCCCCGGCTATACAAAACAGCAATGCTGGCTAAGTTAGACTGACCGTACTGATCGAGAGAAGCCAGATGCCAACGACTTGCTCAAAGAATTCGAAGCATGCAGTGTAATAAAAGACGCATTCTGCATTCTTGCTTAGCAATGGTATCATTGTGGAACACAGTATGTTGCTTTGTCGAGATATTCTCAGAGACCCGCTGATGTCTGCCTTGAATTCGAAACATGACTCAATGCTTTAGATGGTTGAGACGAGTTGCTCAGTAAAAAATGCTCGTCTGACAAAGTGACATGCTACGCCATGTACCTTTCCAAGCTCAGGAGCACCCGCCCGGTCACAGACCTTCGAATAACCAACCAATCTAGCATTAAATCCATGAGCCTTTGGTGAGAGAAAGAAATTCCACTGTCCGGAGGCTGGCTGGCTACGCAATACGAGACACCTTGGGCCCATCATAACCAGCATCTCTAGCCTTGGCGATCGAAGTGTACCTATGGAATGAAAGAAAAACTTAGTGGAGGTGATGCGTGACTCGAATGAGACGCAATGACAGCAGTGGACAGAATCATTGCCATTGACGCATGCCTGGTAACTCAAAACGTATCCATCGACCCACCGGCCTTGACATTTCGCGTTGACACAGTCGAATGGGGCCATTTGAGGTCAAAGAACCGAGGGAGGTGTGGATGCGCAAACATTATCCCGGCTGCTTGCCACTTTCACAAACATAGTCCAGTTCATTGCGGAAGTGGTCGACCATCATGTGCAGAATCTCCGGCTAAGGCTCGAGACCCGAGTGCTGGAAATGGCAGGCTCACCTGATGCACGCCTGAGGTGTCGTCACGGTAGCTGATTTTCAAGGAACTTTCCTGCCAATACCAAACGGGTGAAGAATTTGACTAGCAGACAAGGAAGACCTTTTGGTCCGCCGTCAAAAAGCTTCGGGAAGACACCCTGCGCCTCGCGGATGTTCATGGTTGCCACATTGTTTGAGGCTGTACGCCCTGTGCTCATCGAGAATCCTGACAGTTGCATTGATGGCTGTAGACGAGGCGGCGATATGGCCAGTCCTAGCCGGCTACAGACCTACAGCAGCATTGCTCATCAGGGGTTGCAGGGTCCCTCCTTGGTCTTCTGTATAGTTTGAATACACTCATTGCGAAACTTGGTCGTTAGGGCTCTGACGAAAAAGTCCTCAGACCTTCCTTACTCTCCAGATCGACAATTTTGCCGTTTTGTTCCGAGTCTATCACTGATGCAGCAGTCGACCATGAAACATTGTATATGCATAGATTGACGATACCTCCAGCTCACCCCAAGCAGCAGCAGCCATAGTAGCAACAGGAGCAGATCCTTGCGGCTCTGATAGATGAGATTCGGTTTCTTCAGGAATGCCTTGCAGATGCACAAGTTGTAAAAGAGATTGACCAGGACCTGATGAACATCAGGCGTGATGCATAAAGATTTCGAGCACTCGCCCCTTCGCTAGCTATTTCTTCTTTAGAAGATACGCATCAGAACAATACCGCATGCCCACTTCGATGGCGTGCCATGACCGGCACCATTCTTCCCACGACAATCGTGATATCCGCAAGAGCGAAGCATGTGTCGAGCTGCAGGCACAGCGCACAAGACGGTTTGAGGACCGGGGCTCTAGTCGTTTCACTCTCGGTGCTCCTCAGCGACAAGAAATCGCAGTCAATAGTTTTTAACCCCTGCCAGGAGATGTTAAGCCACGTCGCCCGCGGATTCATTGCCGGTCCTCCGGCTGGTGCAGCGCGAGAAGCTTGGGGTTTGACTAATGACTCTGCTAGTCCGCCTTCACTATGGCCGGTGCACTACGCTGCCCTGGTAGCAGCCTTGCTAAGACATTTGAGACCCAGATACTATTGGGTCCCAATTCTGAACACTGAGCTTGAGCTAAGCATTGAAGAGCTCAGCGTGCTATTTTGTACTAAGCAGGGGCAGTATCCTTCCGCTGAGACAGACTAGACGCCTCGAGAGCACAGACTCTAAGTCAGAAGTCAAAGGCTAGTCAGTACTGGAGTAATACGTTGGCCACATTTGCTGGAAGATTACCAGGTAGAGGTTCAAACGATGGTATGCTCGACCTACCCCCGATAATGGGTGTATATTGCTCTTACCTAGGATCGAAATGGTCTGCTCGAGCGTCTAATCAAGACTAGCTGGATCATAATGGACTGGATGAAGACCCATTGGACAAGGGCCAAATGATCCCAACCCCTTTTCTCGTTTGAAAAAGATAAGGTTCTCATCCGTTCCGCGACAGTGTGGCGTGTAAAAGGTCAGCGTGGTTGCAGTCCAGCTAACCCATCTACGCAAAATCATGAGCCTGGGTGCCTCGAAGACGAAACCAAGCATCTATGCCCTGTGGGGTTTTTCTTCATGGCTGCTGCGGGGACAGACCAGCTGGGCAAAGTATTGGTGAAGGGGCAAAGTGGTCGAAAGTCGGTCTGACCGATACGGAGGCTGGATGTCCTTCCTGAATCAGTCTTATTTCCTGCTCAAGACGACTCAGCCCCTGACCTGCTTCACGAGCCACTGGCTGGACATTGCCCGACATCTTCATGTGAAAACCTAGGCAGTCGTGTCAATATATCTCTTCTTTCCCCCTCTTGTTAATCTCTTACAATTGTATTAGCGTTGCGGGCCACCCTGCAGCACACAGTCTTCTATTGGGGCTGTATGGTTTCGCATCCGCGTCTACTCGTCCTAATGCTCTATAAAAGAGCTGACTGAATACAGTCTCTATACCCATGATGGCCTGGGCAGAATGATTGCGTCACACCTAACGATTCAATTATGGATGGGAGTCACATAGCCCGATTTGTGTATTGGGTGAAACGCACAGATATGAAGGAAACGATTGACTCCTTCTACAACTGAAACATCTCGAACTGTGGACATGGACATGGCAATATGGAGACTGAAGAATATGCTGCAAGACATGCGCAACCCCCAAGCAGATAAACAATCCGATGGAAAGCAAAAGCGCTATTTGGGATTCCGAGATGGTGGAAGGGGAGTCAATCGCCCAGACGGACATATTTTTCGGATTTGGCTCGCTGGAACGATAGCAAGCCGCTCATGCGGTACAGCTGAAGCATGAAGCACTTGGATCAACAGTCCTTCGGAGCAAGAAGCTCCCGTCGATGGCTCATGGTTTAATCCAGGATCCCTGAGGGACCAAACCCTTCCTTTCACGGGCCACAACAAAGGGTGGTACCCTGTCTACCAGGGATGGTATGTCTTATGTGGTGAGAGCGGATCGTTTCAGGGTTCATAGGGAATGGCTCGGGCATGCATAAGCAGACACCACGAACAATCCGAGCAGGCACGCGGAGATTGTGCCATTGAGTTTCACCAGGTCAAGTTCGCGCGCTGGAAGCAACAGCAACATCGAAGTCAATCGCCTTGGGTTCACCCAATGCCTACAACTCTCTCAAGCCGCTACGATAATAGCAACCACAAGTACACCGTTATCAGCAGCATTACATGGCAGGGAACGACCGCCAATACTCGATATCACCAAATCACATCCAGCCCCAAAGGGTGTTTCTGGTAAGCGACATTCGAAATCGGGGCTTTCAAGTGCACGATATACAGCAGTCGTCCGACCGACAAGGATGTATACAGCTTTATAGTCAACTATGCTAGTTGCAAAAGCAATATCAAAGGAAAGGAAGGATTGACAGATACAACTGTTAATGCAAAATACGCACGCCTTAAGGACATGCTCCAAGCCAGATACGCCGGTTTTCAAGTCTCCAAGACATTAAATACTAAGATCCAGTCTTTACTCGAAGAACTGGTCCTCCAGGGACCGCTGACCAAAGGGTTTGGCAAGACAGAGAGCAACTTGGTATGGTGGTGGCCTATCACCTTGCTAGCTCATGGCTGGAGCTGGCTCTGACCAGACTAAAAAAAAAAAAAAAAAAACAGACCTGGGATGGAGTACTACTTACTCTGGCAGCAGTTGTTCTTCAAGCCGCCTGTTCCTCTAGAGGTGGCGATGTGGTCCGGTCTGTTGGATACACAGAAATGGAATGCGTTAAATGAAAAGATGGCACTATATTCTACGGTAGGAAAACTCAAGAGCCGAGTGTACAGGATCTGGAAATGCATATCATACTGCAGCATACAAAGAACAATAAGTAAGTTGGCAAGGGTCAAGTCTTCACTACCCACGAAGAATGCAGACGGCCTGGACACTCCAGATAGTTTACTCGATTCAATCGAAGAAGAAGTCGTGAAGCATTCACAAACTCTCTTGAAGAAAACCGCATTGGATAGAGCTATGGAACGATTGCCTGAAGATCAAAAGAATGGGTTAGCACCGAGACGGAATTGCCGAATATGCGGAAATACGGTGCAGCCTGGCGAGACTCATCCCCAAGTTTCGAATGGCGCGCCAGTAACTACCGTGCATTGCAGTCAAGTTCGATATCCTCGAATAGGTATGTTCTCCTTCCACGGTGTGGTCCTTCTTGGATTCCTCACCACCGAGAACACTGATTGACTTATCCCACTCAGGCACCGGTCACACACTCTCATGCATCCAACTTCCGTATGCCCGCGCGCACGCCCTCAGCTATAGGCCCTCGTCCTTCCGAAACACCATTCCAGATCCGAGAGTGACTTCTATCCTCTAATCCACTCGATCTCATTCTCATCATGCAGCCAACCTCTCTCTAACAGAAAACCAAAACAAACAAAAAGCCTCAAATCCTGGAATCCCCGCATGTTAAGTTTCAGGGGTGGAATCAGAAAGAACAAGACAGATGGAGATCGTTCATCCATCTCACAAAGCTTGCCCTCCTAGACTCCAAACTCCGACCGGATAAGGCAGGCCGCGTGGGTGCGTGCAGGCCTTCCCGACAACAGAGAATGCGGAGATCGAGTCGACGCGGGCTTCCAGACATCCCCTTGTCCTGTTTCCAGTCAAACGTGGACGAGGCACAGTGCGTCAGATCCAATCCCTCCCCTGCGTCCCCGCCACCAGGCGTGGCCAATTCGTGGTATTCCATGTGGTAAAGAACCATGTGAGATCTTTCAGAGAAGTGGGAGGTGAAGCTTTTGGGACTGTTGATATCATCACATGGTCGTGGGACAAGTCGAGCGGTTCAGATACGATATTGGCATTAAATAACTTTCGAACTATGTTACTAAGGCTTGAAAATCAGATCATAAGAAATGTCTATATCAGTGGCACACCTGGCGAAGGAACAATCAAGCTATTCTTCCTAGGAAATCTGCAGCGTACTTCATTGTGCTACCCTAATATCGTTTGCCAAGAATTCTAATGGAAAGAACGCAACGGCTGTAACATTAATTGGTAGAAGTAGAAATAAGCAAGTTAAGCACTATCAAGCCTTCGTAGTTGGGACGGGACCAAATCCCATCTGGTCTTGTCCTTTTCCCCCTTTCCTTTCGTCTAACCCAGTCCAACACGCAGTTCAGTTTCAAACCGCAAGGCCCCTTCCAAATCCATATCCGTATCCGTATCCATGTCCATATCTGATCCATAATCCATGACCATATCCCATACCCATGTCAGTATCCCAAGCCCCAGCAACGGGTCGAGTCCCCTATCTACCAGTGACTCAGGAAGCAAGAAAAACCCAGACCACGATTCAACGAAACCCGAGAAAAAAAAAAAGGAGAAAACAAAGATATGGGCGCACGAAGCCTCTATTTCAGAATCAAGTATCGTACCCAAGACCCCCACCGACGCTCTCACCAACCACCCGAAGGATAGTGTTGAATAAAATCCCCTGGGCTTTTTCCTCCCACTCCTGACAAGTCGAGTGCGTCGAGAACGGTCGAGTTTTGATTCTGGGAAACGCGCAGAGATGAATCGTCGCTTTGTGAATCGAAGATTTTTGGCAAAAATGCTTGATGTATGTACAGTAAAAAAGAGATGGTAGCTAGGATACTAGCTGCTGGTTTCTATATTAGAGAAGGCGAATGCATTAGAATGGGGTCGCAAGAATTTGTGAAGGTCGAATTGTTGTCTGGTGAGATTGAGAAGGTAGTAGTCGACCTTCCGGTCACGCCTCTTGGGCCCAGCGACGCTCACGGAGGGGCATCTCTTCCTGAGCCTGGACCCGAGATCCGTCCGTCTCGCGACGCCAGGCGTAGTATTCTCCGAGGCGGATCTCGGCGTAGGAGGCGTAGTCAAAGTCGATCTGGGATATTTGGGCTTGGATGAGAGACCAGATTCCCCTGTAGACGTGTGATAAGCGGTCAGTGATGATCATGCAAGAATGCGACAATTGTCAACTCTGGGCCAGACATACCAGTATAAACCGGGAATTCCGCGGAATCGATCGACATCCTCGTAGAGGCGGTCGATGATTTCTGGCTGGAATGACTCAGGGATCCCCTTGTGGTAGCTGTAGCTCTTAACATACTCGGTCAGGAACTGGCGTCGGACGGACCGCGTCGGCATCATGTTGTAGTCGCAGTCATAGCCACCCCATTCAGCGAAGTGATTCGCGATGTCGAAAGCAGCTGGAGAGGGGGTAGCATATTCGTAGTCGATGAAGTTGACCGTGGCGGGTTCTTGATCTCCGGTGGTGACAGCGTGCCCGTTTTGCTTTTGTTGCTCCGTGGGAAGGACAATAACGTTGGCACAGAGGAGATCGCAGTGGGAGAAGACCAGCTGGTGGGAAGAAGCAATTAGAGATAGAACAACAGATATTCGTGATCATGATTCTACGTACGCCGCCTTCACCAAGTCCCTTGCCATCGTCAAGCTCACGCACGACCCGTTCAAGCTCCTTCTGCAGACTCAGTCTCCGCTGGCGCTGCTCTTCCGTTGCCGTGGGCAGAGCAAGGATCCATTTCTGGGTAACGGTCCAGATGTTGGGTCCGGGCTGCTTAGTCTTCACCACGGACAAGCTACCTTCCTGCTGGGACTGTCGCTGGTGGTCTTCCGAGTCGACGTCTACTTGTCGCGTGAGGGGTACATCGTCGGATTCCTTCGAAGTCACCGGAGTCCCACAGACGGGCAGAACGGCATGCCACTGCGCCAGTCGTCTGGCAACACCGCGCCATACTGGAGGCGTCGCCAGATCCTCGTGGGTCGCCGGCCGACCACGGAGAAAACGATACAGAAGGCCATTCTTGAAGCGTGCCAGAAGCGGAGGAGCTAGGCCATAACTAGCGAGGAGAGCATGGGAGCTCGTTTCTCCTATAGATTCGAGATTCTACTCAGCAAAGGTGTCGCAATGGGCAAGAAGGGAGGAAGAGAAAGGGGGGTCGCTTCTGGAGTAGTCCCCTTTCCCCGGTGTAGCATACTTTCGCGGTCTATAAGAATCTCTGTGTGGTTACCGTACGCTCTCATCAGTACTGCATCGTGATCTATCTGCTCCTCGGTCAAACCGGGTTTGCGGTTGATGATTTTAAGAAGCTAGACCCTCACGTTAGTCCATGGCACTCAATGTGGATCATTTCAAGCCCCGTCGCATCTGCGAAAAGAGCATGGTGTTGCGATAAACACACAGTATTGGTGATGCCGTCCGTGAACCGCACGAATTCAATCTTGTTTTCCGGTCCCTCCCAATCAGGGTTGAGTGTGAGGATGAGCCGCAACGCGGATGCGTGAGAGTCGGCATGGTTATAGGATAGGGGGATATAGCGCAGAGCCGTCCCGTTCTGCTGACACAGAGTCATGGCGATTGAGGAAAAGTTCAGAAGAAAAAGGAGCGAGGGGGGATAAGAAAACGAGGTGGTGAAAGTGAAAGGAAGGTGGTCAGGGGCGTATGCGACAGGACGACCGCAAGGTTGCTAATATTAGTATTCTATGTAACTTCAAAGCGCATGTCAGTCAAGGCCCGATAGAGTATTGTAGAGGTCGTGGGTTGTGTTGTCAATTGTTCATGCTATAGAATAGAATAGGGACACCGGGATACATATAGGAACTTCCGTACCAATCAGCCAAGCCCGGGAGAGCGGGTCTTGGGGGGGATTTCTCCTGATACTGAGTAGATAAGTTGAACGATCTCGCCGGCCCACGCAAGGGTCAGGAGTACGAATTGACCGGCAATTGATACTCTGGGAGCGAGCAAGTGCGGGTGGAAGGAAAGATGCAGCAAGACCAAAGAGGGAGTGGCCACGAGGGGGTGGTTGAGTTTAAGGATTAACGGTAAAGGTAGAGGAAAAGAAGGAGAAGGGGAAGTTGAAAGTGGATGAGCGTTGCTGGTCTCGTGCCCAGCTTGCCACTGATTGGTTTTTGGCGGCGGGCCCTGAACGCCCCTCCTTTTTTTCCGCTCGACGCTTCAAGCCTGAGGCCCAAAGGCGACCAACCACTGCTCCTGGATCATGTGCAATGACGCAGTAAGATGAGGGGCAAATGGGTTCTTCAAACAGTGACAACAGGCAACAGAGTATAACTCAAGCTGTGATCCAGACCTTCCCTTCAGATCACCACCAGTATCACAGAGGAAGGAAGTGATACAAGTGTAAATTGAAGTACACGTACAGCAGCAGGGTGCGCATTGAGGGCTGCAACTGATCTAAACCGCTTCGGGTCTCGCCTTCTCAACAACAAAAAGCAGATTTAGCATGTGATTCTGCCGCCCACCGCAGATCACGTGGGCTTTTCAAAAACATGTGCCACGTGACTGTCATCTACCCCAGCCCTAACCTCAACTCTTCTCGGTAATCCACTAGTCCCGACTCCAGTTAGTGGCTCCACCGCCGGGGACTACATAAGCCCGCTGCTGCCCGCCGCGACTTTGATACTTTTCTTTCTTTTTTTCTTCATCATCAGTAGCGGTTTACTTACTTTATGTTATGTAAATCTTATCGGGGCTCCGTCACCGTACGGCTTGCTGAGGGTTACCTTGTGTGGGATTTTTCTCTATGGGTCTCTCCTCCGTTCCCGGCCTTGAAGAGCAACAACGCATTCCTTTTTCCCTTACAAACTATGGCTTAGCTAGGGTTTCTGCTCGCAAGAATAGATCCCCATGCGCATAAGCTGTGGAGGAGGCGTGACATTCCAATTTCCTTTCAAGCATTTTTATGTTGGGTGCTTGAGGATCTGTAACTGTAAACCAATTTCTTGCATGTTGCAAGGCGTTCGACAAGTGTCGCGGGTCTGCAATGTATGCTTGGAAACAAGAGAGTCTACTCTCGGCACTAGAGGCGGTTTGCCTAGTTGATGATCCCTTTGGGGTCCTCCTAACACTTCCGTGTTGGCCTTCGCCCAACATATACTCTTGTCATCATCATAGCCCCGGCATATGCAGGTGGTATGTGCATCTGTCATGTCTGCCCAAAGCAATCATTTCATTTCCATGCTACGTGTGCTTTCTTATGCCATTATATGTCGGTTCATCGGTTCGTAGCCTGTGATGGTATATTATATTTTCATGATCCGTGCCGTCCCCCCAACATGCTCAAGCCCTGCCAGCCTTGCCGACCTGGATGCGCTCTCCAGTCCATTTATCGTCGCTGCGCAGCACCGGCCAGCTGGTGCCGTCCGCCTTGACCAGGGTCAGTTCCAGCTTCGTCCCCATGACACGGAACTGGGACTTCTCGGGATCGATGGGCGCAAACAGCTGATAGGTATCCTTGTACCGCTTGTTATCCGTCGTAGGCAGGTCCAACTCCAAGGATGTGGCGGTGAACTGGACCTTGGCGTTCTCTTTGTCGATCTTCTTCAGGTAGAGAGAGACATTGACGGAGGATGGCGTCTGGTAGAAGTCGTTTCTGTAGAGACGAAGATAAGTCAGCCCTGCGGTTCCGCTCACGCAACTGTTCCGGTCCCGGAGTAGCGAGGTAGCGGTCACTTACCTGACAGTGTCTACCTTCTCCTCGCCTGGGGGCTTGCCCTTTCCAACAAACAGATGCTTCGTCTTCTCCGTGCAGCCCTGGATCTTTAGGAACTCGTCGAACTCGAGCACGCGCTTCTTACAGCAGGACCAACCCTTGCTGCCCTCGTGGAAGATGGGTGCGCCGGGGTGGAAGACGCATTTCTCGTCCTCGCGCGCCACGGCAGAATCATATCCCTTGTTGCAGCCTTTCCGACGGCAGGTGGCGTTGGCCGGGATCTCGAGATCGGGGTCGTCGGACTCGGGCTCTTCGGGAACGGGAGTAGGCGCATTGGAAGGAGGGGCAATGGCGGGCGAGATGGCATGGCGGGGAGGCTCCGCCACCGGCGTCGAGGCCGGGGCTAAAGGAGCCTCTTCGACGACAGGTTGCGGGGCAGGCTGGGGAGTATCGTCGACGATGGAGTGTTTGCCCGTGGTGCACGGGGGGATGGCGAGGAATTCATCGAAGGTGAGAACGCGGGGCTTGCAGCATTTCCAGCCTGGGTTGTTGCATAGTGGTTAGTCCTGCGGTGCGCCTGAGAGGTCGAGATCGAGTCTCCAAAGTATGAGACCGGAGTATAATGAGCGCCTCAAACCAAGGAAGTTCAAAAATCTTCCACAAGGTCCCTGGAGATCATACCTTTTTGACCTTCGTGGAACACTGGCGGGCCGGGATGGTAAACGCAGGGCTCTTCGGCGTCGGTGAACTCCTTCCCGCAGCCCTTGTGGACACACTTGGAGGCCATGGTTGTGAATGAAAATATAGAACGGGGAGACTAAGAGAGAACCAGCTGCCTTGGCTTCGAGATGGGAGAAATAAGTCTGCTTTCCCTCACCGTGAGGAGAAATGCGAGTTTGTCGCATCGAAGCGCGCAGAACCGCAGCAGGAGGGCTGGCCCGAATAGGCTTAGCCCGGGAAGCTCGAAGGTTCCATTGTTCATCCCCAACTTCCGCCCGTTGTCCGCACCCACTTCTCCTCCGTATACTTCCTCCCTCAACTTTCCTTGTTTGTTAGATTCTTGGTAGCTTCTGCGTCAATCATGTTTCCTACTGCCATTCGTCTCTCCAACGCTGTGCGCGTCACTCTCTTCACTCGTGCTGGCTGCGGGCTCTGCGACACAGCCAAACATACCGTGACGCAATTGCACAAGCGACGTCCCTTCGAGTATACCGAGACGGACATTGCTCTTCCCACCAACAAGCCGTGGAAGGATGTTTACGACTTTGACGTTCCAGTTCTGCATGTGCAGACTGTCAAGGGAGATGCGTCTCTCTCCGATCCGAAGAAGCTTTTCCACCGATGGACCGAGCAGGAGATGGAGACGCTGATTTCCGAGGCGGAGAACAAGCAGTTGTAAATGCATCAATTCCACTCAGCTATGCTGGCAACTTTGCATGCATGACAAGCGATGATACTACCGGTCATGGATATTTCAGCAATCATTGCATGATATCAGCAGGATCGCGCAGCACACTTGATCTCAACCAATGGCACGAGAAGTGAGCCGAGCCCCCCTTCAGGCTACTACAGAACCACAGATCTCGTTGTCGTCGCATTGTCCTGGATCATACCGGATGCAATGCCTGGGTCGCAGTCTTAGCTTTCTCTTCGCGAAAAACCGGACAGCCTTGTGGATATTTCACACGATTGCGCTGCGGAGACGGTGGGTAGTTGTTCATCTGTGCTATCGGTCCTACTCGAATGTCAAATCTGAGACCTAAGTTGGATACCTAGCGCATACCCCCACATCCAGGATGAACATCGCTGGTGACTTTCCTGTCAGGGTGGTGCAACCTGGTATACTCGCACCGTAGTCGGCGGTCCTCTCTTCAACCTCAGGAGCCCTACATCCTCTACCTTGTTTGGCACATTGCCCTACAAGTATAGCTTATACCAGCAAGAGCAGCAAGAGTTTCAGTGTCACCGCGTGACACTCCCCAAATAGAACAATATATTCTCCATATCACATTGCAACACCACCACCACCATCACAAGCTCACCATATACACTCAACACCCACACCCTTACCCCCATCCCCTCCCTCACCAATGACAAATCAACCAGAACACCCATGACTCCCCTCCGTCGCCGGATCCTTACAACCCCCGGCACACAGCTGCGCATGCCCCACATCCCCCGGATTCTTGCAATGGAACAGTATATCCGCTAGATCATCATTCTCCAGCCCCGTCCCCTGCAGCGCCGTCTTGAGGTCATTCTCCGTGAATCCTGCACCCCCCAGAGCGTTAGCTTCTTGAGCCATCCACATTTTCCCATCTCCCTCTTGTAGTTCACGCCCACGAACAGAGCCGCAGCCGAAAAGCAACCCCATCACAGGAAGCAGTAGACAAGGAACCCCTTCCTACCGCAAGGATAAGGCCAGGAAAGGGAAAGGGGGGAAAGACTAACCCTTCGAACTCAACAGCTTATTGGCGCAGTAATCGAAACTCGGGGTACAGGTTTTATCGGCGAGGGTGCCGGTGGCTAGGGCGAGGAGACCGGTGAGGAGGAGGGTGGTTGTTGGTTTCATTTTGGAGAGTAAATTTCAAAGCAAGATTGAGTGAGGTCTTGGACGGGTGTCTTGTGGTAGATGAACGGGTATCAACAGAGAAGAGAAGAAGACTCCAGCACCCTCTCCACTTGTTTGAACTGCCTAGGGGGGCTGGGGGAAGATCGTTGGTTATATAGACCTTCTGAGCTCGGGTTGGGTTCTGGTCGGTTTCTGGATGGTTTCGTGGGGAAACAGGGGAATTGCATTCTTTGTGATGTCGGTAGGAGGTTCTATTTACTACTTACCTCCAAGGTACGGAGTACGTAGAGACAGACAGGGTAAATGGAATGCGGAGCAAAGGGGGACGACTGGAACGCGGCGGTCCGGGAGTTGGTATGCACATGTCGTAACTATGTACCTAGGTCCTGGACCTGCCTGGGCTAGCTGGCTAGTCTTGAGGGTCTGGATTCTAGGCATTGGTATTGGTGGTCTCATTCTTCGGGAATTATGCCGTCAGCTTGGAGGTATCAGGAGCGAGGGAGGAGAGCAGCTGGCCATATATTAGAGGGCAGGCGTGCAGCCATTCCATGTGGCGCGCCTGGATCTCACACCACACATCTCCTAGGAAAGATATCAACCTCTCGAATTTCAGACATTACTATATATATTATCACTATTGGCTGGTAAGTTGCCTCTCCGACACCGAGAGACCAAAGCAGCCAGGCTCTAGTTACCGCAAGAGCTAGGTACAATTCGTCCCATACCCAGGAAGGCCATTTCCCTGTGAACAGAATCTGAACAGAACAAGTGTATATCCATGGAACCCAATGCCAGACCCCAGACCGCATCCAATAAAACCCATCCAGAAAGCAATGTACACGTCGAAAGAATTACATCAGGCATTATAAAGCTCAAACGGAGCTACTCTGCAAAAAAAAAAAAAAAGTCATGAGCCGGATCCAGCCGGCAACAGAGAAACGAAATCAGACAAACATGCCTCAGGGCAGAAGTGGAGGGTGCGCAACGTCGAATCGCGAAGATATTGGCTTTTCTCGTTTCCGCATCTAGACCTCGTGCGTCCGCGTTCACGGTGACGGGAATGACTACCATCCACGGAAACCTCATCGCATCCATACCAGCAGGACTAGAACCACATGACGCCAGCGACTATTGCAAGCACAATGGCCATACAGCTGCCACTGCGCACCCGCTCCGGTTCAGCTTGATGTTCAACAACCTTGGACTGCTCCATAGCAGTCAACGTCGCGGTCGGAGGGGTAGTGGCCTGCACTGACGCATCGATTGGTTGGGTTAGTGCAGACGGATTTTGCGCATCAGCCTGTTGCTCGGTCTCGTCAATTGCCAATGCTGGGGGCACGGCATGTTTCGTATGAGATTCGTTCCGCCGATCTCGAGGCTGAGAGGATCCATCCGAGTTCAATAGTCCCAAGCAATTAGAAAAAGTTGTTGCGACGGTAATTCGGAGCCCCTGGCGGCCTGTGACGGTTTCTATATAGTCGTTACCAACACGGCAGGCCTGCTGCCATGAGGTCAGAACACGTGACAAGAACCACCAGGGCAATGCAACCAGTTTTGTCGTGTCCAATATCGTAAGACCTCCTCCTTCACCCGGTGTCAATAGGTGAAAATCCTCGTTATGCGAAGGTGCCAGGTCGACTGATGTATTTGCGTGGTGAGGATTAGGGCGAGGTGATATATGATCCGTTAAAGCGGCGTCGCTGTCAGAAGGAAAGGAAGGAATGGCTTGCGGCTCGTCTGTTTGCCGGCTGACCAATGCCTTGAAGGCACGTACACCACGCCTGAAGGCCGACGGCTCTTGAGCCATATATGTCATTGGATCACTATCGAGGATCGCCGCCGCTTCAAATGAGCTCCGAGCAGGCGCATCCGTGAGCGGACGTCTTGGCCGGGATTTCCGATCGAGGTACGTTGGGCGATCTTCCTCCAATGACCACGGCCTTGATTGTGCACCCACCATTCGTAATCGTGGTCGCGCATCGACCAAGCCATCTTTGTCCCGGGAAACATCTGCAATAGTACAATCGGAAGAGATTAGTCTGAATACTGCGACAAGCGATGAAGCGAAAGGAGGAAGGGCCACGCTCATACATCGAGGTTCGCTGCGGAGATAGCCAATGTGCCCGAAAGGCAGAAGATAGTCCCATTCCTTCGCCAACGACGGTACCAGACTCAGCAACGAAAAGATCAAGAGAGCGAGAAACGGAATGGCCCCAGGTTTCTGGAGACCCGACCGCATCATACACAACTCGGCGACCTGTGGGCGCAGGCCTGACTTTCTTTATCCACGAAGACTCGATGTCTGATACTATAGTCGGTGGGAATCTTGCGTGATTTGGAAATTCCGCAATCCGGCAGCTTCATCGCCGAAGAAAGACAAGCAACCGAGAGGATCAGAAGCGAAAAGGAAAAAATAATAATCAGCTGGATAGATTCACAATTGTCGCGCAAGGTCCGGGCGGATACTTTCAATATATATGGAGGGTGACCTCGTAGGTGGTTTCTGAATCCTCTTTTCTTTGGCGGACTTGCGTCTAAATTGGAATCTCTGCGGGTCTCAGGGTCTTGCGCTGTTGACGGCGGTTTGATGGGATGCTGGTTTCCCCTCTTCGTTTCTTGGGCGATGGATACTGTCGATCAATCGGGGCGGTCGGACGGTCGGTGAGCGAAGATGAACGGAGCACAAACACCGCTGCTGCAGAGGAGAAGAACAACGAGGAGAGCTCTGGTTTGATGTGCGAACTTGCCAACACAAGGCCGTCCGGTCACTTCCACAGGTCTTCCTTAAGCTCCCGGAGGTGCAGGAGTCAAGCAACGCAATGACGTAGAAGACCACCGGGTTGTAACGTAAAATCGAGCTCGTTGGGTTCGCAAGCGGATGTTGCCAAGTCGGACTATGAGAGAGGGGCTGTCGTACTGTACAGTACCTAACGTAAGCGAGGGTCCATGATCTTGTTGGAAGTGCTTTGGAAGATGTCATTACCGGTTTGGCCTTGCGACTAATTGATATGTGACGCTGAAAGGACTGACATCTTGTGTTCCTATGGGAAAGGGGAATAAAAACGTCAAAATTGAGGAGGGAACGGATGATTGCTCCAGGCAGACATTTTGGAGGTTGTATGGAAGAGAAATTCGGACGTCACGACTGGCCAATTCTCCTCCCTCCAAACATGTGCAAACACCCGCAAACTTTTAAGGGGTCTGGTCGCCTCAGGCAGAATTTCTGCTGTCGCTTGAAGCTTCCACCCTGAGCTACATACACCGTACTCACGTACTGCTATGGTATATCCCACTGCACATTTATCCCGAGAAATTTGCTTCATACACGCCATTCAGCGAAACTTATAGACAAGAAATGAAACACGTAGCGTAACAGCAGATAACCCTCCCTAATACCGATCGAATCTAAATCAACGCATGGAACAAGTATATACAGATCCATCATGAGTAGGTATACAACAAGAACTCGAGAGGTCCAAGTTCAACAGAACGGAAATCAGATGGGGTTTACCATAGTTGGATCAGGCACGGCAGGCGGCAGAGATTCAGCGCTCGTCGGTTTCACCGAAGGTGCGGCTCGAGAGAAGGCCGTCGTTCGAGAAGACGGCGTTCGGGATCCGTCGCTTCGGGACTGTTCATCTCTGGGGGTCTCAGCGACAGTCGTACTGCCTGCTGTGCTCGCCTTCCTTACACGTTTGACCATCTTGCCTAGTATCCCAACGATTTCAGCGGCATCCTCAAAGCTCTCATCATCCATAGCCTCCTTCGCATTGTATACATCCGCTATGGCCTTTTTCGCTACTCGTCGACAGGCCAGTGGGTCATGGAGGCAGTCATAGAGGTATGCGGCATACTCGAGCTTGATCGATAGCCGGAGAGGATGCGAACCCGGAAGAACGCCTTCCGCCAATAGTACCGCATATTCGAAGCATTGCGTAGCCGTCTTAGTGTAATCAAGCGCCGGGAGGAGGAAAGCCGAGATTGACTTAGGCGGCTGAACTGGGGCGAGGCCTGGAGGAGCCTGTGTGACTCTGCGCCGCAGCGCACTGTCTGGGGCTGCAGCCGATGCATCGGAGACTGAAATCGTTTCGGGTCTTGGCTGGAACGAGTACCTCAATTCCGGTGGCTTATTTGCTAGATCTGCCTTTGCAGCGCTGTTGGCGAAGGTTGCATTGTTCGGCAGATTGTCGATACCCGGTGCATGGATGGCAGGTTGGTTGTGGAACAATACAAAAATGTGATAGAAAGAAGCCCTCAGCTTGAAAGCGAGAATATTCAGTTCCACATACACCTGTACATGCGGAAGAACGCATTGCTCTAGGATGAGGAGACCTTCGCGAGCAAGCCATACGATGTGGTAGTAGAGCTGAAGTGACTTGGTTTCTCGGGTCGGGTCGAGACGTCGTAAGCGTCGTGCACGGAGCAATTTCTTGGAAAGCATGACCGACAAGCCCAGTAGCTTGTAGAGCATTGCGGACAGAAACGGGTTCTCCAGGCTTGTTGTGGCCGCAAAATTGCCCAAGGCCTTCTGGTCCACCTCGGAGGAAGCCATCCACAAAACCAATGACCCGGTGTCTATCGGAAGGCTTGCGCCAGCCGTATTAGCTACATTCATATTCAAGTGATTGATTTGACATGTATGGTGGAGGAAAACCGCAGGAACGTGAATTGGTCAAGTCGTGATAGATCACGTCGTAAACACTAATTAAGTCCACCAAGGTCGCCATGCAGTCATGCATGAACGCTCAAATGCGGTTGCATGTTGCAAAGACAAAGCAAGGAAAGCGCCAATGCTTACCTAGACTGCGCGCGCAACGAATATGTTCAGGGCACGACTAATCTCTGCAAATGTTGCAGCTGCTCATGCTCGTGCCCGGCGCTTGAAATGGAAATCGGCTCGCTCGACTTATCCGGCTAAATTAGTGATGGCGGGGGTCTTCACGCTTCGACGTTTGGCTTGAAGTCTGTGTTCCCAAGTCGTGCGTTTATCTCAATATGCAGCCCTAGATGAGGGATCGGTGTGCGATTCGTCCGAATCGAGTAGCTGAAAGCAAAATGCCGCCAATATCCGACCAAAAAAACAATATGTTACATGCAAATCAGTGATCAGGTACGTCTAGAGAAGGGTTGTGGCACGAAGGAGCTGCTGTACAGTGAGGAGTGGATTAAGAAGCAAGACGAGTTTGCAAAGGGGCAGAGTAGAGCGTGATCTGTTACAAGTTCAAATTGGTAAGTTGGCTTGCATGCATAGAATGAAATCATGCCAACCGATCAACAAACGAATTGGTGCAACCAAAAAGCGCGAAACAAGGTGAATAGAGAAAAATGTTAGAAACGCAAGGCACAGTGAAAAGAGGAGCCAACGGGATGGATGCTAACGAGTCTGCTGTTGTATTCGAGGAGCAAATCTCGATGCATCGTGCAACTAGAAGCAGCAAGGCATTGGCTGCACCGCCCCGCCAGCTTGTTGCATGCGATGGCGGAGGAAGGTAGGGTCAATAATACTATCGATATCAAGATCGAGTATGCTTTTGCATGAAGGAGACTTTGTATAACAGGGTTAATCGACAGAAGATTCAATTGATTATAGAGAATCAATTATATCAGCCACCGTTGAAGAAGTGGATCAGCGGATGCTGCTTCGCAGGCGCGCAAACCTGAGGAGACTATGCCAGTAATAAATCGTTGTGCGAGACGATGATGCAAGGGCAAGTTATTTGCCCGAATGGAGGGTCTTTGGGGATGCAGCGAAGTGGATGAAGCCCGCTGCGGCATGGGCGTGCTAATTAAAGTGAAGAGAAGTGCGGCGCAACTCCACCATAGAGACAGGCACTGGACATAGTAAGTGAGCAAGGTCAAATCATCGAGACCTAGAACATTGATCAGGCGTCAATCCCGCTTCATTACTCTTTCCGCCCCAAGGCGGAGGGAATCGGGCACGAATGGGAGGAATGGTTAGTAGCATTAGCAGCTTAGCAGCATCATACTCGAAAGTACTCCGTAGTCCAATTGCCATTCCCATATTATTGATAAACCGGCAAAAAGACAAAGTGGCATGTTGGCTGCTCCCGTCCCCCCCAAAAAAGACCAAGCCATGAGGCGGGAGTACAGCGCATCAACTAGTCCGATACGTGTCAGAGCCCAAGTGCTGAGTTTCCCTGCCTTGCAGCTCCTGGCCCAACCGGCGCGATGAGATAGGATTAGTACGGTGGATCGCCTGTCGCCAGCCTCTCTCTCGGCAGCAAGAGTAACACATGGGCTTTGAAGCCAATGGCAGACGGGAGCAATCGACCGCAGCCAGACTACTATTTAGTAGTTAGTGAAATTCTCATTGTGCCCGAGCAAACCGCCACTGAGGACAGGTTGCTCCGACTAGAACTGTAGTTAAATGTGGAGTCCAGCGCCCGCGTGCTTTTTAGCGGGGAGGGGGGATGATGGCGGCCGGAATGACGACAGTTGACAGCTGTCTGTCAGGTGTGGCATTAGGATCTTCCGTGCCTCGTATGCTGCGGCTGTGAGGGCACCCTTTCATCACCAAGTAATAGACAGAAGGAAGTTCGCCTCTTTGATGTAGCCAGAGGTGTGGTTATGGTTGAAGGGAAAGGATGATCATTGATGATCATGATGTTACCCCACTGGCAGATCCGCCACCGCCTTGCTGACCGCTACAAGCGCTGTCGCTTGCCATCAGCCATGGTATCTTCATGTTGTCAAGTAAATACAAATGTTGAATTAGTCAAATAGCATATGTGGTATATACATGCACCATAATTCGTTCAAATGAGCCAAAGATCAGAAAAGACACCAAGGGCCGTAACCTCGTATAATTTCTAGGAACTCATCGAGTGAAGAGTCAATCAATCCCGTCAATTTATGTCGTCAATGTCGTCGCTCTTTAGGAGACCAACGAAAGCCCTCGTCACGAATGCTTTCCATACACGGTTCTTCTTCTTTTTCTTCTCCGCTTCGATGTCCTGGTCGTCGTGATCATTCTTTGCGTCGAATTCATCCAAGTCCGCATCATCTACATATTCGAGAGAAGAAGACTGGCTATTGCGGCCTCCTCGCTTGGCGATTCGTGAAGCAAGCTTGAAAAAACTGCGTACAGTGAGATCCTCCAACTTGTAGACCTTGTCGTCTCGAGTGTTGTACTCCACTTCATAAGCAAATACATCGTCGTGCTTCGAACCAGTACCCTCTTTTGCTTCATCGTCTGTTGCCCCGCGACTTGCCACCTGACTATTGATTCTAGTGAGGTTGGCAAAGTATTGAGTGTAGCCGAGCCAAGAGAGCGCTTGATTTGAGTACGCCGGTCCCGGAGGCGCGGATTTGGACGGAGGGCCTGGAACTTTGAAGTGGGGCTTCTTGCTTTGCTGTGCCTGTGTCTCAGGCAACGGGCTGTCATCCTGCGTTTCTGGAGAACAGTCATCCAGGCTGCTGTGGGAAGGTGTGTTGGCCCAAGTGGCTGCATGTTCCAAACCAGTGATGTTATACTCCACGACTCGCAAGGTCGGAAAATAGTTTGGTACTATGCTGGGAGAGACCAACGAAACACTGTATCGTTCTGCAAAGGGTCCGCCGATTTTTTTCAAGAAGCGCTTCTTCTGCTTCTTCTTGGACCCTTGGACCGATGCGTCATCCTCATCGAACCAATCGTCCATCGAAAAGCTTTTTGACGTGCCCGCCGGAACAGACGGCAACTTCGACCAGTCTTTCCTGAGACTAGAGAGGTAATCGGAACGGGATTTTGTAGACAGCTCATTCGAGTCCTCAGCGCCACCAAGATATGCGAAAGTTTGGTCGACATTGACGATATCCACCTTGTGGCTATCCTGAAGCATGAAATGGTCGAGGTTCATGTGTCCATAGACGCTGCCCACCACGACATCCCGGAATTGGTGAAGCCACAAGGTATACTTCTGCCAGCAGGACTCATCCCAGTTTCGCTTGGAGCCAGCCCGAGCAGGAGGAACGTGTCCCATGAGAATAGCCTTCATGTGCCTCCCCCGCAACATTTCAAGCTGCACCCGCAACCATTCCATATGCTCGTAGCCTGGTTCGGATCGCGCAGCGCAGCCATCGACGGCCGAGTTTGAGTCGAAGAAGTACATGGTGTTCAAGCTGACCACAGCCAGCTTCTCTGGAATCACCTCGGAAATGAACCAGCCACCTTCGACGAAGCTGTGAAGTTGATGCTCAGGTATGAAATTGGACCAGATCTCTCTGTATTGCTTTGTCCAACGATTGGGCCCAGCCTTGAAGATGTTATGGGGCATGATGTCGTTGTTGCCGAAAGTGGGAATGATCGGAATCAAGATCCCTTTCACGGACCGATCATCCTTGAAAGTCTCCACGAACTTCTTCGCCAGCAGCTTATTCAAGTCGAGCACCTCCTCTGGTTCCCGGGGGTTCTTTTCGTCGTTGTCGTGGCGAGCTGAGTCTCCAGTCCAGATAATGAAATCCACCTTGCCCTTGAGGTTTTGCTCGATCCAGCGGAATGTTTCGTTGATCAAAGTAATTGGCGAGTCGCATTCGGTTCCTTCTGCTCCATAGTATCCAGCCGAGCCGTCTCCTCGATGACAGGCCCTGTCGGGTGACGCTCCGGAGTTATAATATGAATCGGGATGCAGGTCTATCCTCAGTCAGAACTGCGCTCTCTTGCGTGGTGTCATGAAGGTTTGGACAAACCGGTTATGTGCAAGAAGCGGCCGGAAAGGCCTCGAGAGGTTGGGTCGACATCGTCCTGCAGCTGAAGCTGAGGCGCATGCAAGATCTCAGAGTTGCCGAGCGGTTGTTGATCGGCGAGCGGAAAGGCGCACGCGCACGTCGCAAGCAAGAAGAGCGCCGGAAGCAGTTGTGACGGAATCATTGGGAGAGATGAGCTGGAAGGAGGAACGAAAGCCCCGACGGTGCGGGTAGCCGGTCTCAACCTCGGTCAGTAAGAATGATCATTAAGAGATAGAGATAAGAGAGGGTGTGGATATGGATATGGATATAAGCGGAGGAGTGGTAAGAAAAGATAGAGTGTGAGCCTGGAATGACGGTAGCAATAATGATAGGTAATATCTAGATTGAAAGAAATTGAGATTTCGACTTGATCGATCGCCCGTTAGGCTAAGAGCCTAAGACCAACGTCACGTCACTCCGTCCACTGCAAACTACCAAAGAGCCCAACCGGGGAAAGCGTCAAGTAAACCTCGGATAGCCTCAGGCCGGGACCCACTCCTTTCGACTGCTGCTGCTGCTGCTGCAAAAAAAAGCAACAACAGCAACGCGACTGTGTACGCTGGTCTGCACATTATAAATATGTCTCTTTTTCAACCCATGAGAGAGTGAGGGATTACCATCACTCAGTTGGACCACCATCAACAGACCTAGTAGTGGCTATAGAACCTCGAACTAAGTATGCGCGTATGCATTTACTTCAAGCTGGAGGCGTGTGACCCTTGCGGAATGTACCCTAATGTAAGGTACCTGTAGCCTGTGTGATTCCCTGATCCGACCACGTGCCTGCGTCTTCAAATGGGATTGTAGGACTGTGCATGTCCTGGTCGTAAGTAGTGCGGCTTTTGCTAGTTTACAAGGTCCTCATCAGACGCGGTATCCGAGGTGGTGGTCAAGTGCACAAGTCAAGAGTGAAAGTTGATAGGCCATCCTAATCATCTAGACCAAGACTTCTGCAATCAGTGTGTATGTCTGTGGAGAAAGGTGTGACAAGTCACTGTTTCAGCAAGCCGCTGCCTTTTTCTTGCCTGCGAAGAGGCGGAGCATATTTCGAATGCCAGTCTCCGTACGGAGTAAACAAAAACACATACTGAGGTTTTCCGAGAGATAAACACTGATATTTGGCCGTGACACACCAACGGAGATCGGTTTAGTCAAGCTCTTCATGGGATTGATTAGAGCCAAGGAAAGATTAGTCTAGAGCTGCATGGTGGATGAGCCACTCTGGAGGGCGATCACCCTTCCAGCGAGTGCGGGGCACTGCTCACTCACTCACTTGCATCTTCCTCCGAGCTTCCGCCGCGCAGCACCGACGCTCATCTACAACCTCCCCTCCCATTTCCCACTTACTCTCATCAAGTGATAAACCATTCAATACACCATGTCTGGCTACCCTACCCTCCAACCGGCCTTTACAATCCAGGTGATTCTCATCCCTAAAGCATAACCCTTCCACCCACACGATCTAAATAATGTCACACGCGACAGGTCGTCATCGATGCGCCACTAGGCGTCGGTAAGCGATCTTCTCCTCGTCACGAAGCCAGCCTAAAACAAAGCTAATCGTGCCAAAAGGCAGTGCCTCCCGGCAAAACAGCCTTCAGGTCGTGGTAAGCAACCCATTGTCTTCTCTTGTCAGAGGGATTGATCTTCGTGCTAAACACTGGACACAAACATGACACCAGCCTATGACCGGCGGCACCATCAAGAGCGAGCCTGGCTTCTCCCCCGCCCTCGATGCTGAGTTTGTCGGTGTCGGGAACGACTACATCCACGCGGATGCGGACGGCAAGCACTTGCGTCTGAACGCCCATGCGGTTGCTAAGTATGTGACTGCCCTCCTTGGCCTTGACATAGCCGTTGTTGAGCCATACTGACCCTGCCTGCAGACCTAAGGATGACGCCGATGTATGTAGCTTTACCCGTCAATATAGCATGTCGGAAGTGGGGATCTGACAAGCTACTAATGTCAACTAGCTCATCTACCTGAACTACACCGGTGTTGTTACGCTGGCTCCGGAGGTCCAGGCTGTCTTTGCGGGCACTGCTGGAGATGGGTCGACGCCTTTTGGCAATGCTTGTGAGTTTATACTGGTTCCGTGAAGGCACTTCATTAGCTGATCTTAGCCTTTAACAGTCACCCATTTCACTTTCGAGGTATGTTTTATTGTTGAGACGGGCTACAGGATCGTGACCCTAACACGGATGAACAGACGGGCAGCGCGCGCTACAAGGACCTTGAAACCCGCGTCTTCGTCGCCCAGGGACGGTTCAACATCGAGAAGGGCAAGCCGACTGTGGTCGAGTACCGGGTCAGCCAGGTCCTCCAGGGCTAGAAAGGTGCCGGCTCCCATCCGTAGCTATCCATGCACTTATGCACACACTTTGAGTAGCTTCACAAATGTGAATAAAACAGTCTGTCTGAATAGATAACGGCGTCAAACCTCATAATCCATCAGATACATCAAAGATAGTCAAGATAGCACGGATACATTAATGCCCAGACCAGCTTATATATAGACCCCACCCCGGAGAAAAGCAGAGACTCAACCCAACCCCCCCAGCAAAGGTCTCCTCTCGGCATCCCCAGCACCACCCCGCAACTCATCCTCCTCATCCCCCGGAACAACCCAACCACCACCCCTCCTCGCCGAGGAGAATCCCAACCGCCGTCTCAAGACCCCCATACCACTACCCCATGAAGCACCTTGAGCCTCATCACCACCACCACGCCCAACACAAGACTTCCTCTCCGCCAACCACCCAACCACCCGCCTTCCAGCCCACGCCAGAAACACCACCAGCCCAAACGCCGCCATCGTCCCCAGCACACCCCCGACGCCCGTGAGGAACGTAACCGTGCTAACATGACACCCGAACGGCAGCGCCCTCAGCTCCCATCGCTCCTTGGACCCCAGCGGACACATCTCCGACGAGCCGAAGGGGGCCAAAATCGGCACCCTGGAGGGATTAGGCACGCAGGCTGAGGACTACCCATTTGTGTTAGTGAACCGCAGAAAGACCCAGACCATACCGCCCGAAAACTTGGTTGGGCATATTGGGAAAGGGCATATCCAAGCACAAAGCACATGTATACACTATGTTGAACCGAGTGGCGAATGGCGAGTGGCACAAACCCCCAGTAGAAGAAAAAAAGGAAACTTACGATCGCGCACCAGCCACAGGGGAGATCACCCTGGAGGCAGTAGTCACATGACTGGCGGCGCCAGCATAGATAGAAGAGATGATCGTCGGGAGTATCGAGGGGATGGGGGTGAGGGTTGGTTGAGTTGGCGTCCGCGGCCATGGCCAATGGGATTGCCATCTAGAGAGATTGTCTCAGTTTTTGTTTTTGATGGAGGGATGGAGGGTCGTGTGAGCTTTTGGGGGGGTGGGCGTGAGTTTGATATCATCGGGAGGTACGGAGGGGGTGTCACCGGGTAGTAGTTTGGTCGGAGGTGTTTATTTTGGGGAGGTTTGTTTCGTGCGGGGTTTCCCATTCCACTACTGGACCCCTGGTTGGATTTGTTAGCAAAAACAAAGTACGGGTAAGGTATTAGGGGCCGCGTTTGTGTGACTTTTGGGCTATTTCCGTAGCTGCTTTTGGGCTTGGTGGTGTTTTCGGTGATGAATTGGGTTGTGATTGCTGCATTGTTTCTTTTTGTTTATTGATGTCTTGGGAAGATCGGGAGTAGAGTCTGGTAATTTTCATAGGATAAGTTCCTATACCTCGGGTTTAAAAGTATCATCCAGATGATCTATTGTGGTGGAGGAAAAAGTAATATGGAAATAACATGGGAGAAGCCCGGCGCTTCTGCAGAAAATGCTATGATAAGACATCCTTCGAAGAATCCGATCGTAAATACATCGCATCAAACCACACGCTTGACCTGTATACCGCATACGGTTGTTAGATGGACCTCTCACAGAACAATTCAGGCTGGGACCTACCTCGAAGAATCGCTTCAACCACCACACCTGGAAGATACCTTCTCCGATCAGCACAGCCAGCTGGAAGATACTCCACCACTTCACCCGGGCGTTGGTGCTCTCGGCGGTGTTCCGGTGTACCCGTTCTCTCACGACAATGTACGACTGCTCATCCTTGACTTGAGCCAGGGCCTCGGACAGTTTGCGGACTAGCAAAGGCGGTTAGCCCACGGGCGGTTCTGTTCCTTCGGTGGAAAAGTCCGAGTGCGGAATAGATTCCTCCTACCTTCGGTCTCCAGAGGGTCCTGCGTCATTTCGTGTTCCGGAACGTACACAATGCCATGAACATTGAAAGACACCTCCTTGGAGTTGGACGACCATCCCTCGTTGCTGAAGCAGTAAACGTATTTTCCGTCCGCGTGGGCGTTGAACGAGTAGTCCTCCGACGAGATGGCGTGCTTGTAGTACTGGCGGTTGTTCAGGGGGTCCTCAACCTAGAGGCGACAATACAGTACGTCAGCATGGCTCCGAAGCATAAGCCCACCACAGGAGTTGTGGGCATGCCCAAGTTTATTCAAGACAGTCCCTGTCCCACGTCCCCGCCGGCGGAGGTCCGGCTGTCGTGCCAGGAATCACCAAGGGAAAAGCCATACCCAAAAGTCGATCTCCAGGTTACCACTGCCGCCGAACTCCCGGTCGCCAACCTGAAACGTGACCGTCATCTTATCATCCTTATGCAGCGACTCGTGGAAGCATTCTCGGGAGTGAGCCTTGAGCTGGATGTTGTGTGCGGCCACGGCGCTGATCCACCCCAGCGCGGTGATCAAGAGGGTCGTCGCGGAGAAGCGCATGGTGGGCGATTTGATCTTGTCGTTTTCCACCTGTATTGAGAAGTTCCGAGGTGTAGGTAGTCAAGCCTGACAGGGAATCGTGGGTTGTTTGTGGAGGGTTGGGCCCGAGACGGTGTAGTCGTTGTTGGACTCCGGGACGCGCAAGGTGGTCTCTGTGCTGTGCTGGGAATTCGAGACGCTCGGACCACCTCTCAATCCAGCCGGCGCTAGTCCCCTGGGGGTATTCTAGATCTATACAGCACATAACCTTGAGCAAGCTCTCGGTGCTAGATTTATTCATATGTAGTCTATTTAATTGATCGAGCTTTCTAACTGTTAGAGAGATTCTATTGATGGGAGTTCGAGTTATTACCAATATACTTTCTGAGATCTCCGAAACTGCGCCACATACAGAGAGCTACTTTATACGGTCAAACAAAATGCTATGCATGTTTTACTCGAAGACGAATGATCATGCCTTGCTAATGGATGAATGAACACAATGATGACCCGCCATCGTGAGTACTTAACAAAGTATCTCAGGGTACCAGGAACTTACTACGTTATCGAAGATGCGGTGTAGATGTGAGGCTGATCCGGCCTTCATAAAAATGCCTTCTTGTGTTTCCTTCGCGCAATGATATTCTGAAGTTCAAATTCAGGTGTTGAGAACTTGTCCCCGAGTTCAAAAATACCTTTGACAATGCCTCTATATATAATAGATGGCGAGCTTCACCGGTTTCCGCTCTGGTCTTTCTTGCTGGGTAGACTTGATGTCGAGTTGATAACCCGCGGTCGTCGAGTGGTGAGATAGATGAACCCCTTTGTTTCCAGGCTATTCTTCCTGCGTGTTTCCTAGCAGCTGATTTTGAGGTTTGAAATAGAGGCAGAGACGAAATGCTGGGCGAGAAAGGCGAATTCAACCCCTCGGAGATGGACGTCGTAAGTTGTGAGCTCATTACTCATATAGGGCCCCAGATGCAGCAAGCTCATTTCATGACTCCTAGTTCCGAGAGGACCACAACAACCACAGCCCGGTGGCCCGCCCCTCAAGGACCTCAAGGACCTCCAGCACCTTCAGCACCTCAAGGACCTCCCGCACCTCCCGCACTTCCAGGACCCCCAGGACCTCCGGGACCTCCAAGACCTCCAGGGCCTCCAGGACTTCGGATCCGGAGAGACATAAGGCTTCGAAATGTTGGTATAGGGGCCTAGAACCCGATGAGCGTCGAGGGACTCGGTATTTATGGGGCTTTGTAGAGATCAAAAGCCTGCTGGAAACCAGGGGATTCCTGGATGTCAGTGGCAGCCTGTGGGAAAAAAGAGCTTCCCAGGGATCAGTGGCTCGGGCGTGTTGGACCTGGCGGATTTTATGTTTATCACGGCTTTCATGGTCACAACTTGAGAGAAAATTTGAGAGAGACCTAGTACTCTCAAGAACAGCTGCTCCTGACTCTGATTCTGAAGCATAATGATGACTTTCTCCAGTCACTAAGAGTTTACTCAATAGTCAATCTCAACGGTCAATAGTACCTAGCTATTATCTATCCGTGTGTCGAGGAACGCCATTTCTCCGAATTGATACGTAGCGGGGTGGTATGGAATCAATTCCAAATGTAGGTCGGAGGATGGTACTCCTACACCATTGCTTTGAATAAGTGCGACCAGTCATCAAAGGCAGCCCGCCAGTCTCGCGCCAGCGGCTTCGAATCAATGACCTGCAACGTTAAACGGCGACGGAAGTTGCCGAAGTCGGAGCTGACAGACATATTATTGCGGGATTTATTTTTTGAGGTCCAATTCGGCTTCCCAGAACGTCTGGACTATCCAGAGAGGGTCACTCTAGGGTTCGCGCCAATGTGCGTATGCGTTCGAGGTGGTTGTCATGACATCACTTGAGAGTGGAATGACCCTCTCTGCATTGTGGTTGAGCCAATGTTAAAGCACAATGCTCTCGGTTGTCCACGTTCTCGGCCCTCCGGTAAGACAAAGACTCACCAGACGAATCCATACGACTGACATCCGACGGGAAAAATCGGTAGTATTTGTTAAATGAGATTTGATAAATTGACCGTGTCATACTTGAGGTGCCTCAATGTCAGTACTCGATCTAGTTGAACCCATCTGAGTGGGCAAACTTTGGATTTGATCATCAAATGAGACTTCTGATGGGTGTGAACGATTGTTCTTTAAGGGACTGGTAGGAAATTAAGTCGATCAGCCTGATTGCATCACTGTGAAGTGGGTGGTGAGTGGTTCAGTCGTCTACATCCCTCAAAGGGTTCAGTTCCAAGTCTAGGCCCTAGCGTTTGGTGCAGTGGCGGATCGGCGGAGGCTACAGCCGAAAGAACCCCAATTTAAGAATCGAGCGCAAGGGCGTCCAGGGATTAACGGGCGCTTGGCGGCTTTGAGTAAGGCTTGCGGAGTCCCCGAAGCAGGAAGCGGACCCTGTCCATCCTCCTCCAGACTCCCCGGGAAACCCCCCCACTGCATAGTGCTCTTACTGTACCCTTCCGGCCGCGGCGTCAATCGGATGCCACTTCCAACTCCATTACACAACGCACTGTGGGTTTCCGACAGGACCATTTCTTTTTTACTCATTGGTAGAAGCAGACTGACAATCGTCCCTCATTAGAGGTTTACCACAATGTGAATGCATGAATTTGCCCCACACAAACCAGCTGAAGGGGTCCATGGTTATTTGCTCATCGCACTGATCCATTTATTCATCCCACATTGAATTGCTCCACTGCACTGTCTGTTCCCTGACGTACAGCACACTGCTTTGTGTTCTTATAATAACTCGGTCAATCCCTCCCCCTTTAATCCTTCCCCCCTCCCCAGCTTGTTGCCATTTGTGTGCTTGTGTGTGCTTCCGCCCGGTGCTCATTCTTTTTATAGACGCCCTCCTTTCTTTCTTGTCTTGCATCTTTTGCAGAAAAAGTTGAAAAAGGGATATTTCCTGTTCCTCTGCACTTCATCCTGACATTCTACTTTTCAACCGCTCGTCAACTTGCTGTCCTTAGGAATAAATCATCCTACCGTTCTATTTGAGAATGCGTATCGTTAGCTTGCTGCCTGCCTTGCTGGCCACCATCCCCGCCGTTACTGCGGCCGGCACTCTGGGGCTCGCTCTAGGCAACAAGAACGCAGATGGCAGCTGCAAAGCCACCGGCGACTACGAGGCCGATTTCGAGGCACTGAAGAGTGTGACTAAAATTGTTCGCACCTATTCTGCCAGTGACTGCAACACTGCTCAGAATATCATTCCTGCCGCCAAGGCCAAGGGATTCAAGGTCGTCTTGGGCATCTGGTACGTAGTCGTTTGTGTGACTTTCAAAGGATTCGAATTCATTGGTTGCTAACTCACACATTCGACTAGGGCCGACTACACTGATTCCTTTAACAACGACTTCAATGCTCTGAAACAGTCTGTACCCGGTAATGAAAATGTCGTCAGCGCCATCACTGTCGGCTCTGAAGTCCTCTACCGCAAGAGTCTTACGGCTCAACAGCTTTTGAGCCTGATCCAGCAAGTGCAGAACCAATTCCCCAAGGTGGCCGTGGGCACCGTGGATAGCTGGAATAAGTTTGCCGATGGCACCGCTGATCCCATCATTCAGGCTGGCGTTAAATACCTGTAAGCAGCAACCCCCTTGCGAATTAATCTATAGTGAGACTAACTTGTGCTGCTAGCTTGGCCAATGGGTTCGCTTATTGGCAGGATGTTTCTCTCGCCAATGCCAAACAAGTGTATTTCGATGATGTTTACGCCGCTAAGGAGCGTGTGAAGCAGATCGCTGGCTCAAATGCTAACAACATCTACTTCGGGAACGGTGAGACTGGCTGGCCGACTGGTAAGTCATTCGCGTGTTCGACTCCTGAATTCATCTGGCTAATAGATCGTAGATGGAGGGTCCAACTATGGCAAAAACTCTGTTGCCGGTACCAAGAATGCTGAGCAGTATTACCAGACATCTGTTTGTGCTATGCTAGCCTCGAACATTGATGTGTTCTACTTCGAGGCCTTCGACGAGTCTTGGAAGCCTAACAGTGTTGGCGACAACGGCCAGTCGATGGATGAGAAGCACTGGGGTCTCTTTACTGCCGATCGCAAGCCCAAGTTCAACTTGAACTGTCCTCCTAACTAGACGCTCGAAGGCCCCGAGTGTGTGCGATGAGGGACCTGACCCCGTTTCTTTGTTCTCTTTCTTTGTCCCATCACCTGTAACATATGTCTTACATATTTTATAATTCGTTCTGTCAATCGTTGAAAGCACAGGCCTCGGGTAAGGATTTGACATTGACGGGCTTTGTCCCCGCGAGGAAGCGCTCATCCGACCCGTGACTCTTAAGCTTTCCGCGATAGACGTAACTTCAATGCAGGAACAAATCTTAATTCGAGATTTGAGATTGATTATTTGGAAACTTTGAACTTTGACACTACGACGGAAGCTCAAGAGTAAGATAGCCCAGTGTCTTCGAAGGTATCTTCATAGCTAAGTTGACCATGGTTGTTGAAGAGACAGAGCGTCGATTTAATTGCCGGTAGTGTACAGGACTTGACTGTTTCTGGCGAGGCCCCGCGGGGAATCGAAGCAAGACTGCTGGGCACCAGCACTGCAAGCAACGGAAGTCACGGGCAGCCGATGAACCGTGGTTCGCAACGGATGGTGGTAGGCTGGTCGGCTGGTAGCGCAGCTTTACCCCTGAATTCCCTCTCGAACCGCGGGAGAAACCAGCACGGGACTGTTTACTATGGGGAATCTCTAGGCTATTCTATACTGGCAGAGGAGCCAGCACATCGAAATGTCTACAATAAGTTACCTACAGCTTTAGATAAGACTGACGGCCGCGCTCTGATCGCGTAGGCAGGCATGCGCGTCTAGATATGCCATGCCACCCTACTGGAACATGCTTGGAGGGCAGGCAGCCTTGCAAACTCTGCAGTCACTTAGTTTATCCTTACTGAGGGAATAACTGAGGGAATAATTGATCAAGAACCAAGGCCACAGCACCACGTCAATGGCGGTCAAACATGAAGTAAGTAGTAAGTGGGTGAGTTGGCCGACTATTCAATGCTAAGGAAGAGAACTAAACCAGAAGAAGACAGAAGGCCACCACTAAAGAAGAGCTTCTGCTCTCAGTCATGGTCCGAGGTCGAGGTTACCGTACCTTACCAGTTACACCTTGACTTTCGAGTTATACTAGTACAGATGAAGGTAAATCACTTCCAGTCCGCCGCCATCTGAACCACACCTTCCGTCTTCCCTCCGGCTTCACGCCAATCGTGTGTTTTTTTCCCGCCTCATCTTCATTTTTCTTTTCATTTCCTCCCAACCTCAATGTCAACTGTCCTTTTCTTTGCGTGTGCACCATGTTCCTGTCAATCGCATACCTGAGGTCATCTCTGTAATTTGTTGTCCGCGGCCTCTCTTTTCTAGCATCCCTCCCCCCCCCACCTCCCTTTCCATTGAATGTCTGGATTGGGCCATTCGTCCATTGCTATTGTCGGAGCCCACCGCCCCTGAAGATAATTGTTCCCATTCACTCGCGCCAACAACAACACCGACAACACCGACAACAAAATAAACAACACTCACCACAACCATAATTCCCATAGGTACGATCTTACACAAAGTCAATCCTCCTCCCTCCTGTGTTGATCACAGGTTTTCTGTGAGGTAGTGTCAGTGTTCGAGCTTGCTTTCCATGGTCCACCATTCTGGACAATAAGGGGAGCAGCAAGCAAGTGCTTGCTGCAGGAGACGAAACGGAAGGTGTGTGTGTGTGTGTCTGCCCGTCTGCCCGTCTGCCAGTGCTGTCTGTCTTGTCTTGTTTGGTCTTGCCTTGCTGCTGGTCTGACTGGTAGCTTGGCTGCATCCATTGCCAAAACGTCCCATCATCATTGCCTCCCCTCTTTTCCCTAAAAGACTAAAATAAAAATGATTTCCCTTTTCCCTTTTGGCGGTGTCGCGTCGCGCATTCGTCTTTCCTCCCCCCCCCCCCCCCCCGTCATTGCCATGCTTGCTTTCTCGTAGCCAAACTAGAAATGGGGCAGAGGCTAAACGATCAATCTTTTGGTATCTACAGGTCTAGGTCCCTCCGCATCTTCCGCCAGTTCGGCGACCTCTCCGCCATCGCCGCCGCCGCCATCCTCCACTCAGCCGTTCGCCTTCCGGGTTGATTCACATTTGACTGTCCCATTGACCTCGTTTCCTGCTTCACCCCGAGTGTCGACCTTTTCGACTACTGAATCCCCTGACCGGTCAATCTCCCGCAGCGTAACGCCGAATCCCCCGAACTCACTGCCCGTCCTACCCAAATACCGAGGTGCTTGGGAATCATCGACATCATCCCCGGAGAATAGAAGGGCAGAAAGCAGCGTCTACTACACCACCGCCTGGGGCTCGCCGTATGCTGCACCTAGCCCTCGGACAATTTCGTGGTCATTGAGTCAGTCCGCCGTTGCTGTTGATCGTGCTTCCGGAAATAGCTCTCCGGCCTCGATGCGCAGTGGTGTCCAACACGGTCCTGAAACGAGTAACACCGACCTTCTCAGACCTTCTGCCCGAGACAACTCAACCCGACGCCCGTATAGCCGTCTGCTGAGCCGGTCCCCGTTCGGTAGGAAAGGAGGAAAGTCGATCAAGGATTTCACCCAGGACTGGATCAATCAGTACCTCTCAGGTCAACCCAGAACTGAGCGTGGTAACTGGCTGAGTGACGATTCGGGAAGCGAGGCTCCCTCGTTCTTCACAGCGCAGAACTTCGCCGAAGACACTTCTGACGATTGGCTGGGCCTGGAACAAGACGCACGCGACGAAGATCTTCTGAGAACTCCAACCCTCGCCGACTTCGGCAGCCGAAAAGCAATCACCGGTCGTGGTGAAGGCAGCAGGAGAAATAAGGAGTACCAACACAAGAGAACGGATACGTTGCGGCAGGAGGACTTCTGGGGTTTCGCCTACGATAAGGACCCCCCGTTGATAACCATGGATTCCACAGACATACACACCGCCGCCGGACCGTCGCAACACCAGGCTCCATCCTTATCAATAGAGAAGCCGTTGCCTCCACCTCCGGTGGACGAGGTCAGAGACGCCCCATCGAGCACGGAACATTTTTCAGAATCCGTCGATTCCCCAGCTGTAAAAAGCCAGGGTTCTGAGCAGAGCATTGTCCAACCGCCCGTGCAACGACAGAGGAAGAAGCTCATATGGCGGGGGAAAGTATGCAATATCGCGCTACCGCTCGATGACAGGCGAGGCACCGAGGAGTCTGGCTACCGACTTTTGACTCTCGATGATGTCGAAGAGCGATTGAGGAGCCTCGATGAACAAGGTTACGACACCCGCGGGTTCAGTGTTTGCGCATCGAACGACTCGACAGACTTGGAGTTGGGTGGCTTGAGTCGCCCAATCTTTCCTGACCCAGGAGAAGTGCACGAAGAGTTTGCGTCTGGGAGATATAGCGTCGGTATCCCTAATAAAGCCGATTGGGATGCGTATGTCGCCTTCCTCCAAGAGGAGAAACTGCGGGCTCTGGGTGTATCCTTGGGAGATGATGAGCCTAAGCCCTCTATTTCACCTGCTATGAGCCAGATGGCCTCGTTCCCTGGCCTAGTGTCGTCGCCTCCGATTCCAACTGCATCAGCCGCTAGCAATCCGTTATCCATGTCTCATCACTTCTCCCCGCAATTGAACCAACCTGGAAATCCTGCAGCTGGCTTAGGTTCGCTGGCTTCCCCAGCCTCCCAGTTCAGTATACAGACACCGTTTTTGGGTGTGGATCAGAACCTATTACCGCCATACTCTATGCCGTTCCAACCTACTCCGCCGGCTCAAAATTCCCTCACGCCTCAAAGTTTCTTCAATCCTCGACAGCCTGGCGCTGGCTCCACCTTGCCCGGCACGCTGCCTAACCTTACCTCGATCCTGTCGCCCGTTTCGCCTATGAATGAACAAAATGCTTTCCACCCCGGCTTCAACGATCCCGGACTTGCGGAGTCTGGTTATGGTGAGCAGATGGGCATTCCGAAGGATGTATACGGCGATCACGATGTGCTTGGTAATGCTACTGAAGGACATCTGTTACGCCCTCTTCACACCCCCACGGAGAACCTCGATAATTTCCATGCCTCTACTGTGGAAATTGCCCAACCCACGCCCCGCGGTCATAGTCGCGGTCATAACTTGAGCGAGACACTTCAGAAGGGACTGGACAGCTTCACTCCAGCCTATCACTTGGAAGAATCTTTCGATAGGCAACCATTCGATGACGGTAATCGCGGACAGCACCTGGGTCACTTCGATGGCAGTGAACTTCTAAAGTCCCAGTGGGCTTTCGGAGACAACATGGGTGTTCAGCAGCTACCGCATCACATGCACCAATTCTACGACGGTAACTATTCTGGAGAGATCGCGCATGAAGGGTCCGACATTGATACCAATCCAAGCCTTTCTGGCACACCCAGGCACGGGCCGCATGCCAACAACGTGCCTTGGCATCAGTCCAGACCTAGTGGCAGCTCTTATATTGGTGGACACCGCTCGAAGCTTTCAACATCATCTCTTAATGTTGACGCGAAAGAATTCAAACCCACTGCAGCACCTTCATCCCAGCCCTTCGCAAACCAAGACAACTCGTTCCAACCCCAAGCGGGCGGAAGCCCGGTGTTCACATTCGGCTCGCAACCTGAATTCAAGCCCGATAACAATGGTTTCCACACGAACGCTCCCTCCTTTACTCCTGGTGCTTCCAAAAATATCACCAAACGAACCACTGGGTCGGGTGAATTCAAATTCTCCACAGCCTCATTCAACGTTGCAGCCCCTGCGTTCAACCCTGGCGGTAGCACTTACACTGCCGCGCCGCAAGAATCCACAAATACTGGAACCAAAATCTTCAGCGATGTCGACCTTTCCCAAGCGTCGTCGAAAGCCTCCAAGAAATCCAAAGCCATTCCCATTGTACGGCCTGATGATGTCAACGAGGATAACAGAAGCAAGGATGAGAGTGAGCACGACAATGGCAGACCAGGTCGGCCAGACCGTCACAAGCGTGCTCGTCGTGGCGATGAACTTTCAGAGACTGAAGCTCAGCTTAGCGTGCCTGCTGCGCTAGCCGAGGCGACCAACCTTCAGTCCTCTCACATGCACCAGCCATCCCATGTATCCGCTGATGGCAAAGAGAACATTGTACCTGAGGATGGAGGAGCACTCCCAGCGATCCCGAAACCTGTCTCCGCCCAAGACGACAAATTTGCCGAACGGAAAGACACTCCTATCAGCGAAGCTTCCACCTGGATTCCTCAGGAGACGAAGAACGAGAGTGCTGTTGCAGCGCCAGAGTCCGAATCTGAAATTAAGCACACAGCGCCGGAG